GCGACCTCGACCGTGCCGCTGCCATCAGCGACCATCGGGCAGCCCTTGGCCATGGCGACTGCGGCATCGATGCCGCCGGCGCTGACGATGGTGAAGCCCGACAGAGGGTTGGCGCCGCCATCATCTGTGACGCCTGAGCCGCTGACGGTCTTCGACATGCCCACCGGATTGCCCGGATTGACGACGGCGTCACCCATCTCCTTGAACCAGGCTTCCCACTGCGCCATGACCTTGGCGCCTTCCTCGGGCGTGTCGGGCCTGTTGCCGCCATGATAGGCGAAGATGAAATGTGACATGATCGATCTCCTTGAATGTCGGATGATTTCGCCCGCCCAGCCGGGTGCCGAGCGGCGGGTTCATCAATACTGAACCATGTGGTTGATTAATAGGGCTGCGCCGTATTGTCAACCATATGGTTGAGTGATATGCCGGCCGCATGAATGCACTCGACACCACCTTTGCCGCGCTCAGCCACGAGGCGCGGCGCGCCATCCTGGCCAGGCTTGCCGATGGAGAAACCCGCCTGTCCGATCTCGCCGGCCCGTTTGCCATGTCCCAGACCGCCGTCTCCAAGCATGTGCGGGTTCTCAGCGATGCGGGCCTCGTCACCGTCGAACAGCGCGGACGCAGCCGCTATTGCCGGCTCAACGCGGCGCCGATGAAGCAGGCGGCCGAGTGGCTGTCGGACTATGAGGCGTTCTGGGGCCAGCAGTTCGACAATCTGGCCCGCTATCTGGCCGAAAACGGAGACTGAGATGCAGTTCGTTCAATCGCCTCCGGGCGACGACCCGATCGTGGTCGAAGGCTTCTTCGCCGCCTCGCCGGCCCGCGTCTTCAACGCCTGGACCGATCCGGACATCGTCATGAAATGGTTCGGTCTCGAGCCGAACTCGCTGCATTCGGCCGATATCGATCTGCGGCCCGGCGGCGCATGGCGCTTTCTGCATTCCAGAACCGCCGAACAGACCATCGGGTTTGAAGGCGCCTATGCGGAAATCGAGCCGGACGAGCGGCTGGTCTTTTCCTGGTCGCATGTGATCACCCGGGCCGATGGCGCCCGCGAGGCGACGCCGGAATCGCGGATCGAGGTGACGTTCACGCCCAAGGGTTCGGGCACGATGGTGCGGCTCGTCCATTCCGCCGTCCGGACCGAGGATGCGCGGCGCGGCATTGGCGGCGGCTGGGAGGCCTCGTTCGGATCGCTGCGCGACGTGCTGGCCGAATAGCTGTGCATAAGGACGCGCGCCGCCAAAAGGCGGCATGACAGTACGGGCGACCCGCCGCAGTTTGCGGCCATGGAACCCCCCCGCGACATCGACCGGCTGATCGAGATCATGGCCCGCCTGCGCGACCCCGAAACGGGTTGCCCGTGGGATGTCGAGCAGACATTTGCGACGATCGCGCCCTATACGATCGAGGAAGCCTATGAGGTGGCCGACGCGATCGAACGCGACGACATGATCGATCTGGTCGACGAACTGGGCGATCTGCTTCTCCAAGTGGTGTTCCACGCGCGGATGGCCGAGGAAGCCGGCACCTTCGATTTCGGCTCGGTGGTCGAGGCGATCACCCGCAAGATGATCCGCCGGCATCCCCATGTCTTCGGCGACGAGACGGTGCGCGGCAAAAAGCTCGCCAAGGGCATGTGGGAGAAGATCAAGGCCGGCGAAAAGGCCGAGCGCGTGGCGGCACACAAGGCGGCCGGCACCGCCGACGGGTCGGACGAAACCCCGTCTCTGCTGGACGATGTGCCGCGCGCCCTGCCCGCCCTGATGCGCGCCCTGAAGCTGCAAAAGCGTGCCGCCAATGTCGGCTTCGACTGGGACACCGCGCCGCCGATCCTTGCCAAGATTCGCGAGGAAACCGAGGAACTGGCCGAGGTGATGGACGAGGCCGATCCCGACCGCATTCGCGAGGAGTATGGCGACCTGCTTTTCGCGATGGTCAATCTTGGCCGGCATCTCGATCTCGAACCCGAGGCCGCGCTGACCGAAGCCAACGCCAAATTCGCGCGCCGTTTCAAACGGATCGAGGAAGAGCTGTCTGCGCGCGGCTCGTCGGTCGAAGCCGCCGATCTCGCCGAGATGGATGCGATCTGGAACGCGGTCAAAAAGGTGGAAAAACCGGCCTGACGACGGCTGTTACCCGGTCTTCTCGGTAACCCGCGCCGTCCGTCGGTCATAGGCATCGGCGGTGTCTCGCGTCATCTGCACGCTGACCGAGACGCTGCCATCGTCGCCGTCCTGCCGGTCGCGGACAACCGCGTTCTCGTACAGCCAGGCGACATCGGCGAACCGGGCGGCGGGTACCGTGAATTGCCGGGTCACCAGCGCTCCGGCAATGCGTTCCTCGATCAGCGCCAGAAGCGCATCCATCCCCTCGCCGGTCAGCGCCGACACGGCCACCTCGCCCTGCCCGGACACCCTGGCCGAGAGCGCGGCGCGGGCATCGGCGTCGAGCGCATCGGTCTTGTTGTGCACCTCGATCACATGCTCGTCGTCCGGCGTCACGTCGAGCTCGGCAAGAACGGCGCGCACGTCTGAACTCTGCGCCGCCGCCTGCGGATCGGACGCGTCATGAACATGGACGATCAGGTCGGCTTCCTCGACCTCTTCGAGCGTCGCGCGGAACGCGGCCACCAGATGCGTCGGCAGGTCGGAGATGAAGCCGACCGTGTCTGACAGAATGATCTCGGTCCCGCCCGGCAGGCGCACGCGGCGCAAGGTCGGATCAAGCGTGGCGAACAGCATGTCCTCGGCCATGACGGCGGCGCCCGTCAGCCGGTTGAACAGGGTCGACTTGCCGGCATTGGTGTAGCCGACCAGCGCCACCACCGGCAGCGGCACCTTCCTGCGCTTGGCGCGGTGCAGCGTGCGGGTGCGGCGCACCTGTTCGAGTTCGGTCTCCAGCCGCTTGATCTTGTCGCGCAGGATGCGCCGGTCGGCCTCGATCTGCGTTTCGCCGGGACCGCCCAGGAACCCTGCCCCGCCGCGCTGGCGCTCAAGGTGCGTCCAGGACCGCACGAGCCGCCCGCGCTGATAGTTCAGATGCGCCAGTTCGACCTGCAGCGTGCCTTCCCTGGTGCGCGCCCGGCGCCCGAAAATTTCGAGGATCAGTCCGGTGCGGTCGAGCACCTTGGCGTTCCACGCCTTTTCGAGATTGCGCTGCTGAACCGGCGTCAGCGCGTGGTCGACAACCACCAGTCCGGCTTCGTGCGCCGCGATCACGCCCGCCAGTTCAGCGACCTTGCCCGAGCCGATCAGCGTCGCCGGAACGGGCTTGGCGACCGGCACCACCATCTGGTCGGCGATCACCAGGTCGATGGCGCGCGCGAGACCGGCGGCCTCGGCCAGCCGCTCGCCCGCCGTCCGCACCGGCAACCCGGCCCGATCGGCATCATTGTCCCGTTTGGCGATGTCGGGCGCCAGCACGACGGCACGCGTCGGCTCGCCGCGGCGGTCCACGCCGCCGCCGCGCCCCTGCTTCATCGTCTCTGGCCGGGAAACGCGCTGCGTCACTCGGGCTTCTGGCTCGCGCTTTCGCTGTCGAACAGCTGCACGGGCTGGCTCGGCATGATCGTCGATATGGCGTGCTTGTAGACGAGCTGCGCGCTTCCATCCCGGCGCAGCAACACACAGAAATTGTCGAACGACGTCACGACACCGGTCAGCTTAACGCCGTTGACCAGGAAGATGGTCAGCGGGATTTTCTGTTTTCTGACTGCGTTGAGAAACTGGTCTTGAAGGTTCTGCGACCTTTCGGCCATTCCTGATGCCCCACTTCGGTGCTTTTTGTTTATCGTATCACAATCCTGCGACCGCCGCTCAACGGCCCGATTTTGCGACAATGGCTGGCCATCTGTGACAGTTTCGACTGTCTCATGATGAGATTTGCGAAAAGATCACCGCTTTTCAAGGGAAAGCGAGCCGGCAACAGCGATTTTTTCGGCCGCACCGAAGAAAGCCCGCCCCAGCTGGCGTGCCGTTTCTCCCGGATGACCATTGGCGACCGGCGCACCGTCAATGCTCGTCACCGGCATGATCTGCGAGGTCGCAGACGTCATGAACGCCTCCCGCGCAGCCTTGGCTTCGGCAACGGTAAAACCACGTTCCTCGACGGCCAGGCCCAGTTTCGCCGCCGCATCGAGCGCGGTCGCACGTGTCACACCGCGCAGGATGCCGTTTTCGGCGGGACGGGTGACCAGCACATTGTCCATCGTCACGATCCAGGCATTGGTGGCCGCGCCCTCGGTGACCATGCCGTCCTCGTCGACCATCCAGGCTTCGGCCGCGCCGCTGTCGCGCGCCTGCTGCCGCGCCAGAACGTTGGGCAGCAGGCCGATCGTCTTGATGTCCACCCGGTCCCAGCGATTGTCGGGCACGGTGATTACGGCGACACCCTTTTCGGCCTTTTCGGCGAACGCCCGGCGGTCGGTCGATTTGGCTGTCACGACGAGCGCCGTCGGCGTGCCGGGAGGCGGGAACGGATGGTCGCGGCGTGCCACACCGCGCGTCACCTGCAGGTAGACCAGCCCGTCGCGCACTCGGTTCCGGCTTGTCACTTCGATCATGATCCGGCCGAGCGCGTCGCGGCCCACGGGCCAGGCCATCGCCAGTTCGCTCAACGAGCGGTCCAGCCGGTCCAGATGTCGCGTCCGATCGATGATGAAGCCGCCGGAAACCTCGCACACCTCATAGACGCCGTCGGAAAACTGGTAGCCGCGATCCTCCACATGCACCTGGGCTTGCGCATGCGGCACATAGCGGCCGTTGACATAGGCAATGCGTGACATCCGTCCCCTTCCCTTTCGTGCGCGGCGGCGCTCTCAGAAGAACTGCAGGCTGACGCGGAACAGCTGCTCGACCTTCTTGACCGCCGATGTCTTGGCGAAGATCACCACGCGGTCATGTGCCTTGATGCGGGTTTCGCCGTCCGGCTTGACCACTTCGCCGTCCCGGTAGAGCGCTCCGATCCGGATGTCCTCGGGCAGATCGAGTTCGCGCAGCGGCACGCCGACAAGCGGCGAAGTCTCAAGCGCCTCGGCCTCCAGCACCTCCGCCTGACCCTTCTGCACCGAGTGGACCTGGCGGATGCGGCCGCGGCGCATATGCTGCAGCACGCGCGAGATCGTCACCGCACGCGGGTTGATGTGCGCGTCGATGCCGAGCGTCGAGGTGAAGCTCTGATAGCCAAGATCATTGATCAGGCTCATCGTCGCATCGCACCCCAGCTTCTTGGCCATGACCGCCGACAGAACGTTGACCTGGTCGTCATTGGTCAGCGTGACCATCAGTTCGGCGTCCTGAATGTCGGCTTCGTGCAGGATCTGCTGGTCGAGCGCGCTGCCATGCAGCACGATCGTGCGGCGCAGCGTGTCGGCGACGCTGATCGCGCGTTCGCGATTGTGCTCGATGATCTTGACATTGGTGCGCGCGCCGCTGCGTTCCAGTTCGGTGGCGACGAAATGGCCGATATTGCCGCCGCCGGCGATGACGATCCGCCGCGCCTCGGTTTCCTCATGCCCGAACAGCGACAGGGTCCGCCGCACCTGGTCGCGATTTGAGATCACATAGACCAGATCGTCGACGAGAAGCTGGTCCGCCGAATGGGGCACGAACAGTTTCTCATTGCGCCAGACGCCCACGACCGTCGCGCTGAGATCGGGGAACAAATCGGTCAGCTGGCTCAGCGGCGTGTTGATGACCGGGCAATCCTCGCGGCACTCGATCGCCATCATCGTCACATTGTCGTCGGCGAACTGGACGACATCGGTGGCACCGGGCAGCGCGATGCGCTTGAGCACAACCTCGCCGACTTCCTTTTCCGGCGAGATGATGACGTCGATCGGCAGATGGTCGCGCGAGAACAGATCGCCGAAATGGGCGCCCAGATAGGATTGCGCACGCACGCGCGCGATCTTGGTCGGCACGTCGAAAAGCGAGTGCGCCACCTGGCAGGCGGTCATGTTGACCTCGTCATAGAGCGTGACCGCGATGATCATTTCGGCCTGGTCGGCGCCGGCGGCAGCCAGCACGTCCGGGTGGCTGCCATGGCCGACGATGCCGCGCACATCGAGCGTGTCGCGCACCCGCTGGATCAGGTCCTGGGAGGTGTCGATGACCGAGACGTCATTGTCCTCGCTGGCCAGCCGCTCGGCGATGCCGAACCCGACCTGACCGGCGCCGCAGATGATGACGCGCATCTAGATCACACTCCCAGGGATTTGAGTTTGCGGTGCAGGGCGGAGCGTTCCATACCAATGAACTCGGCGGTGCGCGAGATGTTTCCGCCAAAGCGCGATATCTGCGCCAGCAGATAGTCGCGCTCGAAGCGCTCCCGCGCCTCGCGCAGCGGCAGCGACATGATGTGCGTATCCTCCGCCGTCGGCGCCTTGGGCAGGTTTTCGCTCAGTTCGGCGGGCAGCATGTCCGGCGAGATCATCCGGTCGTCCGGTTCGTCGCGCGCCAGGATCAGCACGCGCTCGACCGTGTTGCGCAACTGGCGGATGTTGCCCGGCCAGGAATGCGCCTGCAGCACGGCCATCGCCTCGTCGTCGATCATGCGGGGACGGATGCCGGTCTGGGCGCTGATCTGCTTGACGAAACCGTCCACCAGCATGGCGATGTCCTCGCGCCGCTCGGCAAGCCCCGGCACCGCGACGGGCACCACCGCCAGCCGGCTGTAGAGATCGCGCCGGAACCGGTCCTCGGCGATCAGCGCTTCAAGATCGAAGGCGGTCGATGAAATGATGCGCACATCGACATTGACCCGCCGGACACCGCCGACGCGCTCGAATTCCTGTTCCACCAGCACGCGCAATATCTTCGACTGGGTCTCGCGCGGCATGTCGGCGACTTCGTCGAGATAGAGAATGCCGCCATGGGCCTGTTCGAGCGCGCCGACCTTGCGCTCGGCGCCGTTGGCCTCGGTGCCGAACAGCTCGATCTCCATGCGGCTGGGCGTGATCGCCGCCGCGTTGAGCGCGACGAACGGGCCCGCCGACCGGTCCGAGGCCGCATGGATTGCGCGGGCAACCAGTTCCTTGCCGCAGCCGGACGGCCCGGTGATCATCACCCGGCTGTTGGTCGGCGCCACCCGGCCGATGGCCTGGCGCAGCGTGTTCATCGCCGGCGACTGGCCGGTCAGTTCTCCCTGATCGCTCGAATGGCGCTTGAGCGCGGCGATCTCGCGTTTGAGCGCATGGGCTTCCAGCGCACGTTCGGCGACAAGGATCAGCCGGTCCGCCTTGAACGGCTTTTCGATGTAATCGTAGGCGCCGCGCTTGATCGCCGACACCGCGGTTTCGATGTTGCCATGGCCGGAGATCATCACCACCGGCAGGCCCGGATGCATCTGCTGAATGACATCGAGCAGTTCGAGCCCGTCCAGCTTGCTGCCCTGCAGCCAGATGTCGAGGAAGATCAGCCGCGGCACGCGGTCGGAAATGGCCGCCAGCGCTGAATCGCTATCATGGGCGGTGCGCGTCTCGTAGCCCTCATCGTCCAGAATGCCCGAAACGATGTCGCGGATATCGTCTTCATCGTCGATGACGAGAACGTCGGCTTTCATGGGGCTGCCTCCGGGTGTCCCTTGGACGGCGCGCCGGGGCGCGCCGCGTCCGTTTCGGGTTCTTCTTTTGTGATGCGGGCATCGGAAACCCCTGCCCCGCCGCGAGCCGGAAAGACCAGCCGCACCAGGGCGCCGATGCCATTGTGGAAATCGTCGGGCGCGTCATGCAGCTCCAGCGCGCCCGCATGGTCTTCCATGACCTTGCGCACGATGGCGAGCCCGAGACCCGTGCCCTTTTCGCGCGTCGTCATATAGGGTTCGAGAAGCTTCTGCCGGTTCTGGCGCGGCAGGCCGCGGCCATTGTCGATCACATCGACATGGATGTGCGCGCCATCGTCCGTGCGGTAGGCCCGCACGAGGATATGACCGGCAATGCCCTCGTCCTGATGACCGGCCAGCCGCGCTTCGATGGCTTCCGAAGCGTTCTTGATGACGTTGCCGATCGCCTGGCCGACCAGACGCGCATCGAAGACCGCCGGCAGCGCCTCGTCCGGCAGGTCCCGCTCCACGGTGATCTCGTTGCGGCTGACCTCGACGAGAAACGCCGCCTCGCGGATTGTCTCGCGCAGGTCCTGACCGGTCATCACAGGTTTGGGCATGCGCGCGAACGACGAGAATTCGTCCACCATGCGGCCGATATCGCCCACCTGCCGGATGATCGTGTCGGTGCACTGGTCGAACACCTCCCGGTCGTCGTCGGCGATCGCCTTGCCGTAACGGCGCTTGATCCGCTCGGCGGACAGCTGGATCGGCGTCAGCGGGTTTTTGATTTCGTGCGCGATTCGGCGGGCGACATCGGCCCAGGCGCTCGAGCGTTGTGCGTCGACCAGATCGGAAATGTCGTCGACCGTGACGACATGCGTGCGCGCCGGCTTTCCGGCCTGGCCGGCGGGCTGGCGGTCGAAATTGACCTGGATGTTGAGCACGCGCTCGCGCCCGTTGCGATCGATGTAGGAGACCGGGGCGCGATAGTCGGCGCGGCGCGATTCGATTGCCTTGACGAAGCCGGCATGGACGGGCGGCGCCACATCCTTGAGCGTCGCGCCGGCGGCGATCGGCTTGCCGCCATTGAGGATGTTGGCCGCCGAGCGGTTGGCCACCGAGATGCGTGCGCGGTCGTCGACGCCCAGAACACCGGCGGAGACGCCCGACAAGACCGCTTCCGAAAAGCGGCGCCGCTTGTCGATGACATCCTTGGCACTCAAAATCTCGTCGCGCTGGCTCTTGAGCTGCCCGAGCATGTCGTTGAACGTCTCGCCCAGATGGGCGACGTCACCATCCGACGCGCGCACAGGCACGCGCACCTCCAGATTGCCGCGCCCCACCTCGTCCGACGCGTTGATCAGCTGCCGGATGGGCCGGACGATCCGGTTGGCGACCGCGATCCCGGTCCAGATCGCCGACAGCAGCAGGATCAGCGTCAGCCCGAAGTAAAGCAGCGCGAAGGCGAGTTGCAGCGTGCCCTGGTTCGCGTCGAGGTTCTGATATTCGGCACGGTTCTGCTGCATCAGTCGCACCGCATCGAGCGCATCGGCGTCAATCGTGCGCAGCGTGTAGAGCAGCGCATTGTCGATCTCGCGCAACTGGATCACCGCGCCGACAAGGTTGGTCGTGCCCGGCGGGATGATCACCGGCTTGCCGTCGGCGGCCGCGTCCAGCGCATCCTGCGGCGGCAGGGGCAGCGGCCGGTCCACGTCGATGTCGGCGGACTGGATGACGCTGCCGTCAGGGCGGATGACGGATGCGCCCAGAAGCGCCCGGCCCAGCGCCTGCTGGGTCAGGAAGCGTCGAAATCCGGTGCGGTCGAGATTGAACAGGCGCCGCTGGGAATCGAGCGCGAACGCCATGTTGATGGTCGAATCGCGCAGGTTCACCGCCGTCTCGTTGACGTAGGATTCGGCGACCTGGATGGAGCTATCGACGATCGTCCGGGTACGGATTTCGAACCAGCGGTCGAGACCGAGATCGAGCGTGATCGCGGCAACGAGCGCGACGACGATCGCCGGTGCGGCAGCGACAACCGAGAACATGGCGACAATGCGCACATGCAGCCGGGCCGCCGCCCTGCCCGCGCGGCGTGCCTGCCATATGTTGCGCAACTCAAGCCCTATCAGCAGCAGCAGCGCGCCGACGAACAGGCCGTTGACGATGATGGCGCCGACCGTGACCCGGTTGTCCGGCCGGATCGGTGTCAGGCCGATCAGGATGATGAAGGAGACCGTCGCGGTCAGAAGAGCGGCTGCAACCAGCGCGATCCCCCCGGCCGGGCTGACGTGCCCGCCGCCGAAGGTCCGCGTTATCGCCGAACGGGGAGCGCTCTGTTCCGCCGAAACCATGCCTGCCTCATCGCCCCCGCGCCAGCGTCGCATTTGCGCAACACATTGTGGCAATAATGCAACGCGACGGGGTTGGGCAAGTGCATTGTCGTGGAAAAGCGGTACGGGTCTCAGCCCTTGATGACCGTGACGCCGAGGTCCTTGATCTTCTTGCGCAGCGTGTTGCGGTTGAGGCCGAGCACGTCTGCGGCGCGGATCTGGTTGCCGCGCGTGGCGGTCAGCGCCGCCATGATCAGCGGATATTCGAGTTCCGCCAGAACCCGGTGATAGAGCCCGGGCGGCGGCAGCGCGTCGCCGAACGAGGAAAAATAGCGCTGCATGTTCAGTTCGACGGCTTGCGCGATCGTCATGTCGCCGGCCGCGATCGCGCCTTGCGCGTCGCTTTCCCCGGCGCCCGCGCCATCCGAAGAGCGCAGTTCGCTGGCGACAATCTCGGCGGTGATCTCGTCTTGCGGATAGAGCGCGGCGAGGCGCCGGATCAGGTTTTCGAGTTCGCGCACATTGCCCGGCCAGTCATATCGGCGCATCAGTTCGAGCGCGTCGGGCAGGATGCGCTTGGCCTCCAGCCCCTCCTCCTGGACCTTGGCAAGGAAATGGCTGACCAGATCGCCGATATCCTCGAGCCGCTCGCGCAGCGGCGGGATCCGCAGCGGCACCACGTTGAGCCGGTAGTAGAGGTCCTCGCGGAACAGGCCCTGGCTGATCAGGGCGCGCAGATCCTTGTTGGTCGCCGCGACGATCCGCACGTTTGTCTTGATCGGCGTGCGGCCGCCGACGGTCATGTATTCGCCCTGCTGGAGCACGCGCAGAAGGCGGGTCTGCGCATCCATCGGCATGTCGCCGATCTCGTCGAGGAAAAGCGTGCCGTTTTCGGCCTGCTCGAACCGGCCGGTTGAGCGGGTCATCGCGCCGGTAAAGGCCCCTTTCTCGTGGCCGAACAGTTCGGACTCGATCAGATCGCGCGGAATCGCCGCCATGTTGATCGCCACGAACGGGCCGTTCTTGCGCTTGCCATATTCGTGCAGCGCGCGGGCGACCAGTTCCTTGCCGGTGCCCGACTCGCCATTGATCAGCACGGTCAGATCCGACTGGATCATCCGCGCCAGCACGCGATAGATGTCCTGCATCGCCGCCGAGCGGCCGACCAGCGGCATGGTCTCGCCGCTCTGGTCCGGCGCGATGCCGCGCCCGTCATCCTTGCGCTTGAGTTCGGTCAGCGAGCGGCCGACAATGCCGGTCAGTTCGACCAGATCGAACGGTTTAGGCAGGTATTCGTAGGCGCCCTTTTCCGTCGCCCGGATCGCCGTCATGAAGGTGTTCTGCGCGCTCATGACGATGACCGGCAGGTCCGGGCGGAGCTTTTTCATGCGCGGCAGAAGGTCGAACAGATTGTCGTCCGGCATGACGACGTCGGAGACCACCGCGTCGCCCTCGCCGGCGGCCACCCAGCGCCACAGCGTCGCCGCGTTCGATGTCACCCGCACATCGTAGCCGGCACGCGACAGCGCCTGGCTGACGACCGTGCGGATGGCGGCATCGTCGTCGGCGACCAGAACCGTGCCGTTGCTCATGTCAGGGCCTCGTGTGTTTCGGTCGACACGGCATCCGGCACCATCGCCCTTGGTGCGGCGGGCATCAGAATGCGGAACAGCGTCCGGCTCGGCGCGCTGTCGCATTCGATCACCCCGCCATGGTCGCCGACGATTTTGGCAACCAGCGCCAGACCGAGGCCCGAGCCGTTCGGCTTGGTGGTGATGAACGGATCGAACATGTGCATGCGGATATCCTCGGGCACGCCCGGCCCGTTGTCCTCGACGGAGAATTCGAGCGGCAGCGACACGCGCTCGTTGGCGCCGGGAATGGACAGGTGCACGCCCGGCCGATAGGCGGTGCGCAGCTTGATGTGCGGCCGGTCGGCAGCCGCACAGGCTTCGGCCGCGTTCTTCACGAGGTTCAGGAAGACCTGGATCAGCTGGTCCTGGTTGCCGGCGACGAAGGGCAGCGAGGGATCGTATGCCTTGGAGAAGCGCACATGTTTGGCAAAGCCTGTTTTGGCAATTTTTTCAACACGGTCCAGCACAATGTGAATGTTGACCGCTTCGCGATCCACGGGCCGTTCGTCGGAGAAGACCTCCATCCGGTCGACAAGCTGGACGATCCGGTCGGTTTCGGCGCGGATGAGCTGCGTCAGCGCCTTGTCCTCGTCGTTCGCCGACACTTCGAGAAGTTGCGCGGCACCGCGAATGCCCGAAAGCGGGTTCTTGATCTCATGGCCCAGCATGGCGGCCAGGCCGGTCACCGAGCGGGCCGCGCCGCGGTGGGTCATCTGCCGGTCGAACTTGTCGGCCATGGACCGTTCGCGGAAGACGATGACCATCGCGCCGGGCTCCTCGGGCACCGGCGTGACGTGGATGTCGACCACGCGCTCTGCGCCAAGGCGCGGCGAGGACAGGTCGACGCGATATTCGTTGACGGGCGAACCCTCCTGACGCACCTGGCCGATCAGCGCGATCAGCGGGCTCGAAAAGGGCAGGAAATCGTCGATCCTGCGGCCTTCGAGATGGGTCGACGATGAAAGGAAGAAATATTCGGCTTCGAGATTGGCGAAGCGGATCAGATTGTCGGCGTCGAGAAGAATGACCGGATCGCGGATCGTGTTGAGCACCTGAAGCGCCCGGGCGCCGCCGCCATTGCGCGTGTCATTCACGGTCATGCGGCCATGCTCCGCACACCGGAAGCGGCCTCGGCGAAGAGGACGGCGAGATGCTGTTTGACCGTTTCGGCATCGCATTCACGCAGGATCGTGCCCTTGCGCGCCGAAATATCGTTCACATGGCTCGCATGGACGTCCAGATACCAGCCCAGATGCTTGCGGGCGTGGCGCACGCCAGCCTCTTCGCCATAGTGGGCCAGCATCGCGTCATAATGGGCGATCACATAGGCGCCGATGGCGTCCGAAGCGGGGATGCCGGTGCCCCGCCCGGCAACGGCACTCGCCAGCCAGGGCCGGCCGCAGGCGGCCCGGCCGACCATCACTGCGTCGGCACGCGATGCTTCAAGCGCGGCTTGGGCAGAGGTGCGGTCGGCGATGTCGCCATTGACGACCAGCGGCAACGATGTCGCCGCGCGGACGGCGGCGACGGCACGCCAGTCGGCTGTGCCCTCATAGAATTGCGCGCGCGTGCGTCCATGGACGGTGATCATACGGACGCCGGCCGCTTCGGCCCGGCGCGCGAGTTCGGGCGCATTGATCGATCGATCGTCCCAGCCAAGCCGCATCTTCAGCGTTACGGGCACGGTGACGGCAGCCACCGTCGCCTCGATCAGCGTCACGGCATGGTCGAGATCGCGCATCAGCGCGGAGCCTGACAGCCCGCCCGTCACCTTTTTGGCCGGGCAGCCCATATTGATGTCGATGATGTCAGCGCCTTCGCCCTCGGCGATGCGCGCCGCCTCGCCCATCCACCGTGCCTCACGGCCGGCAAGCTGCAGCATCAGCGGCCCCTGCCCGTCATGGCGCGCGGCGCGCTTGCGGCTTTCGGCATGGGCTTCGCAGAATTCGCGGCTGGCGATCATCTCGCTGACGACGAGGCCGGCACCGTGGCCATAGGCGAGCTTGCGGAACGGCGCGTCGGAGATGCCTGACATGGGCGCCAGAAACACCCGGTTGCGTGCGACCACCGGTCCGATCGCGATCGGAGCTTCAAGATCGATTGGCATTCGGTCCTGTATGTTTTTTGGGCAATCAGCCATCGTGCCTAATCTTTATACATCACCGCGCGATTGCGCAATCGCTGCTCTTTGATAAACCGGAACGGATTTGGTCAGGATCCAACGATGACAGACGCCGCTGCGCCCACCGCCGCCCTCCCCGACGTCCGTACCGGCAATGGCTATGACGTGCACCGGTTCGGCTCCGGCGACCATGTCATGTTGTGCGGCGTCGCCATCCCGCATGACAAGACCCTGTCGGGCCATTCCGATGCCGATGTGGGCCTGCACGCGCTGACCGATGCGCTGCTGGCCACCTGCGGCGCCGGCGATATCGGCGACCATTTCCCGCCGTCCGACCCGCAATGGAAGGATCAGGCCTCGTCGCTGTTTCTCGAACATGCCGCGCACATCGTCCGCGATGCTGGCGGCACGATCATGAACGCCGATGTCTCGATCATCGCCGAAGCGCCGAAGATCGCGCCGCATCGGCAGGCCATGCGCGAGAGGCTGGCCGCGATCCTCGGCATCGAGGTCGGCCGCTGCTCGGTCAAGGCGACGACCAACGAAAAGATGGGCTTTGTCGGGCGCGGCGAAGGCATCGCGGCGATCGCAACGGCCAGCGTCGTCTACGCGCAAAAGGGAGACTGACGATGGACGACGCGAAAGAGGCCATCGAGACGCTGTCGGCGGAGATGGTCCGCAGCTTCACCGAAAAGGGTCTGATGGCCGCCACCGCCGAAAGCTGCACCGGCGGCATGATCGCCGCGGCGATCACCGACCATGCCGGCTCGTCCGTCGTCTTTGATCGCGCCTTCGTCACCTATTCCAACGCCGCCAAGATCGCGATGCTGGGCGTCGATGCCGAGGTGCTGGATACGGTCGGCGCGGTCTCGGGCGAAGTCGCCGGCGCGATGGCAGAAGGCACATTGGCGCGCTCCGATGCCGATATCGCGGTCGCGGTGACCGGCATTGCCGGCCCGGACGGCGGGTCGGACATCAAGCCCGTTGGTACGGTCTGGTTCGGCGCGGCATCCTCGTTCGGCTCGACACTCGTCATCAAGCGCCAGTTCGAGGATCGTGGACGCGCCTTCATTCGCCAGGTTTCCGTGGTGACGGCGCTGGAACTGCTGCTGCAACTTGGCGACAGCATGCCGGAGAAGACAGGCGGCGACTGATCAGGCGCCGGCGGCGGGCCGCGCCATGGTGCCATGCAGCGCGTCGGCGCGTTCCTCGAAGGCCTGCGAGAACTTCCGGAACGCTCGGTCGAACATCGCGCCCATCAGCGCACCCAGCATACGGCTTTTGAACTCGTAGTCGATGTGGAAATGCACGTCGCAGCAGCCATCGCCGCAATCGGCAAAGCGCCAGACATTGCTGAGATACTTGAACGGTCCGTCGACATAGGACACGTCGATCTCGCGCTCTGACGGTTTGAGAATGACCTGGCTGGTGAACGTCTCCCGGATCGCCTTGTAGCCGACGGTCATGTCGGCGATCATCAGCGTCCGGCCGGCTTTTTCGCGCCGGGAACGCACCGTCAGCGCCTCGCAGAGAGGCACGAATTCGGGGTATCTTTCGACATCGGCCACAAGCGCGAACATCGCATCGGCACTGTGCTGCACGCGCCGTGTCGAGGAAAATTGCGGCATCGGGCTACTCGGCGGCTGCCAGCTTCTTGGCGCGCGCGGCGCGCAGCTTGTCGAAATCCTCGCCCGCATGGTGCGACGACCGCGTCAGCGGGCTGGCCGAGACCATCAGGAAGCCCTTCGCATAAGCCGCCGTCTCGTAGGAGGTGAACTCGTCCGGCGTGACATAGGCCATCACCTTGTGGTGCTTCTTGGTCGGCTGCAGATATTGGCCGATCGTCAGGAAATCCACATCGGCGGTGCGCAGATCGTCCATCAGCTGCAGCACCTCGTTGCGCGTCTCGCCCAGCCCCACCATGATCCCCGACTTGGTGAACATGGTCGGATCGAGTTCCTTGACCCGCTGCAACAGCCGCATCGAATGGAAATAGCGCGCGCCGGGCCGCACGGTCAGATAGTTGGACGCGACCGTTTCCAGATTGTGGTTGAAGACGTCGGGCCGTGCCGCAACGACCATTTCGAGCGCGCCATCCTTGCGGAGAAAGTCGGGCGTCAACACCTCGACCGTCGTGCCCGGCGAGTGTTCGCGAATGGCGTTGATCACGTCGACGAAATGCCGCGCGCCGCCATCGGGCAGATCGTCCCGGTCGACCGAAGTGATGACGACGTGATTGAGGCCCATCGTCTTGACGGCCTTGGCAACGTTGACCGGTTCCTCGCTGTCGACGCCGGTCGGCATGCCCGTCGTCACGTTGCAGAAGGCACAGGCGCGCGTGCAGATCTCGCCCAGTATCATGAAGCTGGCATGCTTCTTGTCCCAGCACTCGCCGATGTTCGGGCAGCCGGCCTCGCCGCACACCGTCACCAGATTGTGCGACTGGACGATCCGGTTGGTCTCGTGAAAGCCCTTGGAGACGGGCGCGCGCACGCGGATCCAGTCCGGCTTCTTCAGCCCGGAGTCCTGGTCGGGCCGGTGCGCTTTTTCCGGATGGCGGGGTTTTGATTTTTCGGATTTGACCGTATCGACAACGGTGACCATTGGCTGTTTCCTTGGGCAACAAGCCCGCTGACCGTGCCTAAAATATGGATGGTAAGCCGCGGCCGCAACCGGCCTGCGACGAAGCGCACCAATTACGAGTTCAGCACCCGCCCATAGGCATCCAGCACGCTTTCCTTCATCATCTCCGACAGGGTCGGATGCGGGAAGACGGTGTGCATCAGCTCTTCCTCGGTGGTCTCCAGGTTCATCGCGACGACAAAGCCCTGGATCAGTTCGGTGACCTCGGCACCGACCATGTGAGCACCGACCAATTGCCCCGTCTTCTTGTCGAAGATGGTCTTGATCAGGCCTTGGTCTTCGCCAAGCGCGATCGCCTTGCCGTTGGCGGCGAACGGGAACCGGCCGACGCGGATGTCGCGGCCCTCGGCCTTGGCCGCCTTTTCGGTCAGCCCGACCGACGCGACCTGCGGATGGCAATAGGTGCAGCCAGGGATAAGGCTCTTGTCCATGGCGTGCACGCCGGGGATGCCGGCGATCTTTTCGATGCAGATCACGCCCTCATGCTCGGCCTTGTGCGCCAGCATGGGCGGGCCGGCCACATCGCCGATCGCATAGATGCCCTCGACATTTGTGCGGCCATAGCCGTCGATCACCACGCAGCCGCGGTCGGTTTTTATGCCGAGCGCCTCGAGGCCGAGATTTTCGATGTTGCCCTGAACGCCGACCGCGGAAATCAGCCGGTCGGCCTCGATCGGCGTCGTCTTGCCGTCCTTGTCCTCGACATGGGCGACGACCGAATCGGACTTCTTGTCGACCTTGGTGACCTTGGCACCGGTGAGGATGGTCAGACCGTGCTTTTCGAGCTGCTTGCGGGCGAGCTTGGAGATTTCCTCATCCTCGACCGGCATGACCTGGTCCATCAGTTCGACGACGGTCACGTCGACGCCCATGGAATTGTAGAAGGAGGCAAACTCGATGCCGATGGCGCCCGAACCCATGACGACAAGCTTCTTGGGCATTGTCTGCGGCACCATCGCCTCGAAATAGGTCCAGATCAGCTTGCCGTCGGGCTCGATGCCGGGCAGCGCGCGCGGCCGCGCGCCGGTCGCGACGATGATGTGCTTGGCGGTGTAATCGCCCTCGCCCTTGGTGTTCTTGGGCGCCGGATGCTGTGGCTCCATCGCTTTCTTCGACGGCTTGCCGACACTGACCTTGCCCTTGCCGGCCAGCTTGGCCTCGCCCCAGATCACGTCGATCTTGTTCTTCTTCATCAGCATGCCGACGCCGCCATTGAGCCGCGCCGACACCTTGCGCGAGCGGTCGACCACGGCGGTCACGTCCGCCTTGACCGTGCCGTCCAGCGTCAGGCCGTAATTGCCGATATGGCTGGCATAATCCATCACTTCGGCCGAGCGCAGCAGCGCCTTGGTCGGAATGCAGCCCCAGTTGAGGCAAATGCCGCCCAGATGCTCGCGCTCGACGATCGCCGTCTTGAAACCGAGCTGCGCGGACCGGATGGCCGTCACATAGCCGCCGGGCCCCGAGCCGATGATGATCACGTCGTAGGAATTGTCAGCCAAGTCGCCTCTCCTGTCCTTGCGGGGAGGCGACCGAAGCGAAGGATCAGCCGGTCAGCATCCCGTAGATTTCGTCTTTCAGGTGCATGCGCTTCTTGCGCATGTCTTCCATGTTGAAATCGTCCGTGGGCTCGATATCCGTTTCGGCGCGGTGAATGGCCCGGTTGATTTCGTGATACTCGTCGAAGAGGCGCGCGAAATGGGCGTTGGAGCCCTTCATTTCGCTCATCTTTTCAACATGGTCTGGGAATTCTTCGGCCAGTTCGTGCGGCGTGTGCGCCATGGACATTGCTCCTCTGTGTCCGTGATTTGCCAACACCCTAGCCGCCGGCCGTCATGCCTCCTTGATCGGTGTCAATTGATGCCCGGCGTCAAACCAGCATCCCCATCGGGTTTTCGACGTAGCCCTTGAAGGCGGCCAGAAGCTCCGCGCCCAACGCGCCGTCGACGCAGCGATGGTCGGTCGACAGCGTCACGCTCATCACGGTCGCGACCGCCAGTGCGCCGTCCTTGACCACCGGGCGCTGTTCGCCGGCGCCAACCGCCAGAATGGTCGCATGCGGCGGATTGACGACGGCGGAAAAGTCCTTGACGCCCATCATGCCCATGTTGGAGACTGCCGTTGTACCGCCCTGATACTCCTCGGGTTTCAGCTTGCGGTCCTTGGCGCGGGCGCCCAGATCCTTCATCTCGTTGGAGATCGCCGACAGGGTCTTCTCCTCGGCGCGGCGCACGATCGGCGTGATCAGCCCGCCGGGGATCGACACCGCGACACCGACATCTGCGTGGCGGTGCTTGACCATGGCTTCGTCGGTCCAGGAGACGTTGGCGTCGGGCACATCGCGCAGCGCCAGCGCCAGCGCCTTGATCACCATGTCGTTGACCGACAGCTTGTAGGCCGGCTTGTCGTCCTTGACGGGCGCGGCCTTGTTAAGCTGCGAACGCAGGGCCAAAAGCGCGTCCAGTTCCACATCGACCGTGACATAGAAGTGCGGGATGGTCTGCTTGGATTCCTGCAAGCGCTTGGCGATCGTCTTGCGCATGCCGTCATGCTTGACGAGTTCGTAGGAGCCCTCGGCGAAGTTGGCAAGGACCTGTTCGGAAGAGGCGCCGACCGCCATGGCGGGAGCAGGCGCGTCGGCCTTTGCTGCCGGCGCTTCGGCGGCGGGCCTGGCGCCGGAGGCGAGCGCGGCTTCGACATCGCGCTTGACGATCCTGCCTTTCGGGCCGGAGCCGGAAATCGCGGTGATGTCGATGCCTTCATTGTTGGCGATGCGGCGCGCCAGCGGCGAGGCGAACACTTTCTGACCGTCCTTGACCGGCACCGGGCCGGCCTTGACGCTGTCGGGGATGTCGCCGCCGCTCTTGGCCGCTTTCGGCGGTGCGGGCGGGGCTTCGGCGCCGTTGCCGGAGGCTGCCGGCGCCTCCGAAGCGGCGTCGGCCTCGCCCGATGCCGACCCGCTCTGATCGGACGCCGGCGCGGAACCGCCTGATGGCCCTGCCTTGGCCGCTTCCGCCACATCCTCGCCTTCCTCGGCCAGAACGGCGATCGGTGCGTTGACCTTCACCGCCTCGGTCCCCTCGGCCACGAGGATGCTGGCGATTGTGCCTTCATCGACGGCTTCCACTTCCATGGTCGCCTTGTCGGTTTCGATCTCGGCGATCACGTCGCCGGCCGAGACGGTATCGCCCTCCTTGACCAGCCATTTGGCGAGGTTCCCCTCCTCCATGGTCGGCGACAGCGCGGGCATTGTGATGGTGATGGGCATTGCGCTCTCCTCAACCCGCGTAGGTGACGGCTTTGACCGCCTCGATCACCTCGCCCACATTGGGCAGGGCGAGCTTTTCGAGATTGGCCGCGTACGGCATCGGCACATCCTTGCCGGCGATGGTGATCGGCGGCGCGTCGAGATAGTCGAACGCCTCGCGCGTGACCTGATTGGCGATATAGTCGCCGACAGAACTTTGCGGGAAGCCCTCCTCGACCGTCACCAGCCGGCCGGTCTTCTTCACCGAAGCGATGACGGCGGGCAGGTCCATCGGGCGCAGCGTGCGCAGGTCGATCACCTCGCAATCGATGCCCTCGCCGGCCAGCTTTTCCGCCGCATCGATGGCGTATCTCATGCCGATGCCGAACGAGACGATCGTGCAGTCGCTGCCCGCCCGCTGCAGCCGCGCCTTGCCGATCGGCAGGACGAAATCGTCCAGCTTGGGCACATCGAAGGTCTGGCCGTACATGATCTCGTTTTCGAGGAAGACGACCGGGTTCGGATCGCGGATGGCTGCCTTGAGCAGACCCTTGGCGTCGGCAGCACCGTAGGGCTGGATGACCTTGAGGCCGGGTATGTGGCTGTACCAGGCGGCATAGCATTGCGAATGCTGTGCGGCGACGCGGGCTGCGGCGCCGTTCGGGCCGCGGAACACCATCGGCGCACCCATCTGGCCGCCGGACATGTACAGCGTCTTGGCGGCCGAATTGACGATCTGGTCGATCGCCTGCATGGCGAAGTTGAAGGTCATGAACTCGACGATCGGCCTTAGGCCGGTCATCGCCGCGCCGACGCCGACGCCGGCGAAGCCGTGTTCGGTGATCGGCGTGTCGACCACGCGCCGCGGTCCGAACTCGTCCAGAAGCCCCTGGGTGACCTTGTAGGCGCCCTGATATTCGGCGACTTCCTCGCCCATGACGAAGACGCTGTCGTCGGCGCGCATCTCCTCGGCCATGGCATCGCGCAGCGCTTCGCGCACGGTGGTCGGCACCATTTCGGTGCCCTCGGGCACTTCGGGATCGGCGGGCGCTTCCTGGGCGGCGGGCGCAGCGGGCACCGGCGCGGGATCGGACGCGCCTTCGGTCTCCGGTGCGGGCGCAGGCTGGGCCGAAGGTGCCGAAGACGTGCCGATGTCGTCGGCGCTTTCGCCCTCTTCGAGCAGCACCGCGATGGGCGTGTTCACCTTGACGCCCTCGGCGCCCTCATCGACCAGGATCTTGCCGATCGTTCCCTCGTCGACCGCTTCGACCTCCATGGTCGCCTTGTCGGTCTCGATCTCGGCGATCACGTCACCGGCGGTGACCGAATCGCCCTCTTTTTTCAGCCATTTGGCCAGATTGCCCTCTTCCATGGTCGGGGAAAGGGCCGGCATCAGAATATCAATCGGCATGGTCGCCCCTCACGCTTCGAGCAAAATGTCGGTGTAAAGTTCGGAAACGTCCGGCTCGGGATCGTTCTGCGCGAATTCGGCGGCATCGGCGACGATCGCGCGGACCTCCTTGTCGATCGCCTTCAGCTCGTCCTCGGTCGCCCACTTCTGCTCGATCACCCGCGCCTTCACCTGTTCGATCGGATCGCGCTCCGAACGCATCTTCTGCACCTCGTCCTTGGTGCGGTACTTGGCCGGATCGGACATGGAGTGGCCGCGATAGCGGTAGGTCATCATCTCGACGATCACCGGCCCTTCGCCCGAGCGGGCATGGCCGAGCGCCAGATCCGCGGCGGCCTTGACCGCGCGCACATCCATGCCGTCGACCTGAAAGCCCGGGATCTTGAAGGAGACGCCGCGCTGGGAGAAATCGGTCTCGGCCGAGGACCGGGCGACGGAGGTGCCCATGGCATAGCGGTTGTTCTCGATGACGAAAACGACCGGCAGCTTCCACAGCGAGGCCATGTTGAAGCTCTCATAGACCTGGCCCTGGTTGGCCGCGCCGTCGCCGAAATAGGTGCAGCACACCTTGCCGTTGTCGCGATATTTGTTGGCGAACGCGATCCCCGCGCCCAGCGACACGTTGGCGCCGACAATGCCGTGGCCGCCATAGAAGTTCTTCTCTTTCGAGAACATGTGCATCGAGCCGCCCTTGCCCTTGGAGTAACCTCCCCGGCGGCCCGTCAGTTCGGCCATCACGCCGCGCGACTCCATGTCCATCGCCAGCATGTGACCGTGGTCGCGATAGGTGGTGATGGTCTGGTCGCCATCCTCCATCGCCATGGAAATGCCGGTGACCACCGCTTCCTGGCCGATATAGAGGTGGCAGAAACCGCCGATGAAGCCCATCCCGTACAGCTGGCCGGCCTTTTCCTCGAAACGCCGGATCAGCAGCATGTCGCGATAGGCGGTCAGTTCCTCATCCTTGGTGAATTCGGCGGGCTTGGGCGCCGATAGGCCGCCCTTGTTCGCACCGGCCTTGGATTTTGCCGGCGCCTTGCGTGCGCGTGTCGCCATCTGGGTTTCCGTCCCTGTTGAATTTCGGCATATCCTATCGCGCCGAACGCGGACATCAAGACGCACTTTGGCATAGGTTTCATGACGATAACGTCATAAAATCGCTTGAAAATTCAACAATTAACTGAAATCGAGTTAATTCGTGCGCTGCAGCAATTCGTCCAATGTTGCAGTGCGATCAATGCCATTATGCAACAAGATCAACTCGTTGGGATTGGCCAGGCCGAGCGAAAGCCGCGCCTGCTCGTCGATCACATCGCGCTGCAGCGAACCGTCGCTGAGCGCCGCGGTGCGCGTCTCCAGCATGGCGCGCGCCGTCGACAGGGCTTGCAGCTCCGCCTCGAGACCGGCGAGGCGCTGCTCATATTCGGCCTTCGAGGTCAGCCCCAGATTGCCGGTGATCCCATGGAAGCCGAAATAGCCCAGCGACAGGGCCGCGATGGACGGGATGACGAGATGCCGAAGCGGAGATTTTCTGTATTGGCGCGTCCACATGACCCGGAACCAAAGCTGCGCGGTGTCCAGTGGTACGGCAGTTTGGTTAAGCGGCTCCTAAGGCGCGCCGAAATCGGCGGCGCGCCTTCCCAAACCGCCCAGCGGTCAGCGCAGGATCGATGCGCCCGCGTAACGGCCCAGATCGCCCAGCTCTTCCTCGATGCGGATCAGCTGGTTGTATTTGGCCAGCCGGTCGGAACGGGCGAGCGAGCCGGTCTTGATCTGCCCGCAATTGGTGGCGACCGCCAGATCGGCGATGGTCGCATCCTCGGTCTCGCCCGACCGGTGCGACATCACCGCCGTGTAGCCGGCCTTGTGCGCCATTTCGACCGCGCGCAGCGTTTCGGTGAGCGTGCCGATCTGGTTGACCTTGATCAGGATCGAATTGGCGATGCCCTCGTCGATGCCGCGTGACAGTCGCGACGTGTTGGTGACGAACAGATCGTCGCCCACAAGCTGGCATGTGCCGCCGATCAGCTCGGTCTGGATCTTCCAGCTTTCCCAATCGTCCTCATGCATGCCGTCCTCGATCGAGATGATCGGATAGGCGTCGACCAGGCTCTTCAGATACTCGGCCTGCTCCTGGCCGCTGCGCGTCACACCCTCGCCCTCATAGACATAGGCGCCGTCCTTGAAGAATTCCGACGCTGCGCAATCGAGCGCGATATGCATATCCTCGCCCGGCGCATAGCCGGCCTCGGTCACCGCTTCCATGATGAAGTCGAGCGCGGCCTCGGCGCTTTTGAGGTTCGGCGCAAAGCCGCCCTCGTCGCCAATGCCGGTGTTGTGGCCGGCCGCGGTCAGCTTCTTTTTCAGCGTGTGGAAGGTTTCCGCGCCCATCCGCACCGCGTCGGCGAGCGAGGCCGCGCCGGTCGGCATGATCATGAATTCCTGGAAATCGATCGGATTGTCGGCGTGCGCGCCGCCATTGATGATGTTCATCATCGGCACCGGCAGGATGTGGGCGTTGGTGCCGCCGACGTAGCGGTAGAGCGGCAGGCCGGCCGATTGCGCGGCGGCTTTGGCGACCGCCAGCGACACGCCCAGGATCGCATTGGCGCCCAGCTTTCCCTTGTTGTCGGTGCCGTCGAGATCGATCATCACCGCGTCGATCTTGGCCTGGTCCGTGGCGTCCATGCCGCCAATGGCGTCGAAGATCGACCCGTTGACATTGTCGACCGCGTTGCCGACGCCCTTGCCGAGCCATGCGCCGCCGCCGTCGCGAAGTTCGACCGCTTCATGCACGCCGGTCGATGCGCCGGACGGAACCGCGGCGCGGCCGAACGCGCCGTCGTCGAGCAGCACATCGACTTCCACGGTCGGATTGCCGCGGCTGTCGATGATCTGTCGTCCGATAATGTCGATGATGGCACCCATGGCTGGCATTCCCCTCAGGATCGCGTTTGGCACTGTCGCCGCTGCCTTAGCCGAGCTTTGTGAAAAGGAAAACCGCTGGAGGCGCGCAAAGTGGTCGGTCGGGGCGTTAGCTGCCCTTCACGAGCGCGTCGATCGCCATCAATTGCCGCAACAGGGCTTCCATCTCGCCAAGCGGCATCATGTTCGGCCCGTCCGACGGCGCATTGTCCGGATCGTCATGGGTTTCGATGAAGACGCCGGCAACGCCGACCGCAACGGCGGCGCGCGCCAAAGGCGGAACCATGGTCCGGTCGCCGCCCGACGAGGCGCCCTGCCCGCCCGGCTGCTGGACCGAATGGGTCGCATCGAAGATCACCGGCGCGCCGGTTGCGGCCATGATCGGCAGCGCCCGCATGTCGGAGACCAGCGTGTTGTAGCCAAAGCTCGCCCCGCGCTCGGTCAGAAGCACATTCGGATTGCCGCTGCCGGTCACCTTGGCGGCGACATTGACCATGTCCCAGGGCGCCAGGAACTGGCCCTTCTTGATGTTGACGATCCTGCCCGTCTGCGCTGCGGCAACCAGAAGGTCGGTCTGCCGGCACAGGAAAGCCGGGATCTGCAATATGTCCACGACATCGGCGACCGCTGCGCACTGTTCGGGCGAATGCACGTCCGTCAGAACCGGAACGCCCAACCGTTCGCGGATTTCGGCAAAGACCGGCAGCGCCGCCTCCAACCCCATGCCGCGCCGGCCCGACAGCGAGGTGCGGTTGGCCTTGTCGTAGCTCGTCTTGAAGACGAGACCGACGCCCAGATCGTCGGCAACTGTCTTGAGCGCCTCGGCCATCATCACCGCATGGTCGCGGCTTTCCATCTGGCAGGGGCCGGCAATGATGGCGAGCGGCAGATGGTTGCCGAAGCGTACCTTGCCGGCTGCCACGGTCTCGGCCGGTGCCATGGCTGGGGCGTCCATCGTGTTCATCGGCTTTCTCCCCGCATGTCGAAGGCGAAAAAGGCGCCCTGACCCGGCGCACGGTCGGCCACCAGCCAAGAGCCGTGCTCGTGCGTCTTGATGCCGTTTTCGGCGAGCAATGCCCGAAGAGCTTCCGGGTCGGCGACGGTGAAAACGATGCCTTCGAAGCGCAGGCCGCGCGTTGGCACATGGCGCTCCACGCCGAAATGGATGCGCAAACCTTCCGGCGTCATCACGTTGAGCGTGAAATCGGCCCCGGCGATCTCAATGCCAAAGGAATGGGCCTGCGTGGCGCGGTTGTTGATGACGTCCTGCAACAGATACTGGAAATCGGCCGGGTTCGCCTCCGAGGCGATGATCTCCGCCGTGCCGGTCACCGTGTTCGGATGGGTTTGCAGCGCCGCCCGGTCGACCGCCGGCGTGTTCACCCGCTGGCATGTGAACAGGAAACTGTCGGGCGAGCGAAGATCGGCCGCAAAGGCGAGCTTGAAGGTGGCGCGCGCCTTGGCGCCGGACCCATCGGTCATCGTCCGGCCGAACAGCAGCTTGCGGCCGGCGGAAATGCCCTGGCGGCGGAAGCCCTTGTGGTCGGCATCGGCATTGTCGGTGCCAAGCGCAATCGCGGAAAACCCGTTGTCGCCGTTGCGGAACCGGTAGGCCTGATCGCGCGCGGTGAAGACGTTGCCGCGCTGCGCCGTGCGCTCGCATTTCTCGCGCTGGTCGATTGCCAGCGGTTCCAGAAACGTGCCGTCGTCGAAATAGACGCAGGCATTCTCCGTGCCGAACGGATGCTTGGCATCGGCGGCCACCTGAAAGCCCAGGGCGGTCAGCCGTGCGCGGGCCACGCTCAGTTCCCCGACGGGCAGAACGCAATGGTCGAAGGCGCGGGGGCGATAGGGCGAGATGGCACGGCCGGTCATGGCGCCCGTGTGCCCGATTTGCCGGCGCCGCGCAAGCAAGGCCTCGGCATCGACGCCGGGGATTTGCCAAGCGCCCGCCGCGGCCTACTTTTCCATGCACGAGAGGAGACCTGCCATGACCAGACGCCCCCGTTTCATCCCGCTGGCCCTTGCCGCCGCCGCGACCATGGCCTTCGCGCTCGCCTTCCTTCTGGCGCCCTTGGATCGGGCCCATGCCGACGAGAACGCCGCACGCAACGTCATCACCGAGCAGCTCGAGAGCTTTCTGGCGCGCGATTTTAAGCGCGCCTATGGCTACGCGTCCGACGACATCAAGCGAATCTATCCGACGCTGGACGGCTTCATGTCGATGGTCGAGCGCGGCTATCTGCCCGTGCTTCGGCCCGGCAATTACGCGTTCGGCCGCGCCGACCGCATGGCCGACGGGCGGATCATCCAAGAGGTGCTGATCCGCGCGCCGGACGGCAGCGATTGGACGGCGGTCTACTATATGGAGTTGCAGGACGACGGCACATGGCGCGTCGATGGCGTCAATCTGCGCAAGGGCGCGGCGGGCCTGACCTGACTTGACCTGCTCTTGGCCTAGCCGAGACGCCCCAAGGCCGGGAACTGTTCGAGCAGCCAGAAGGCCATCGCCTGCATGCCGCCGGTCAGGAAAAGGATGCCGGCGAGAACCAGAAGTGCGCCGATCAGCTTTTCGACCGTCCCCAGATGCGCGCGAAAGCGAGTCAGAAAGCGCATGAACTGGCCCGAGAACATCGCCGCAATCAGGAACGGAATTCCGAGGCCCGCCGAATAGACCGCCAGAAGGCTCGCGCCCTGCCCGACACTGTCCTGGGCGCCGGCAAGCGTCAGGATCGGGCCCAGGACCGGTCCGATGCAGGGCGTCCAGCCAAAGGCGAAGGCAAGCCCCATCACATAGGCGGCGGCCGGGTTGGCGGGCACCCCCCGGCTTTGGAACCGCGCCTCGCGCGACAGGAGGCCAATGCGGAACAGGCCGAGAAAATTCAGCCCCATGATGATGATCACGACGCCGGCGATCATGGCCAACTCGGTCTGCCAGACGCGCAGGAACCCGCCAATGGTCGAAGCGCCAGCCCCCAGCGCGATGAAGACGGTTGAGAAACCAAGCACGAAAGCAAGAGCCGCGGTCATGAGCGGCAGACGCACCGCGGTCAGGCGCGCTGTCGCCGCGCCCGACGCGTCGGGCGTGATGCCGGGGTCGCCGTCCGCGTCGCGGAACTGGTCCATCGACACGCCGGCCATGTAGCACAGATAGGGCGGAACGAGCGGCAGCACGCAGGGCGTGACGAACGAGATCATGCCCGCGCCGAATGCGCTTAGATAGGAAATGTCGATCGCCATGGCCGTGCGGTTGCTATGCCTTCGGGTTCGTTCGCCCGGCTTCAGGGCCGGGATTTGGTCGCTGTTAACACAGAACGACGTTCGCAATCACATGCCAATTGCGTGATGCGGCGCGGCACAATGTCATTGGCGTTCGGCTGCGGGAAACCCGGTTGACCGGACCGCCGGCTTTGCGTATGGACCCTTTGCCCGCGCCGGCATCCCGGCGCGGTTTCCCTTGTCGGGAGCGCGTAGCTCAGCTGGTAGAGCAACTGACTTTTAATCAGTAGGTCCAGGGTTCGAGCCCCTGCGCGCTCACCAACAAAATCAAGCGGTTTTCGATTTTTTTCACTTGGCTCGGCCGGTTCCGCCTTCGGTGTTGGCCAGTCCCGCATGGCTACCCAACGTGCCAAAGAAAACGGCCGGCCCTCGAAAGAGCCGGCCGCATGAGGTTTGACGAGCGGGCGGGTCAGGCCAGATCGAAGCGGTCCGCGTTCATCACCTTGGTCCAGGCCGCGACGAAGTCGGCGACGAACTTTTCCTTCGCATCGTCCTGGGCATAGAGTTCGGCCAACGCCCGCAATTGCGAGTTGGAGCCGAACACCAGATCGACACGCGTGCCGGTCCATTTGACCGCGCCGGTTGCCGCATCGCGGCCCTCGAACACGTCCTGCTTGTCCGACACGGGCGACCATGTGGTGCCCATATCGACCAGATTGACGAAGAAGTCGTTGGTCAGCGTGCCCGGCCGGTCGGTCAGGACGCCATGGCTGCTCTGCCCGGCATTGGCGCCGAGCGCCCGCATGCCGCCCACCAGCACCGTCATTTCCGGCGCGGTCAGCGTCAGAAGCTGGGCCCTGTCGATCAGCATCTCTTCGGCGGAGGTCGTGTAGTCGCCCTTCTGGTAGTTGCGGAAGCCGTCGGCAATCGGCTCCATCACATCGAACGAGGCGGCGTCGGTCTGCTCGTCGGTCGCATCCGTCCGGCCCGGTGTGAACGGCACGGCGATGTCATGGCCGGCATCTTTGGCGGCCTTTTCGATCGCCGCGCAGCCTGCAAGCACAATCAGGTCGGCAAGCGAGACCTTCTTGCCGCCCGAGGCGCCGTCGTTGAAGGCACGCTGGATGCCTTCGAGCATATCGAGCACCTTGGCCAGCTGCGCCGGATCGTTGGCTTCCCAGTCCTTTTGCGGCGCAAGGCGGATGCGCGCGCCATTGGCGCCGCCGCGCTTGTCCGAGCCGCGGAAGGTCGAGGCCGAGGCCCAGGCCGTCGAGACGAGTTCGGCCACCGACAGGCCCGATGCGAGGATTTTCGCCTTCAGACCGGCGATGTCGGCATCGTCGATCAGCGCGTGGTCGACCGCCGGCACCGGATCCTGCCAGATCAGGTCTTCGGCCGGCACCTCGGCGCCCAGATAGCGCGCTTTCGGCCCCATGTCGCGGTGGGTCAGCTTGAACCATGCACGCGCGAACGCATCGGCCAGTTCGTCCGGATTCTGATGGAAATGACGGGAAATCGGCTCGTAGATCGGGTCCATGCGCATCGCCATGTCGGCGGTGGTCATGATGATCTTGCGGTTGCGCTCGCCGGTCTCGGGGTCGGGCGCGTGGTCCTCGGGCTTGAGGTCCTTGGGCGTCCATTGCCAGGCGCCCGCCGGGCTCTTGACCAGTTCCCACTCATAGCCGAACAGCACGTCGAAATAGCCGTTGTCCCATTGGGTGGGATTGGGCGTCCAGGCACCCTCGATGCCGCTGGTGATCGTGTCGGCGCCCTTGCCGCTGCCATGGGTCGACAGCCAGCCAAGGCCCATCGCTTCGATCGGCGCGCCCTCGGGCTCGGGGCCCACCAAAGCGGCGTCGCCCGCGCCATGGGTCTTGCCGAACGTGTGTCCGCCGGCGGTCAGAGCCACGGTTTCGTAATCGTCCATCGCCATGCGGGCGAAGGTCTCGCGGATGTCGCGGCCCGAGGCGACCGGATCGGGTTTGCCGTTGGGGCCTTCGGGATTGACGTAGATCAGGCCCATCTGAACTGCTGCGAGCGGATTTTCCAGATCGCGCTCGCCGCTGTAGCGCTCATCGCCGAGCCATTCGGTTTCCGAACCCCAATAAATGTCCTCTTCCGGCTCCCAGATATCGGCGCGGCCGCCGCCAAAGCCGAACGTCTTGAAGCCCATCGATTCGAGCGCGACATTGCCGGCGAGGATCATCAGATCGGCCCAGGAGATCGCGTTGCCATATTTGCGCTTGATCGGCCACAAAAGGCGCCGCGCCTTGTCCAGATTGGCGTTGTCCGGCCAGGAGTTGAGCGGCGCGAAACGCTGCGTACCCGACGAAGCCCCACCCCGGCCGTCCGCCGTGCGGTAGGTGCCGGCGCTGTGCCACGCCATGCGGATGAACAGGCCGCCATAATGGCCGTAGTCGGCCGGCCACCAGTCCTGGCTGTCGGTCATCAGCGCGTGCAGATCCTTCTTGACCGCGTCCAGATCGAGTTCGCCGAACGCCTCGGCATAGTCGAACGCGCCGCCCATCGGGTCGGTCAGCGCCGAATTCTGGTGCAAAATCTTGATGTTGAGCTGGTTCGGCCACCAGTCGCGGTTCGACCGGACGCCGAAATTGGTGTGCATCACGGGACATTTGCCGGTGATTTCGCCGGTGGGAGCGTTCATGGGTTCCTCCGAATATGCGCGTGGGTTTTGGGGCTCTTTAGAATCGTACCAAACTAGGCTCATCAGGTGAAGTTGTATTTGCTGATTTGTGCGATAAGCTCACCTTATGAACAACCTGACGCTGAAACAGCTGCGCTATTTCGAGGCTTTGGCCCGGCACGGCCATTTTGGACGGGCCGCGGAGGCGTGCGCCATCTCGCAGCCGGCACTTTCCATGCAGATCAGGGAGTTGGAGGATGCGCTCGGCACGGCATTGTTCGAGCGCGGCCCACGGCAGGTCCGGCTCACCGGATTCGGCGACGAATTTGCTGAACGCGCACGGGCGATCCTGCGGTCCGTCGACGAGTTGGGGGACCTCGCGCGGGCATCGCGTGACCGGCTGGCCGGTCGGTTGCGCATCGGCGTCATTCCGACCATCGCGCCCTACCTGCTGCCGACCATTATCGGCGATCTGGCGCGGACCCATGGCGATCTCGATATCCGGGTGCGCGAGACCGTTACGCCAAAGCTCATGCGTGAACTGACCGAAGGCCGGCTCGACACCGCAATCGTTGCTTTGCCCGTATCAGAACCGTCCTTTGCCGAGACGGCCCTGTTCAAGGAGGACTTCGTGCTCGTCCGGCCGGGCGCCGACGCCGGCAAGCCGGTGCCGAGCCCCGAAATGCTGCGCGAGATGCGGCTGTTGCTGCTTGAAGAGGGCCACTGTTTCCGGGATCAGGCGCTGTCCTTCTGCAATCTGCGCTCGCCGCTGCCGCGCGAGCTTTTGGACGGCAGTTCGTTGTCGACGCTGGTCCAGATGGTCGGCGCCGGCATCGGCGTCACGCTGATCCCGGAAATGGCGGTGCCGGTGGAAACGCGCTCGGCATCGGTCTCGGTCGCGCGCTTCGGCGACCCGCAACCGTCGCGTACGGTCGGCATGATCTGGCGGCGGACGAGCCCGCTTGCCAAGCAATTGACGCAGATCGCGGGACTTGTCCGGCAATCCGCCGAGACGCTGCGCGTTGCGCATTCGATGCAGCCGGACGGTGCCTGAAACAAAAAACGGGCCGCAAAGGCCCGTTTTCGTTTGGTGATCCCGTTATGGGATATGTGGGTCGATCAGGCCGCGGTCAGATTGTCGGCCGAGCTTTTGCCCGAGCGCTGGTCCTGAACCACCTCGTAGTTGATCTTCTGGCCTTCGTCGAGGCCGTGCATGCCGGCGCGCTGAACCGCGGAGATGTGCACGAACACATCGTTGCCGCCTGCTTCAGGCTCGATGAAACCAAAACCCTTGGTGGCGTTGAACCACTTGACGGTACCTGTTGCCATTTGCGTCATCCTTTTCGTTGAACGCTTAGTGACGTGCGGCCAAGCCGGGCCGCTTTCCGATCGAGTCGTCTTTTGGAAGTGAGAACGTCAGCAGGCGTGGATAACGCGAGGCCAAAGTACGTCGGGCCAAAAAGTGTCGATGCCCCCATATGGCGGGTAATTGTGCCAATAGCAAGGCAAGATGATGCGCGGAGCGCTCCGGACGCTATCGGGCGGGCTCGGCGGCCCTGCGGATATCGGCACCGATCAGAACATCCACATCGCGTTTGGGCATCGGTTTGTGGAACAGGAACCCCTGCCCCCTTTCACAGCCGATCCTGCGCAGCAATTCGGCTTCGGCCTGCACCTCGATGCCCTCTGCCACCGTCGTATAGCCAAGGTCTCGGCCCAGATGGATCAGCGAACGGACGATCGACTGGTCGGCCGCCGAGCGCGACAGATCCTTGATAAAGGACTTGTCGATCTTCAGGATGTTGAACGGCAGGCTTTTGAGGTGGGTCAGCGAGGAGTAACCCGTGCCGAAATCGTCGAGCGCGATCGAAACGCCGGCTTCCCGCAGATGCCTGAGCTGATCCGTCACCGCCGGCGCGGCATGGCTGATGATCGTCGTTTCGGTGACTTCGATGATGAAATTGTGCGGCTGCAGGCCATGGCGCGACAGCGCCTCGATCACCCGCAGCGCAAAGCCGGGCTGGCGCAGCACCGCTGCCGTGACATTGATCCCGATTCGGCCGAAGGAGCCGCCTTTTTGCTGCCAGTCCGCCATGTCCAGGCAGACCTGCTCCAGCATCGCATTGCTCAACTCCACGCTGACCCTTGCATCGTCGAAAACCTCGACGAACTGGCCGGCGGTCAGAATGCCTTGTTCGGGATGATCCCAGCGTGCAAGCGCCTCCATCCCGGTGATCCGGCCGCTCGAGAGTTCGACAACCGGCTGGTACCAGGGCACCACGCGCCCCTGTTTCAGCGCATCGGCAAACTCCTGGACGACCAGCACGCGCCGATGGAAGCTTTCCTCCATTTCCGGCTCGTAACACTTCAGATTGGTCGCCGCGTCGCGCTTGCCGTCGTAAAGCGCCAGATCGGCGCGCCGCAGCAAGGCCTGCACGTCGGTGCCGTGCGTCGGTGCGACGGTGTATCCGGCGGTGGCCTGCACGGTGACATTGACATCGGCGATCTCGACTTCGTGCTGCAGCGCCTCATAGAGCGTATCGACGGCAGACGTCAGTTCGATCGACCTGTGCCCGTCGCCGATCAGGACGGCGAACTCGTCGCCGCCCATCCGCGCGAAGAACCAGTGCTGCGGCAAGGCCGACCCGAACTGGTCTGCAAAACGCACCAGAACCTGATCGCCGACATCATGGCCGTATTGATCGTTGACCTGCTTGAAACGGTTGAGATCGATCACGCACAGCAGAAAACTGCGGCCGCTCCTGGCCGCCTTTTCCGCCACCTCGTCCAGCTTTTCGTTGAAGGCGGCGCGATTGGCGATCCCGGTCAGCGCGTCGGTCAGCGCCAGGTGCCGCATCTTCAGCTCCTGTTCGCGCTGCTCGGTCACGTCCTGGAATGTGCCGAACAGCCGGGCCGTGCGCCCGTCCACCACCTCCGGCTCGCCGATCACGCGGGCCCATCGATGCGCGCTGGCCGAAGCATCCAGCTCGAGAATCAGATCGAAAGGCTGCTGGTGCCTGATGGCCTCGGCGATCGCGGCCTGGAAAACCGCGCGGGATTTCGGCGCAAACGGACGCTTCGACATTTCCGGCGTCATCGGCGCGCCGATCGGCGCCCCCAGTATGCGGTAGATCTCGTCGCTCATCGAGATGTGTCCGTCGCCGACGGCCCAGCGCCAGGCGCCGATGCGCGACACCCGCTCGATATGGGCCAGAAGGGTCTGCTGCAGCTTTGCCTCGCGGCCGGTCGCCGCCAGCAACGCCCGATCCCGCATCTGCTCGGTGATATCGCGCGCGACGCCGCGATAGCCGACGAAACGGCCATCGGGGCCGTGGTGGGGAATGCCGTTCGATTCAAACCAGCGCACGGAGCCGTCGCTGGCTTCCAGCGGATAGCGGAAACGGCGGAACGGCCGGCGCTCTTCGAGCGTCCGCCGATGTTCGGTCCAGATGTCGGCATCGAGATCGCGGGTGGCAATCTGCGAGCGCGATCGGCCGATGAAATCGCGGGCCGGCAGACCGGTCAGCTCGGAGAACCCGTTGCTGAGATAGGTCAGGACGAGGTTCTCGTCCGTTTCCCAGGCCCAGAAATCGGCGACCTCGAGATAGTCGTCGACCAGATAGCTGCCCTTGGCCCGTGTCACTCGGTTTCCCCCGCTCCTCAGCAAGACAGGGAAACATGATAGGGTTTCGGCAAAGTAAACCGCCGAACCCCGGAATATTGGGCCGGCGGATGACGACTATACCAACCGGCTTTGACCGATCGCCGCCTCGATAAAGCTGGCGAACAGCGGATGCGGCTCGAACGGGCGCGATTTGAGTTCGGGGTGATACTGCACGCCGATGAACCAGGGATGGTCGGCATATTCGATCGTCTCGGGCAGCACGCCGTCCGGCGACAGGCCGGAAATCGTCAGGCCGGCCTGCTCCAGCGCGTCCTTGTGCTCGATATTGACCTCGTATCGATGCCGGTGGCGCTCGGAGATGCGCGTATCGCCGTAGATGGACGCAATCCGGCTGCCCTCTTCGAGCACCGCGTCATAGGCGCCAAGCCGCATCGTGCCGCCAAGATCGCCCTCGCGCGTGCGCTTTTGGAGCATGTTGCCCTTCAGCCACTCGGTCATGATGCCGACCACGTTGGTGCCCGGCTTTTCGAACTCCGAGGAGACGGCGTCATCGATGCCGGCCAGGTTGCGCGCCGCATCCAGCACAGCCATCTGCATGCCGTAGCAGATGCCGAAATAGGGCACTTTACGCTCACGGGCGAAGCTGGCCGCCTTGATCTTGCCTTCCGCGCCACGTTCGCCGAAGCCGCCCGGCACCAGGATGCCATGCACCTTTTCAAGGTGCGGCGCGGCGTCCTCGCTGTCGAAGATCTCCGATTCGATCCATTCGATGTTGACCTTCACCCGGTTGGCGATGCCGCCATGGTGAAGCGCCTCGATCAGCGATTTATAGGCGTCCTTGAGGCCGGTATACTTGCCGACGACGGCAATGGTGACCTCGCCTTCGGGATTGTGGATGCGGGCGCACACATCGTCCCACACATGCATGCGGGGCTTGGGCGCCGGCTCGATCCCGAATGCGGCGAGCACTTCGGCGTCCAGCCCCTCGCCGTGGTAGGCCTTGGGCACGTCGTAGATGTTCTTGACGTCGAGCGCCTGGATGACGGCGCTTTCGCGCACGTTGCAGAACAGGGACAGCTTGCGCCGCTCGGCTTCGGGGATGGGCCGGTCGGCGCGCACCAGCAATATGTCGGGCGCGATGCCGATCGAGCGCAGCTCCTTGACCGAATGCTGGGTCGGCTTGGTCTTCAGTTCGCCCGCCGCCGGAATCCACGGCATCAGCGTCAGATGGACATAGACCGCGTTGCCGCGCGGCAGATCGTTGCCGAGCTGGCGAATCGCCTCCATGAAGGGCATCGCCTCGATGTCGCCGGCGGTGCCGCCGATCTCGCACAGGACGAAATCGTAGCCCTCATTGCCCTCGACCACGAATTGCTTGATCTCGTCGGTGACGTGCGGGATCACCTGCACCGTCGCGCCCAGATAGTCGCCGCGCCGCTCCTTGGTGATGATGTTCTGGTAGATGCGCCCGGTGGTGATGTTGTCGTGCTTGTTGGCCGACCTTCCCGTGAACCGCTCGTAATGGCCAAGGTCGAGATCGGTCTCGGCGCCATCGTCGGTGACGAACACCTCGCCGTGCTGATAGGGGCTCATCGTGCCCGGATCGACATTGAGATAGGGGTCGAGCTTTTTCAGCCGGACCGAATAGCCGCGCGCCTGCAGAAGCGCGCCCAGAGCGGCGGAAGCAATGCCTTTTCCAAGGGAGGAGACCACGCCACCGGTGATGAAGACGTACCGTGCCATGGGACCTCACGCTTAGAGGGGCGGATGCGATTCCGCAAAGGAAAAATCGTGTTGCGAACAGAAAGGATGGCCGGCGACAAGCCCGCCGCCGATCGACCGGTCAGTTGTTGGGGACGCCGCCCGATGCGCCGCCGCCCGAGGGTACGCCGCCCGCCGGCACCTCGCTGCCCGAAGGCACGTCGGAGGACGGGCTTTCACCGCCCAGAAGATCGAGCACCCCGCCCTCGCCCAGCACCGGCTCGCCGGTCTCGGCGTCGATCGACTCGCCGATCGCCGGAATGCGGTCGAGAACGTCGGTCGGGTCGGTGCCGTAGCGGCCCAGAAGACCCAGGCTCACCGAGGTGACGAAGAAGGCGGCGCCCAGAATGACGGTCAGCCGCGTCAGCGGATTGGCCTGACCGCGCGCGCTCATCGCATTGTTGCCGCCGCCAATGCCCAGGCCGCCGCCTTCGGACCGCTGCAACAGCACGACGCCGACAAGCGCGATCACGATCATGAGGTGAATGACGATCAGGATGGTCTGCATGGATCAAGGATTTCCGTCTTCGGCGCGGATGCGATGTCGGGGCCGATGGATGAATTGGCGCGTCTGTACATGGATTGCCACGCCCTGCCAAGGCCGGGCCGATGCCCGTCCCGTGATCAGCGCGCCTGCACTGTCGCGCAGATGGCAAGGAAGTCGTCCGATTTCAAGCTCGCCCCGCCGACCAGCGCGCCGTCCACCGAGGAAATCCCGAAGATTTCGCCCGCATTGGCCGGCTTGACCGACCCGCCATAAAGCAGCCGGAAGCGTGCGCCGGCCGGGCCGAAGCGTTCACGCAGACGTTGGCGCATGTGATCGTGCATTGCCTCGATATCGTGCAGCGACGGCGTCAGGCCGGTGCCGATCGCCCACACCGGCTCATAGGCGACGACGGTGTTTCCGGGCTCCGCATCCTTGGGCAGCGAGCCCGCAAGCTGGGTGTCGACCACATCCATCGCCTGGCCGTCCTCGCGCTCCTGCCGCGTTTCGCCGACGCAGACGATGGCCGTCAGTCCCTGGGCATGGGCGGCCAGCGTCTTGTCCATCACGTCGATATCGGTCTCGCCATGGTCGGCACGCCGTTCCGAATGGCCGACAATGACATGGGTTGCGCCCGCATCGGCGAGCATCGCCGCCGAGACGTCGCCCGTATGCGCGCCGCTCTCGGCACCGTGGCAATCCTGGCCGCCAATGGCGAGCGGCGAGCCGACCACTGTCTTGATCGCCCGGTCGATAAGCGTCGCCGGCACGCAGATCAGCGCGTCGTAGGGCGAACTGGACCGGGTGCCGTCAACACCGTCGGCGATCCGCTTGAGTTCGGGCAATTCGGCTGCGGTGCCGTTCATCTTCCAGTTTCCGGCGATCAGCGGGCGGACGCGGTCGGCCATGGTCGGTCTCTCCAGGTTCGGTTGCCGCCTGCTAGCGTGTTTGACGCCGCAAAAAAAGCCCCGTGCGGGCCATGACCGCGCCATCCGCCGGCGCTTGCATCGGCCGCATTGGCTACCTAAGAAGGCGCAAGAAACTCAACCGGTGGATTAAATGCTCGGTTCCCTGCGCGATGCGGCCAAGACATGGGTCGCCAAACTGCTTTTGCTGCTGCTGATCCTGTCGTTTGCCGTCTGGGGCATTTCCGACCAGATCCTGGGCGGCGGTGGCGGCAATGTCGTCATCGAGGCCGGCGAAACGTCGGTCACCGCGCAGCAGTACCGCCTCGCCTATGACCGCCAGCTTGCGATCCAGTCGCAACAGTTCGGCACCCGGCTGACGCGCGAACAGGCGCGCCTTCTGGGCATCGACAATGCGGTGCGGGCGCGCATGGTCGGCTCGGCCGTGCTCGACGAGCAGGCACGCGTCATGGGACTTGGCCTGTCCGAGGACCGGCTGGCCGGCCTGATCGCCGAGGACCAGGCCTTCCAGGGGCTGGACGGACGCTTCGACCGCAGTCAGTTCCGCCTGATTCTGCGCGAGGTCGGCATGACCGAGGCCGACTATATCGTCGACCGCGAACAGGCCGCGATCCGCCAGCAGATCATCGAGGCGGTCGCCGACGGCATCACGATGCCCGACACCTTCCTGGAGGCCGTTCATCGCTATCAGGGCCAGACCCGCGATGTCAGCTTCGTGGAAATCGACTCGTCGGCGCTGACGCCGCCGGGCACGCCCGATCAGGCTGCGCTGGAAGCGTTCTTCGAGGAGAACAAGGACGATTACCGCGCACCGGAATACCGGACCATCCAGTATGTACTGCTGACGCCCGAGAGCATCGCCGATCCCGGCGCGATCGATACCGAGACCGTGCGCGCCGAATATGAAGACAATCGCGCCCGCTACGCGCAACCCGAAACCCGCACGATCCAGCAGCTCGTCTTTGCCGATGAAGACAGCGCGCAGGCCGCGCGCGAGCGCATCCTTGCCGGACAGAGCTTCGAGGACGCGGTTGCGGACACCGGCCGCACGATGGCCGACGCGTCGCTCGGCACGCTCGAGCGTGCCGACGTTCCCGACGCGGCAGTGGCCGAAGCGGCGTTCGGCCTTGCCGAGGCAGGCGATATCTCGGACGTGGTCGACGGCGCTTTCGGTTCGGTGCTGGTGCGGGTGACGGAAATTCAGCCCGAGCGGGTCCAGCCGTTCGACGAGGTGGCAGACGGCATTCGCGAAGAACTGGCCGCGCTGGAAGCGCGTGACGTGCTGCTCGACATTCATGACGGATATGAGGATGCCCGTGCCGGCGGGTCATCCATGGCCGAAGCCGCCGCAACGCAGCGAATCGCCATGGAAACGCTTCCCGCTATCGATGCGAACGGCAATGGCGAGGATGGCCAGCCGGTCGAGGGAATTCCGGAAGCCGGCGCGCTGCTGCAGGCTTCGTTCGCCGCCGAGATCGGCGAGGAATCGCGGCCGCTGGACGCCGGCCGCGAAGGTTTCCTGTGGTATGAGGTGACCGGCATCGACCCCGAACGGGACCGCACGCTCGACGAGGTGCGCGACCGGGTGATCGCCGACTGGCAGGCCGCGCAGATCGAAGACGCGCTCGATGCAGCCGCCGACGCGGTCGCGCAAGCCCTGCGCGATGGCGGCGATCCCTCAACGATCGCCGCCGACAATGGCTATCGCGCCGATGTCAAATTCGGCCTGTCGCGCAGCGGCGAAGATGCCGATTTCGGCGCAGCGGCCCTTGCGGCGGTATTCGGTGTCGGCCCGCGCGGCGTCGACATCGCCGAGGGCGCGACCGGCGACCGGCGGCTGGTCTTCCGGGTCGACCAGATCACCAACCCGCTCGGCGGCGCCGAGAGCATCGATCCGTCGCTGCGCGCAAATCTCGGCGGCAATCTGGCCGACGATCTGCTCAACCAGATGGTCAACCGGCTGCAAAGCGAGTTTCCGGTGACGCTTTATCCGACCGCGCTCGAGCGCGCGCTCGACGCGGGCACCTGAGGCGAACCGACATGGCCGACATCAAACCGCTGATCGCCAAGGCTGCCGACGGCCATCCGCTGACAGGCGACGAGGCGCGTCAGGCCTTCGACATCATCATGTCGGGCGATGCGACGCCCGCGCAGATCGGCGGGTTCCTGATGGGTCTGAGGGTCCGCGGCGAGACGGTCGATGAGATCGTCGGCGCGGTTGCCACAATGCGCGCCAAGATGCGGCCGGTGAAGACCGACAAGCCGGTGATCGACATTGTCGGCACGGGCGGCGACAACTCCGGCTCCTACAACGTCTCGACGCTTGCCGCGATCATCGCCGCGGGCGCCGGCGCCCATGTCGCCAAGCATGGCAACCGGTCGCTGTCGTCGAAATCGGGCGCCGCGGACGCGCTTTCCGAACTGGGCGTCGATATCGAGGCCGAACCCGAGACGATCGCGCGCTGCATCGACGGCGCGCGTCTTGGTTTCATGTTCGCGCCGGTCCACCATCCGGCGATGCGCCATGTCGGCCCCTACCGGGTCGAACTGGGCACGCGCACCATCTTCAACCTGCTCGGCCCGCTGTCGAACCCGGCCAGCGCGTCGCGGCAGGTTGTCGGCGTGTTCGCCCCCCATTGGGTCGAACCGCTCGCCCATGTGCTCAAGGCGCTCGGATCGGAACATGTCTGGGTGGTCCATGGCGAAGGGCTGGACGAGCTGACCACCGCCGGCGAGACAATGGTCGCCGAACTCAGGGACGGCGCGGTGCATACCTTCACGCTTGCACCCGGGGATGCCGGTCTGCCGCGCGCCAGACCCGACGACCTGAAGGGCGGTGCACCGGCCGAAAACGCCGCGGCGTTGCGCGCGGTGCTCGAAGGCGCCCACAACGCCTATCGCGACATTGCCTGCCTCAATGCGGGCGCCGGGCTGGTGGTGGCCGGTCTTGCCGGCGACATAGCCGAGGGTGTGACGAAGGCCCAGGCCGCACTCGACGATGGCAGCGCCAAGGCCGTCTTGGACAAGGTCGTCGCCATCTCGACGGGGAAGGGCTGAGCCATGGCCGACATTTTGCGCAAGATCGAAGCCTACAAGCGCGACGAGATCGCGGCAGCCAAGGCCACCGTATCGGTATCGGCGCTCGAAGACCGGATCGCCAATGCCGAACCGCCGCGCGGCTTTGCCGGGGCGCTGCGCGCGAAGAGCGCCGCCGGAGATTACGGGTTGATCGCCGAGATCAAGAAGGCCAGCCCGTCCAAGGGGTTGATCCGCGCCGACTTCGACCCGCCGGCGCTTGCCCTTGCCTATGAGGCGGGCGGCGCGGCCTGTCTTTCCGTTCTGACCGATACGCCGTCCTTTCAGGGCGCGCCGGACTTTCTGACCGTGGCGCGGGCCACGACCGCCCTGCCCGCGCTGCGCAAGGACTTCATGTTCGATACCTATCAGGTGCTCGAAGCGCGCGCCTGGGGCGCCGACGCGATCCTGATCATCATGGCGAGCGTCGACGACGCGCTGGCGCGCGATCTCGAGCAGGCCGCCTTCGATCTGGGCATGGATGCGCTGGTCGAGGTGCACGATGCCACGGAAATGGAGCGCGCATTGCGCCTCGATTCAAAGCTGATCGGCATCAACAACCGCAATCTGCGCACCTTCGAGGTGGATCTTGCGACCAGCGAGCATCTGGCGCCGATGGTGCCCGATGACAGGCTGCTGGTCGGCGAAAGCGGCATCTTCGCGCCCGAGGATTGCGCGCGGCTGGCGCGCGCCGGCATCACCACGTTTCTGGTCGGCGAAAGCCTGATGCGACAGACCGACGTGACGGCGGCTACACGCGCGCTGCTCACCCGGCAGACGGCGGCGGCCTGAGATGGGCGATACGCCCCTCACCCATCTGGACGACAGCGGCGCCGCGCACATGGTCGATGTGTCGGCCAAGGCGGACAGCGTGCGCGAGGCAACCGCCGAAGGCCATGTTGCGATGGCAGCGGCGACGCTCGACGCGATCCTTGCCGGCGACGCGGCCAAGGGCGACGTGATCGGCACGGCACGGCTGGCCGGCATCATGGCCGCCAAGAAGACATCCGATCTGATTCCGCTGTGCCACCCGCTGCCGATCGCCAAGGTGACCGTCGAAATCGAACCGGCCAGCGGTGGTCTTGATGTGCGCGCCACCGTGCGCGTGACCGGCAAGACCGGGGTCGAGATGGAAGCGCTGACCGCCGTCAGCGTCGCCTGCCTGACCATCTATGACATGGCAAAAGCGCTCGATAAGGCGATGGAGATCAAGGACATTCGCCTTCTTTCAAAGACCGGCGGCAAGTCCGGCGAATGGCGTCGTCCGGATGCGGCGGCGGACAAGGGCTGATGGCGATGATGCCGGTCGCCGACGCGCTTGGGCGGCTTCTCGCCGATGCAGGCGCGCTCGAAACCGAAACGGTTCCGCTGCATGACGCCAGGGGCCGCGTTCTCGCCGACGACATCGCCGCCCTGCGCACCCAGCCGCCCTTCACCGCCTCGGCCATGGACGGCTATGCGGTGCGCGCCGCCGATGTCGGCGGGACGCCCGCAACACTGGAAGTGATCGGCGCGGTTGCCGCCGGCGAGGTCTTTTCCGGTCGCGTGGAGCCCGGCCAGACCGTCCGCATCTTCACCGGAGCGCCGCTGCCCGACGGTGCCGATGCGATCCTGATCCAGGAAGATGCCGAGCCCGCCGGCGAACAGGCGATCCGCGCGCTGGAACCTGTGGTGGCCGGCCGCTATCTGCGCCCTGCCGGGCTCGATTTTGCCGAAGGCGATGTGCTGCTCGAAAAAGGCACGGTGCTCGATGCCGGCCATCTGAGCCTTGCCGCCGCCGGCAATCATGCCGGCCTGCCCGTTATCCGTCGCCCGATCGTCGGCGTTTTGGCGACTGGCGACGAACTGGTCGCTCCGGGCAACGAGACCGGGCCCGGCCAGATCGTTGCATCCAACGGGTACGGCGTCGCCGCGATCGCCCGCGACGCAGGCGCCGAAGTGATCGACCTTGGCATTGCGCGCGACAGCGCCGCTTCGCTCGAAGCCAAGCTGGACGAGGCGATGGCTGCCAAATGCGACGTTCTGATCACGCTGGGCGGGGCTTCGGTCGGCGATCATGATCTCGTCCGCCCGGTCTTCTCCGAGCGGGGCATGACGCTTGATTTCTACAAGATCGCGATGCGCCCGGGAAAGCCGATGATGTTCGGCCGGCTCGGCGCGATGCGCGTGCTGGGCCTGCCCGGCAATCCCGTTTCCAGCCTCGTCTGCACGCATCTGTTCGTCGTGCCGCTGCTTGAAACGCTTGGCGGCCGCCCGCAAAGCCAGCGGCGGACCACGGCCAGGCTCGGCGCCCCGATCGGCCAGACCGGCCCACGCGAACACTATATGCGCGCAAGCCTTGAGCGGGACGAACGCGGCGCGCTGGTTGCCACCGCCTTCGACAATCAGGATTCCTCGATCATCCGGCTCTATGCGGCGGCGGACGCGCTGATCGTCCGGGCGCCGGACGCGCCAGCGGCGGAAGCGGGCGAAACGGCCGAGATCGTCATGCTGCGCGAGCCGCGCTGAACGCCGGCGTCAGGCCGTCCGCTTGGACAGGGCCAGCCAGATGCCGCCGCCGATCAGGAACGTGCCCGAGACCTTCTCGAGGATGCGCACGTTGCGGCGGCTCAGAAGTCCCCCCGTCTTGCCGGCGGCGAGCGCATAGGCGCCGTCGAGCACCGTTGCCACAGCCATGAAGATCAGGCCCAGCAGCAGCGTCTGCAACGCGGCATTGCCCTCGGGCACGATGAATTGCGGGATAAAGGCGCCGAAGAAGAACAGCGCCTTGGGGTTCGACCAGATGACGAAGAAGCCCTGCCAGAAATAGCCGCGCAGCGACCGCTCCGCCACATCCTTCGCGTCAGGATCGCCAAGCGAACCGTCCGACCGCCACAGCTTGATGCCGAGCCAGATCAGATAGGCCGCGCCGGCCAGCTTGAGCCAGACGAACATCTCGCCCATCACCGAGACGACCGTTTCGAGCCCCAGCGCCAGAACGCCGATCATGACCAGAAGGCCGGCCTGCGTGCCCGCGACATTGGCAAGCCCCGAGCGCGCGCCGGTTCGCAGCGAATTGGCGATGATCACGGTGACGGTCGGCCCCGGCACGATGACGATCAGCGCGCAGGCAAGCGTATAGGCGACAAGGGTCGGCCAGTCGATCATGGCGGCTTACTCCGGCGTGCCTTCAACCGTGTCTTCGGCACCCGTTTCTAGCGCGGCTTCATCATCTTCGCCATCGCCATTCTCGGTTTCCGGAATGCGTTCGACCGAGACGACCTTTTCGCCCTCGCGCGTCGAAAAGATCGTCACACCCTTGGTGGCGCGGCTGGCAAAGCGGATGCCCCCGACCGGCACGCGGATCACCTGTCCCGCATTCGTCACCAGCATGATCTGGTCGCCATCGTCGACCGGGAACGCGGCGACGAGATCGCCGATGTCACCGGCCTTGGAGGTGTCGGTCGCCTTGATGCCCTTGCCGCCGCGCCCCGAGACGCGGAAATCATAGGACGAGGCGCGCTTGCCATAACCGAACTCGCTGACGGTGAGCACGAACTGCTCGCGCGCCGCCAGAGCGTTGAAGCGATCATCGTCGAGCGCCACGTCGGTCGCGCCCTCCTCCTCGTCGGCGATGGCGGGTGCGGCCTCGTCCTCGGCGCCGTCATCGGCCCGGCGCAGCGCGCTGGCGCGCTTGAGATAGGCGGTGCGTTCGCCCGGCGTCGCCTCGGTGTGGCCGAGGATTGTCATCGAGATCACATGGTCGCCGGCGCCCAGCGCAATGCCGCGCACGCCGGTCGACGAGCGGCCGGCAAACACGCGGATGTCGGTGACGGGAAAGCGGATGCACTGGCCCCTGGCCGTCGTCAGCAGAACGTCATCATCCTCCGAGCAGGTCGCAACGCTGAGGATCGCATCGTCCGATCCGTCCTCGAACTTCATGGCGATCTTGCCGTTGCGGTTGACCTGTACGAAGTCGCTCAGCTTGTTGCGGCGCACCGAACCGGACGTCGTCGCGAACATCACATTGAGATCGGCCCAGCTTTCCTCGTCCTCGGGCAGCGGCATGATCGTGGTGATCCGCTCGTCGGCCTCAAGCGGCAGCATGTTGCGCAGGAACTTGCCGCGCGACTGCGGCGTGCCGACAGGCAGGCGCCAGACCTTTTCCTTGTAGACGATGCCGCGCGAGGAAAAGAACAGGATCGGCGTGTGCGTGTTGGCGACGAACAGCCGGGTGACGAAATCCTCGTCCTTGGTCGACATGCCCGCCCGGCCCTTGCCGCCGCGGCGCTGCGCCCGATAGGTGTCGAGCGGCACGCGCTTGATGTAGCCCTGGTGCGAGAACGTGACGACCATGTCCTCGCGCGCGATCAGGTCCTCATCGTCCATGTCCGGGCCGCCCTCGGCCAGTTCGGTGCGGCGCGGCGTGCCGAACTCGTCTTTCACGGCGGAAAGCTCGTCCTTGACGATCTGCTGGATGCGCTGGCGCGACGACAAGATGTCGAGATAGTCGCGGATCTGCTCGCCGATCGTGTTCAGTTCGTCGGCGATCTCGTCGCGGCCGAGCGCGGTCAGGCGCTGCAGGCGCAGATCGAGAATGGCGCGCGCCTGCTCCTCGGACAGATGGTAGGTGCCGTCCTCGTTGAGCATGTGGCGCGGATCGTCGATCAGCGCCACCAGGGGCGCGACATCCTTGGCCGGCCAGCGCCGCGTCATCAATTGTTCGCGCGCGGTCGCGGGGTCCGGCGCGGCACGGATCAGCGCGATCACCTCGTCGATGTTGGCGACCGCGATGGCAAGGCCGACCAGCACATGGGCGCGCTCGCGGGCGCGGCGCAGCAGATATTTGGTGCGGCGGCTGACGACGACCTCGCGGAAGGCGGCAAAGGCGCGCAGCATGTCGAGCAGGTTCATCTGCTCGGGCTTGCCGCCATTGAGCGCAACCATGTTGGCGCCGAACGAGGTCTGCAGCGGCGTGAAGCGGTAGAGCTGGTTGAGGATCACGTCCGCGTTGACGTCGCGCTTGAGCTCGATCACCACGCGATAGCCCTGCCGGTCGCTCTCGTCGCGAATGTCGGAGATGCCCTCGACGCGCTTGTCGCGCACCAGATCGGCCATCTTCTCGATCATCGAGGCCTTGTTCACCTGATAGGGAATTTCGGTGACGATGATCGACTCGCGGTCGCCCGACCGCTGTTCGATATGCGTCTTGCCGCGCATGACGATCGAGCCGCGCCCGGTCTCATAGGCGCTCCTGATGCCCGAACGGCCAAGCACGATCGCCCCGGTCGGGAAATCGGGGCCGGGAATGTGCGCCATCATCTCGATCAGCGAGATCGCCGGATTGTCGATCAGCGCGATGCAGCCGTCGATCACCTCGCCCAGATTGTGCGGCGGAATGTTGGTCGCCATGCCGACCGCGATGCCGCCCGAGCCGTTGACCAAAAGGTTGGGGAAGCGGGCCGGCAGGACGACGGGCTCGGAGTCCGAGCCGTCATAATTCTCCTGGAAATCGACAGTGTCCTTGTCGATGTCCTCGAGCAGGTCGTGGGCGACCTTCTGCAGCCGCGACTCGGTGTAGCGCATCGCCGCCGGCGGATCGCCGTCGATCGAGCCGAAATTGCCCTGCCCGTCGACCAGCGGCACACGCAGCGACCAGTCCTGCGCCATGCGCACCATCGCGTCGTAGATCGCGGAGTCGCCATGGGGGTGATATTTACCCATCACGTCGCCGACGATGCGCGAGGATTTCACATATTTGCGGTTCCAGTGATAACCGCTCTCATGCATCGCATAGAGAATGCGCCGGTGCACCGGTTTCAGCCCGTCGCGCACGTCCGGCAGCGCCCGGCTGACGATCACGCTCATCGCGTAATCGAGATAGGACCGCTGCATCTCCTCGAGGATGGAAATCGGCTCGATGCCGTCTCCGGCGCCGCCATCGGCGCCGGGGGGTGTCTCGTCGTTCAAACGCTGGTTTCCCGTGTGAGAATCGTTCCGCTGAACATAGTGCCTGAAGCGCCAAAAACCAAGATTTCCAAGATATTTGGGCGCTTTTTCACAGGCAGTTGGGCAAGCGCTCGCACACAGATGAAAACGCGGGTTTCGCGCCGTGACCGGCCATGGGCACGGATCGCCGGCGGAGCGGGATTTCGATTGCCGGCGCGCAGTCCCCGGTGTAGGCGATCGCCATGGACGCGGACCTGATCATCAATGCGACGGTGACGCTGCTCGTCACCATCGATCCGGTGGGGCTGGCGCCGCTGTTTCTGGCGGTGACCGGCGGCATGGACCGTTCGCAGCGCCGCGAGGTCGGCACGCGCGCCATTCTGATCGGTTTCGTGATCATGGTGCTGTTTGCGGTTCTCGGCACGGCGATCCTCAACCTGTTCGGCGTCACGCTGGCGGCCTTCCGCGTCGCCGGCGGGCTGCTCCTGTTCTGGATCGCCTTCGAGATGATCTTTGAAAAGCGGCAGGAACGGCACGAAAACACCGCCGAACGGGCGATCTCCGCCGATCAGGTGCGCTCGGTCGCGGTCTTTCCGCTGGCCATCCCGCTGATCGCCGGGCCGGGCGCGATCTCGGCGCTGGTGCTTCTGTCGGGCGATTTCGCCGGTCCGGTCGAACGCGGCGCGCTGATCGGCATCGTCGCCGCGATCCTGGCGGTCACCTGGGTAATCTTCATCCTGGCCGAACGGGTCGACCGGCTTCTGGGCGAAACGGGCCGGTCGGTGCTGACGCGGCTTCTTGGCGTCATCCTGTCGGCGCTGGCCGTCCAGTTCGTCGCCGACGGTGTCAGGACGCTGATGGCCGCCTGACCGCCTGCCCGTTCGGCCTTGGCTCAGCGCAGCGCGTCGAGATCGACATTCATCTCCGCACCGCCGAAACCGTGCACGCTGTCGCGGGCGCGCACCGTCACCGACCCGATGGTCTCGCCAATCGAAATGCCGGACAGCGAGCGGGTGAAGGGCTGCTCGTCGACATGGGGATGCGCCAGAACGCGGCTGCCAAGCACCGCGCCGTCGGGGCCGACGACCTCCCACAGATCGGCATAATGGTCCCAGCCCTCGTCGGCGTGGGCGACGGTCACGTCGAACCGCCATGTGCCGCTGTCGGCCTGGCGCGCCTCGACGCCGACCACATCGGCTTCGCCCGCAAGCGCCATCGCGGACATGGCAAGCAAAAGCGCCAGAACGCTGACGGCGAACAGCGGCCTGAGCGCGAACTCCCGCACCACCGGCATGAAGGCGAAGCCCGATCCCGCCCCGGCGCGCACGGTATTGCGGGTCCTAGAACGGAATCTCGTCATCGAGATCGCGGACAAAGTCGTTGCCGCCCTGTTGGCCGCCCTGCTCGCCACCCTGCTGACCGCCGCCGCGATCCATGCCGCCGGCGCCCTGCCCGACGCGGTCATTGCCATAGCCGCCGCCCTGCCCGCGGCCGCCATAGCCGCCTTCGGCGTCGGCGCGGCTGTCGAGCATCTGCAATTCGCCGCGGAAGCGCTGCAGCACGATCTCGGTCGTGTATTTGTCCTGGCCGTTCTGGTCGGTCCATTTGCGCGTCTGCAGCTGGCCCTCGATATAGACCTTGGCGCCCTTCTTCAGATAGTTCTCGGCCACCTTGGCGAGATTCTCGTTGAAGATCACCACGCGATGCCATTCGGTGCGCTCGCGGCGCTCGCCCGACTGTTTGTCGCGCCATGTCTCGGACGTTGCCACCGACAGATTGACCACCGGATCGCCCGAATTCAGCCGCCGAATCTCCGGGTCCGCCCCCAGATTGCCGACGAGAATAACCTTGTTGACGCTGCCTGCCATGATGTTCGCACTCCAATGCCTGTTTGGCGCATCCTAGGCCTTCGCGCACGGCCGATGAAGACGGCCGCCCGCTGTCCACAGGGACTTTTCCGGGCGCGCCCCGCGTAACGTGCGACGCTTGCAATAAGTTCCCTTTTTGTTCTATTTTGGCGGAAACGCAATGTCAACCGCCCCGGTGATCCACAGATGCGGTGTTTCCTGTCAGCATATCGTCACGGGCGGGTCGACATGGCGCCTTAGGGGCCTACATTAGGGATCGTTTTTCCAGCGCCGGCATCGGCCGGACCATCACACCCGAACAGACTTTCATGACCGACCAGAAATTCATCACGATTCGCGGCGCGCGCGAGCACAATCTCAAGAACGTCGATCTCGACCTGCCGCGGGACGCGCTGATCGTGATGACCGGCCTGTCGGGCTCGGGCAAGTCCTCGCTGGCGTTCGACACGATCTATGCCGAGGGCCAGCGCCGCTATGTCGAAAGCCTCTCGGCCTATGCGCGCCAGTTCCTCGAAATGATGCAGAAGCCCGATGTCGACCAGATCGACGGTCTTTCGCCCGCCATCTCCATCGAGCAGAAGACGACCAGCCGCAATCCGCGTTCCACGGTCGGCACGGTGACCGAGATCTACGATTACATGCGGCTTCTGTTTGCCCGCGTCGGCGTGCCGATTTCGCCGGCGACGGGCCTGCCGATCGAGAGCCAGACGGTCAGCCAGATGGTCGACCGCATTCTGGCGCTCGAGGAAGGCACGCGGCTGTATCTGCTGGCGCCCATCGTGCGCGGCCGCAAGGGCGAATACCGCAAGGAACTGGCCGAGCTGATAAAGAAGGGCTTCCAGCGGGTCAAGGTGGACGGCGTGTTCCACGAGATCGCCGACGTTCCGGCGCTCGACAAGAAGTACAAGCACGATATCGACGTGGTGGTCGACCGGGTCATCGTGCGCGAGGACATGGCCGCGCGGCTGGCGGACTCGCTCGAACAGGCGCTGCGCCTGTCGGACGGGCTGGCGGTCGCCGAATATGCCGACAGGCCCCTGCCCGACGCCGAGACCAGTCAGGGTTCGGCCAACAAGTCCAAGAACGACACCCATGAGCGGATCGTCTTTTCGGAGAAGTTCGCCTGCCCCGTCTCCGGCTTCACCATTCCGGAGATCGAACCGCGCCTGTTCTCGTTCAACAACCCGTTCGGCGCCTGCCCGCATTGCGATGGCCTCGGCACCGAACAGGGCGTCGACCCGTCGCTTGTGGTCCCCGATCCGGGCCTGACGCTGAAAAAGGGAGCGATCGCGCCCTGGTCGAAATCGACCAATCCGTCGCCCTATTACACGCAGACGCTGACCGCGCTCGGCAAGGCCTACGGCTTCAAGCTGACCGATGCCTGGGCCGACCTGACCGATGAGAGCCAGAACGCGATCCTTTACGGCACCGGCGGCGCGGAGATCGAGTTCTCCTATGATGACGGGCTGCGCACCTACAAGGCGAAGAAGAGCTTCGAGGGCGTGATCGGCAATCTGGAGCGCCGCTGGCGCGAGACGGACTCGGCCTGGATGCGCGAGGAGATCGAGCGCTACATGGCGCAGAACCCCTGCTCGGTCTGCAACGGTCACCGGCTCAAGCCCGAGGCGCTGGCGGTGAAGATCGACGGGCTGCACATCTCGCAGGTCTCGGCCATGTCGATCCGCGCGGCAAAGGACTGGTTCGCCGACCTGCCGGACGCGCTCAACGACAAGCAGAACGCCATTGCGGTGCGGATCCTCAAGGAGATCCGCGACCGGCTGAAATTCCTCAACGACGTAGGCCTCGACTATCTGACGCTGTCGCGCGGCTCGGGCTCGCTGTCGGGCGGGGAGAGCCAGCGCATTCGCCTTGCCAGCCAGATCGGCTCGGGCCTGACGGGCGTGCTCTACGTGCTGGACGAGCCGTCCATCGGCCTGCACCAGCGCGACAATGCGCGGCTTCTGGATACGCTGCGCCATCTGCGCGATCTCGGCAACACGGTCATCGTCGTCGAACATGACGAGGACGCGGTGCTGACCGCCGACCATGTGGTCGATATCGGCCCGGCCGCCGGCATCCATGGCGGCCACATCGTGGCGTCGGGCACGCCGGCCGAGATCATGGCCAATCCCGCCTCGCTCACCGGCCAGTACCTTTCGGGCGCCAAGGGCATCGCCGTGCCGGCCGAGCGCCGTCCGGTAGACCTCAAACACCGGGCGATCAAGGTCGTCGGCGCGCGCGGCAACAATCTGCAGGACGTGTCGGCGGCGTTGCCGCTCGGCACCTTCAGTTGCGTCACCGGCGTTTCGGGCGGCGGCAAGTCCACCTTCCTGATCGAAACGCTCTACAAGGCGGCCGCGCGGCGCATCAACGGCGCCCGCGAGGCCCCCGCCGAACATGAGCGGATCGAGGGGCTCGAGCATATCGACAAGGTGATCGACATCGACCAGTCGCCGATCGGCCGCACGCCGCGCTCGAACCCGGCGACCTATACCGGCGCCTTCACGCCGATCCGCGAATGGTTCGCCCAATTGCCCGAGGCGAAGGCGCGCGGCTATCAGCCCGGGCGCTTTTCCTTCAACGTCAAGGGCGGACGCTGCGAGGCGTGCCAGGGCGACGGCGTCACCAAGATCGAGATGCACTTCCTGCCCGACGTTTACGTGACCTGCGATGTGTGCCACGGCAAGCGCTACAATCGCGAGACGCTGGAGGTGGAGTTCAAGGGCAAGTCGATCTCCGACGTTCTGGAAATGACCGTCGAGGAAGGCGTGGAGTTCTTCGCAGCGGTGCCCGCCGTGCGCGACAAGCTGGCGACGCTCGAGCGCGTCGGCCTCGGCTACATCAAAGTCGGCCAGCAGGCGACGACCCTGTCGGGCGGCGAGGCGCAGCGCGTCAAGCTGGCCAAGGAGCTGTCGCGCAGAGCAACCGGCCGCACGCTCTACATTCTCGACGAGCCGACCACCGGCCTGCACTTCCACGATGTGGCCAAGCTGCTCGAAGTGCTGCACGAACTGGTCGATGCCGGCAACACGGTCGCGGTGATCGAGCACAATCTGGAGGTCATCAAGACCGCCGACTGGGTCATCGATCTGGGCCCGGAGGGCGGCGACGGTGGCGGCGAGATTGTCGCCGAGGGCACGCTGGAGGACATCGTGGCAGCCGACCGCTCCTATACGGGCCAATTCCTGAGGGAGCTTCTCGAACGCCGCCCGGTCAAGCGCGTCGAGGCGGCGGAGTGAGGAGCGGTGGCGCTTTTGCCCAGCTTGCGGGAAAACCTGGAACGACTACCAGATCGTTCGGCTGCCGAGCAGTGTGAACTGGCGATCGTTCGTCACGAGCGCCAAGCCGTCGATTTCAGCTTGCGCGGCCAGGAGCCGGTCGAACGGGTCTCGGTGATCGCCAGCCATAAGCCCTGCCCGCCCGGCATGGGCAGCCGAAATGCTCAACACCGGGTAATTCAGGGACAGCATGGTTGGCTCGAATGCCACGGCAAGCGGTCCAATGTCGTTCCATTTGCCGATTCTGAACTTCGTGGCTGCCTCGAAAGCCGAGACGGCGCTGACGAAGACCTCGTTGTCGGTATCGGCGATCAGATCGCGTGCTCGTCGGGAGAGCTTCGGATCATCGAGAAACCACCAGGCAAGGGTGTGCGTGTCCAGCAGCAGCCTCATTCGATCGCGGTTGGCTCGCCTTTGCCCCGCTCGTGATTGTCGGGATCATAGGAATAGGCACCTTCCCAAGCCTGCAGCTCTTCTTCCGGGAGTGGGTCGAAGAAACTGTCCGGCAGGGTGAACTGCCCTTTCAGAGCGCCGGGCTTGCGCGGCTGCTTGACTTGTTCGGCCACAGGCACGAGCTTCACGGCCGGCTTGTCGCCGCGCGCGATGACCACCTCTTCGCCTGCTTCCGCGAGAGCGATCAGCTTGGAAAGATTGGTCTTGGCCTGATGCATTTTCACGATCATGCACGCAATATAGCTAACCGCTTAGCTAAGCACAATGGGACGGCGCCATCATGACCTCCGGCACCATACGCACCGGCATTGGCGGCTGGACGTTCGATGCGTGGAACCAGACCTTCTATCCGCCCGAGGTGAAGAAGAAGAACCAGCTCGACTACGCGTCCCGCCAGCTCCGGACGATCGAGATCAACGGCACCTATTATCGCGGGCAGAAGCCGGAAACCTTCGCCAAATGGGCGGCGGCGGCACCGGACGGGTTTGTCTTCGCTGTCAAGGGCAACCGGTTCGTCACCAACCGCAAGGTGCTGGCCGAGGCGGGCGAGTCGATGGACCGGTTCTTTGCCACCGGCGTCACCGAACTGGGCGACCGGCTCGGCCCGATCCTGTGGCAGTTCGCACCGACGAAAAAAATCGATCCGGACGATTTCGGCGCCTTTCTCGACATGCTGCCGCGCGAACAGGACGGCGTGGCGCTGCGCCATGCGGTCGAGGTGCGCCACGAGAGCTTTCAGGTGCCGGAATTCGTCGCACTGGCCCGCAGCCACGGCATCGCCATCGTCGGCGCGCTGCACGAGACTTACCCCGCGATCTGGGATGTCGCCGCCGATTTCGCCTATGTGCGGCTGCAGACCGGCTCGGACGATATCGAGACCTGCTATGGCGGCAACGAATTGTCGGCATGGGCCGAACGCCTGCGGCAATGGTCGCAAGGTGAAGCGCCCGACGACCTGCCGCTGACCGCGCCCGAAACGCCTGCGCAAAACCGCCCGCGCGATGTCTTCGCCTATCTGATTTCCAGCGGCAAATCCCGCGCGCCCGCCGGCGCGATGGCGCTGCAAAGGCTGGTGGACGACGACGCCTGAGGCATCGCGGCTAGCCGGCTTCCCCGCCAAGGCATGCCATGCCCTGATCGGCCAGCATCGGCAGCAGCGCGTCTGCGACCGCATCGGAGAGTTGTGCGATCCCCCGGCGCGAGAAGTGCGACTGGTCGGTGAAGTTCTCGGCGACCGGCGCGATGTCGGCGATCGGATCGATGAAGGTCCAGCCAAGGCGCTGCGCCGCTTGGTCCTGGGCCGTCACCAACAGCGTGTTCAGCCGGGCAAGGTCACGCGCGCCCAGCCCGCGCGTCTCGTGCCGCAATTGCCGCGTATGGGCCATCTGCTCGTCGAGCGGCAGCCCTTCGCGCAACTGGCCGCGATAGCCGATCGCCAGCACCGGGGTTTGCCCGATGGCATCGGCAAGGCGACCCGCCGGCCCGTCGAAGGCCTGCGCGATGTCGGCCAATTCCCCGTCCGGTTTGGGGCCCTCATGCCGTGCCTGGCGTTCCTGGCGTGCCAGATGAAAAGCGCGGAACAGCTTGTCGGCAAGCCGCGATTGCAGCACCAGCCAAGGATAATGAAGTGTGTAGCCGCCCCGCGCATCGGCCTCGGCGTGCAGGTGAAGAACGTCCCGCATCGAGCCCGACAGCACCACATGCACGTCGGGGTCAAGCGGTGCGACATCGGTGCGCACCAGTTGCGCCAGATGATCCATCGTATAGGCCGGGCCGGCGACGGTCACCTGATCGAAGCGGCAGGCCGGCGCGCGGGCGGCCAGCCGGTCGGTCACCTGCGCGGCGATCATCTCCTCTTCGGCATGTTCGGCGCTGAACAGTTTGGAATCGCCCAGAAAGGCCAGACGGATCGTGCCCTCCGGCTTGTCGGCCGCAATGTCGGGCCCGCGAAATCCCAACGCGTTGATGGCGATGCCGCCCGCTTCGGTGCCCGGGGCAAAGCGCGGCGGCGCGCCTTCGTCGCCTGGCTGCATGGCGTCCATCAGCGCATACCAGTCGAACCCCGGCGGCGGAGCCCGCAGCGCGTCATAGCTGCGCGCCAGAACCTCGCCGGCGACAAGTCCCAAGACCACGACCAGCATCGTGCCGGCGCCGAAGGCGATCTCGGTCTGGCGTTCGGTCAACCGGCCGAGCCACCGCCCAAGCCAGGCGCCGTCGATCAGATCAATAGCGCGCATAACGAAAATCCGCCGGCGGTTCGACGCTGAGCATGACGATGCCCGCGAGCAGCGCGACATACCAGATCGCGCACAGCCACCCGGCGGTGCGCGGTGAGAAGCGGGTCAGAAGCAGGCCGTACATGATGGCGCCCTTTCCTCTCAGTCGATCAGGCCGAACAGGCGGCCATAGGTTTCAAGCGCGGCCCCCGGCGTGCCGGCGGTCAGGATGACGAAACCGAGCCAGACGAAATGGACGGTGAAGACGACCTTGGCCACATGCAGCACGGGCAGCGCGCTTTCCGGCAGCGCCTGCTCGAACCGCGTCGTCCAGCCCTGGCTCTTCTGCCAGACGATCAGCCCGATCCCGTGCCAGGCGCCCCACAAGAGGAAACGCAGCGAGATCTCGTGCCACAGGCCGATGGCGATCATCGTTGCCATGGCGCCGAGCGCCGGGCTTCGCGTCTGGGCGACGACGACCGAATAGACATAGTCGCGGCACCAGCGTGACAGCGAGATGTGCCACGACCGCCAGAAGGCCGAGATGTTGGGCTGCAGATAGGGCCAGTTGAAGTTCTCCATCACCCGGTAGCCGAGCAGGCGCGCAAAGCCGATGGCGATGTCCGAATAGCCCGAGAACTGGAAGTAGAGGTTCAGCCCGTTCTGGACGATTTCCAGATAGATGACGTGCTGCGCGGCAGGATCGTCGAACGTGGCGATGTAGTCGCCGAGCACGCCCTCGGTCAGGAAGTTGGAGAGGATGACGATCTTGGCATAGCCGTAAAGGATGCGCTCGGCGCCCTCGGAGATCAGCGCCGGGTCCAAGCGCTGCCGGTTGAGGTCGCGCCGGTAGTCGTCGAAGCGGTTGATCGGGCCGACGACGATGGTCGGCAGGAACAGAAGATAGCCGGCCAGTTCATGGGCGCCGGCGCGCGGGATCGCAGACTTGTAGCGCTCCATCAGAAAGTGGATGCAGCGGAACGTGTAGTAGGACAGGCCCAGCGGGATGGCGACCGTGTCGAGCAGGTTGTCCAGATTCACCGGCTGGGTGATCTTGTAATAGCCGAGCACGCCCAGCATGGCGATGATCGCAGCCGCGACCGGCCGGAATGTCGGCGCGGCGATGTTGCCGGCCAGATGGGTGATCGCGGTGAAGAGCAGCAGCAGGATCGCCGAATCCGGCGAACGGCTGGCAAGGAAAATCACCGTGATCGCCATCAGCACGAACTGGCGCGCCGTGCGCGGCGCCAGCCAGTAGACCGACACGGTCAGCCACATCCAGAACAGCCATGTGATCGACAGATAGCTCATCGCCGTGCGGGGCTCACCGACAGTGTCAGCGGACGATCAAAAGAACGGCAATGGCAGCGACGGCGGCAAGGCAAGCGATCAGAAAAGCCTGCAGCCAGACGATGGGCGGCGCCGGCCGGTAGTGCGCGGCAAGGCGCGGCGTGCGGGAGTTGCGGTCCATCACCCATCAGCCCCCGGCCCGGTGCTGTTCCAAGATATCGACCAGATGGCCGAGCGTCGTCACGCGCAGCACATCGCGCGCCGACAGCGTGACCGAAAACGCGCGCTCCACTTCGCTGATCAGCGTCAGGTGCGCGAAACTGTCCCAGCCGAAGGTCGAGCGCGGTTCGCTCGTCAGGCGCAGATCGGCGGGCTCGCAGACAAAGACCTGCGCGGCGAGCGCCATCACGCGATCCTCCAGCGATCCGCTTTGCGCCTCGCCCTCGGTGGCGCCGTCGGTCCCGAACAATGCCTGAAGCCGGTCGACCAGCACCTTGCCGGCCGGATTGCGCGGCAAGGCCTCGATCACCTTGAAGGCGCGCGGCACCTTGTTGGGGCTCAAAAGACCGCGTGCATGGGCGGTCAGCGCGTCCTGGTCGGGCGCCTCATGCCCCGGGCGCGGCACGATGGCGCAGACGACCCGCTCGCCCCAGACCGGATCGGGCATGCCCAGCGCGTGCGCTTCGGCGACCGCCTCGTGCGTCAGCATGGCATCGACGATCTCCTGCGGCTGGATGTTCGCGCCGCCCGAAATGATCAGCGCCTTCTTGCGCCCGGTGATGGTCACGAACCCGTCCGCATCGATCGTCGCAAGATCGCCGGTGCGGAACCAGCCGCCACCGTCGATGGCGTCCGATGTCAGGTCCGGCCGGTTCAGATAGCCGGCCATGATGTTGGTGCCGCAGATCATCAGTTCGCCCGCTTCGCCCGGCGCGGCGGGTTTGCCGTCTTCGCCGACGAGGCGGATCTCGCAGTCGACCGGCTTGCCGATCGTGCCGATGCGGAAGGTGTCGTCGGACGGGCCGCAATAGAGCGCCTCGCACACCGTCTCCGACAGGCCGTAAGTGTTGATGATCTTCACGCCGAAGCGTTCCTGGACGCTGCGCCACAGCGCTTCGGGCAGCCGGTCGCCGCTCGAGCGGATGTACCGGAAATCCGGCGTCGCGAGCGCGTCGCGATAAGCCTCGCCGAGCCGATCCATCAGCGACAGCATGGCCGGCACGAGATTGAAGTGGGTGATGCGGTCCCGATAGACGCTGTCGAGCAGCGTCCCCAGTTCCTGCACGTTGAAGCGCTGCGGCCGGTAGAGCGTCGCGCCGGTCATGAAGGCGATCAGCGGTCCGTGCAGGATGCCGTCGGTGAAGTGCATCGGCAGCGGGTTCAGGATGCGGCTGTCGGCGTCGTAATCATAGACCTTGAAGAAGGTGGCGAGCTGCGCGGCGAGATTGGCGTGGCTGAGCTGGACGACCTTGGGCGCGCTCGTCGTACCGGAGGTGAACAGCATCAGGCCGATCGCGTCGGCGGGCACGGGCGCGGGCATCGGCGCCGGCTCGATGGCCGCCAGTTCGCCGGCCAGACCGGACGGGCCGGCCGATTTCGCGCCGCGCATCAAAAGCTTGCCGATCAGCCCGCCGGCGCCGGTGTCCGGCTCGATGATGGTGTGCGCAAGGCCGGCCGGCAGCGGGCCGGCATCGAACATCAGCCGGTCGATGAACAGATGCGCCAGATCGGTCGCCGCCAGCGCGTTGGCGCGCTCGGGCGGCGTCATGGCCGGGTTGAAATTGACGATTGCGACGCCCGCCCGAAGGGCCGCGACGATCAGCGCGGCGGCCATGGCCGCATCGTCGGTGACGATGCCGGCGCGATCGCCGCGCGAAAGCCCCTTGGCGCCAAACAGCGCAATCAGCCGTGCGACCCGGTCGGTGAACGCGCCATAGGTCAACGGCTTGCCGTCGACCACCATGAACGGCTTGTTCGCATCGGCCGACTGCGCCGCCCGGTCGAGAAGACCGGTGAGCGGGCCATGCAGATCGAGGGGCTGTTGGTTCATGGCGACAATGCCTTCTCGGTTTGCGTGAGGAGCTGCCGCAGGCGGGCCTTGTCGGGCTTGCCCCGGCCCAGCCTCGGCAGCTCGTCGAGGACGAGGATGCGCGCTGGCGTCTTGTAGGGGCCGAGCGCGTCATGGATTGCTGCCTTTGCCGTCCGCTCGGCGTCGATGTCGGCGGGTGCACCGACCATCGCGGCGCCGATGCGCTCGATCCCGTGCGCGTCCGTCCAGGAAAAGACACAGGCCTCGGCGACCCAGTCGAGCGCATTCAGCGCGCCCTCGATCTCGGCCGGGCTGACGAGCGTGCCTTCGGCGGTCTTGATGATGTCCTTCTGGCGGCCGACGATTTCCAGCCGGCCGCCCGGCAAAAAACGCCCCAGATCGCCGGTGAAATGCCAGCCGGCCCATTTTCCTTTTGTCTCGATCGACGCCAGCGGCGACAGCGTCATGCAATCGGAATGGACCGCGATCTCCCCGACCTCGCCCGGCGCGACGGGCCTGCGCTCATCATCGACGAGAATGGCCAGGCAATCGCGCAAAAATCCGCCGCCGGCGCTCATCGTGTGCGGCGTGTCCGGATCGGAATAGGCGGCGGTCGCAAATTCCCGTCCGCCATAATAGTCGACGACCGGCAGCGAAAAGCGCTCGCGGAGAAGATCGGCGGTGGCGAAATCGAGAACGCCCGAGCCCGAAAAGACGGTGCGGACGGACGCCAGTTCCTCGCGCGTCACTCGTGCGCCGGCCTTGGCGAAGGCGCGCAGCACGCCCGGAACCGCGGTCAGCTGCGTCACGCCATAGCGTTCGCACAAAAGCGCCAGCGCGATCGGGTTGTCGCGGGCCTCGGCGTCGGGAATGACGACCCGTCCGCCGCTGGCGAACGGCAGCGTCACCAGCGACCGGAACGCGCTGAGCGCGGTGAAATCGGTTGCCGTGCAGAAGATGTCGGACGCATCGAAGCCGAACGCGCGCTGGGCGATCTCGGTCGACCGGAACACCGCCTCATGGCTGGTTTGCATCGCCTTGGGCGCGCCGGTGGACCCGCTTGTAAAGCCGACGAAGGCGGCATCGTCGGGCGTCACCGTCGGAAGCGCCGACCAGAAATCGTCGGACGGATCGGGGCAGGCGCCGGCGAACTCGGCGAAGGCATCGAGCGGCACGCCCTCGCCCACTTCGATCCTGTCGCCGATGACATCGAGCCGGTCGGAAAAGGTCAGCATGGCGGGCGCGGCCTCGATCATGGCGCGCAGCGCCTGCGTCCCGACCGTGTCGCCAAGCCGGACGACCGTCGCGCCCTGAAGGAGCGCGGCGAGCGTGACGAGATAGGATTCGAGCCGCTGCGTCGCGTCGACCGCGATGCGGGTGCCCTTGCCGACCCCGCGCGCCGCGAGCCCGGCGCACACGCGTCCTACGATGGCCGCCACATCGCCCGCGGTCAGCGCGCCCTCGCCTGCGGCGAAGACGAGTTGCTCGGTCGGCGGCCGCGTCAGGCCCTTGCGGATCAGCGCGTTGGCGGTGCGCTGTGCCCAAGGCACGGCCGAGACAGCGACCGGCAAGCCGGCGGTTTCGGGCGCGCTGCCGGCAATGTCGGCTTCATCGCAATGCAGCGCCCGCGCGATGCGATGGCGCGGCGCGCCAAGCGCGCGCCAATAGTCGAGCGCCAGATCCCGCGGCGCCGGCGCATTGTCATCGGTGTGACAGTTCCGCTGCGTTACCGATGCGGTCATCGCACGCACTTTCCCCTCCGTACCCGACCTTCAATGTACGCGATTAGCATCCGATGACCTAAGGGAAGAGGCTGAAAAACGCTACGCTGGTTAACTGGTTCGGTAAACCCGCGAAGCCGACGACGCCGGCTCGAACGGGCGGGCAACAGGCTGTCCGGCTTGGGCAGGCGCGCTCATGGCGGTGCGCAAAGCCCGCGCGGCAAAGCCCAGATGGTAGCTGGCCCAGGCGGCGATGCCGGCGAACTTGGCGCCGTCCTCCCAGACGATCGTCGCCACGCTGCCTTCGATGCCGAAGACGTCGAACGCCAGGCTCATGGCGAGCAGCCCGCCCGCGAGCAGGAACAGGACCGGGTTGAAAGCGAGGATGCGGCGCCAGCTCAGGACCATGTAGGCCATTGCCATGAACACATAGCCAAGCAGGACGGCAATCTGCGGCACACCGAGCTTCGGCGCGGCGTTTTCGTGGACGAGATAGACGTCGTCGACGCCGAAAAAGAGGCTGATAAGACCGGCGAACAACAAGGGCATCCACGCCCCGGAACCGCGGTCGATGCGCCTGAGCAGCATTGCGGCAAACAACGCGACCGCACCGGTTGCGACCCACATCAGGACGCCGAGCGTCGACATGAAGCCGTACCAGGAGCGGCAGCAATCGCCGGACACGACGCCGGCAATCATCGGATCGAGAAACAAAAGGCGCGGATCGACGACCGGCTGCATGGCTGCGACCAGGGCCAGACCGGCAGCGGCCGCAACGGGCAGATGCAGTCTCCAATCGTGCGTCGTCATGCCGTGGTCCCCGATCGATGGCAGGACCGCGCCGTTCGGCACACCCCCGCAGCATCGGGCAATCCTGCCATGGTGATCTTAAAAAGCCCTGAAGAGCGAGGGACCGAGATCCGCCCGGCGCCGAGAATGGCGCCGCGCGGTCGCGCGCGGCAGTTTGGAATCGTTAAAAACTAGAGTATTTGACACCAGTTTAAGGTCGCGTCATAATCTGACAACGAACATCACCTTTGAAAGACCTGAGTTTACCGTGGGCGCACCGCTCGACATTGGCCACCTGTCCCCAGCCAGACCGCTGATCGGTCCGGCGGAGCGACTGGTCGTTGACGGCCTGCGCCAGTGGACCTCGGGAACCGCCGCCGGCGACAAGCCGCTTCTTGCACTTTTCAAGCGTGAACTGACCGAAACCCAGGCGCGGACCGCTGCCGTCGCTCTCGAGCAATTCGCAACCGCGCTCGGACTGTGCGCCGTCTGCCCATTGCGCACCGCCAACACCGGACCCTGCGACCTCAGCCGCGACGAAATGCTGATCCTTGGCCTCGTCTCGGCCATCCAGAATGGCGACAGCGAGGCGGCCGAACTGTGTCTGCGCGCGCTCACCTGCTCCAGTCGCTGCGATGCGGTCGCCCTGGCGGCCGGCGAATTTGCGCTGATCATGCGCAGTTTGGGAAAGACCCTGCTGCCAATGCCGGCGCGGCGCATTCACGGTGCACTGGACACGTCCGCGCATCGCGGCCGTCCCCTCGCCGCAAGGCTGCACTGAGGCGGACGGACGATGATGGCCGCGCTGCATGTTTGTCTTTTCGCCCGCCGCATCCAACGGTTTGACATGGATCATGGGCGCTCCGCCCGGCTCCGTGCCAACTTCGAACAGTTGAATGCAAGGAAACGCCCGCGATGATCGTGTGCAGCTGCAATGTGATCGCGCTCCGCGAAATCGAGGATGTCATCACCGGCTTTCTCGAGGCCGACGAATGGCAGTTGATCACGCCCGGCATGGTCTATCATGCGATGGCCAAGCGCGGAAAATGCTGCGGCTGCTTCCCGCGCGTGATCGACACGATCATCTCTGTCAGCGAAGCCTATCATCGCCGCAAGGCCACGCCCGAGGACAAGATCGTTCCGTTCATCGCACGCATCCGCGAGGAGCATGACCGCTACGAGACCGTGCGCCGCATTGCCAGGGCTGCCAAACCGCGCAAGGCAGCTTGATGTTTCGGCCTTTTTGGCCAATTTCAGGACAACAACCAGAATCGGAGGGACTCGGCCATGAAGGGCAATGAGAAGGTCATAGAACGGCTCAATGAGGCGCTGTTCCTCGAACTGGGCGCGGTCAATCAGTACTGGCTGCACTATCGGCTGCTGGAAGACTGGGGCTATCAGAAGCTGGCCGCCAAGGAGCGCGCCGAAAGCATCGAGGAGATGCATCACGCCGACAAGATCGTCGAACGGATCATTTTCCTCGAAGGCTTCCCGAACCTGCAGAACGTGGCGCCCCTGCGCATCGGCCAGAGCGTCCGCGAAGTACTCGAATGCGATCTGGCGGGCGAAAAGGAAGCCTGGGATTCCTACACCAGGTCCCGTGACGTCTGCGAGGAAGCCGGCGATTACGTGACCAAGAACCTCTTCGAGGAGCTGATCGCCGACGAGGAAGGCCATATCGACTTCCTTGAAACCCAACTCGACCTGCTCGAAAAGCTGGGCGCCGAAAAGTACGGGCTTCTCAACGCTGTCTCGGCCGACGAGGCCGGGTAACGGCGCGTGGCCGGTTAACCGGTTGCGCACAAGGCGGGTTTACAGACGCGCACGCTGTGCTTATCTGCCTTCGAGCGCCCCTATAGCTCAGTTGGTAGAGCAACTGATTTGTAATCAGTAGGTCCGCGGTTCGAGTCCGTGTGGGGGCACCAAACGCAACTCGCGCAGCGAAATGCGGAACACGCCCACCAAACTTTGCAGAAGCGGCAAGCGATTGCGCAGCAAACGCTGAGAGCGATGGTTCCAGGTTGTTCCGGTCACCTGCACCACTTCTTCGCTCACCGCAGTCTCGCTCCGCTTGACACCTCCGGGGAGCCGGTCAGCCTCCGGGTCACGCTTGTGCCTTTGCGCGGATTTGAGGCTTTGCTGCTGACACACCCTGTCAGCAGCGACCGGCTAGCCTGTGCCGCAAAACGGGGAATCGGCGATGAGCGTTCTGAGCCACATCACGCTTGGCACCAACGATACCGACCGCGCCGCGCGGTTCTACGATGCCGTTCTCGGCGCGCTGGGGTTCGCGCGCCTGCCAAAGCCGGAGGGCAAGCCGCCGGCCTATGAGAAGAACGGCCGGATGCCGACCATCTATCTCTATCCGCCCGCCGACGGCCGGCCCGCCACCTGGGGCAATGGCACCCATGTGGCATTCGTCGCCGAGACCACCGATGCTGTCGATGCGTTCCATAGGCTGGCGCTCGACCATGGCGGCAGCGACGAGGGCAAACCCGGCCCGCGCCCGCACTATGGCGACGATTATTATGCGGCCTATGTACGCGATCCGGACGGCAACAAGCTGCAGGCGGTGTGCTATCGCGCGCCGTGAAACTCCGCCCCGCTTGCATCGGGGCCCAAGCTGCGCCATCTGACGGCGATGAGCGACGTTTCGACACCGCCGTCTCCGCCTGCACGCGACGATCTGAGAGGCCTGTTCCATCCCGCACCGGGGTCGCCGGCGGTCGAATGGCGGATCGCGGACGGCCTGGTGGACTATGAGGCAGCGCTGGCCTTCATGGAGGACCGCGTTGCCGCGATCCATGCGGGCATCGCGCCGGAAATGGTCTGGCTCGTCGAGCATCCCCCGCTCTACACCGCCGGCACCAGCGCCGATGCCGCAGACCTGACCGAGCCGGACCGTTTTCCGGTGTTCGAGACCGGCCGCGGCGGCCAGTACACCTACCACGGCCCCGGCCAGCGGGTCGCCTATGTGATGCTCGATCTCAAGCGCCGACGGCAGGATGTGCGCGCCTTCGTCGCCGCGCTCGAAGCCTGGGTGATCGGCACGCTCGACCGGTTCAACATCAAGGGCGAACGGCGCGAGGACCGCGTCGGCGTCTGGGTCCAGCGACCGGAACGCCCCTCGCCGGTGCCCGGTGCGATCGCCGAGGACAAGATCGCCGCCATCGGCATCCGCCTGCGCAAATGGGTGTCGTTTCACGGCATTTCGATCAATGTCGAACCCGACCTGTCGCACTATGGCGGCATCGTGCCGTGCGGCGTGACCGAGCACGGCGTCACCAGCCTGGTCGATCTGGGCCTGCCGGTGTCGATGGCCGATCTGGACGTCGCGCTGAAGGCCGAATTCAAAACCGTCTTCGGCCCCGTGAACTGAGCGCTTTCAGCGAAAGTGGGCACCGGTTTCGCGGTTCGAAAGCGCGGCCAGAAGACAAGTGAAGCCTATTCGAACTCCATGATCACCGCGTCGACGGCAAGGCTGTCGCCCGCCTCGGCGTGTATGACGGACACGGTCGCATCGCGTTCGGCGCGCAGCACGTTCTCCATCTTCATCGCCTCGATCACCGCCAGCGTCTCGCCGGCCTGCACGGCCTGGCCGACACGGACATTGAGCGCCACGACGAGCCCCGGCATCGGGCACAGGAGCTGTTTGGATGTATCGGCGACCGCCTTTTCCGGCATCAGCGCCTCAAGTTCGGCCACATGCGGGCTCATCACCTGCGCCGTCACCGAATAGCCGCGCCAATCGATCACCATCGCGTTCGCCACTGGCCGGATCTGGGCAACGACGCGCGTGCCGCCGACAGACCCGGTCCAGAGCGGATCGCCGAGCCGGAAGCCGGTTTCCAGCGCGGCGGGCGCACCCTGCTCCGTTGCCACCGTGAATTTGGTTTGCGGACCCGGTTCAGCCGTGGCGACCGACAGCGCCAGCCGCTCATCACCGATCCGAACCACCCAGTCGGTACCGATCCGGCCGGAATGGGGCGCAATGCGCCCGGCATGCCGGTCGAGCCGGTCCTTGCGGATGATCTCCACGGAAAGCGCGATCGCGGCGAGGATGGATCGCGCCTCCGCATCCGGTTCGGGCGGCATGAAGCCGTCGGGATATTCCTCGGCGATGAAATTCGTCGTCAGCCGGCCTTCCCGCCATCTGGGGTGCGCCATCAGCGAGGCAAGGAACGGCATGTTGTGGGCGATCCCGTCAATGACGAACCCGTCCAGCGCATCGCGCATCGCGTCGATCGCCGCTTCGCGCGTCGGCGCCCAGGTGCACAGCTTGGCGATCATCGGATCGTAGAACATCGAGATTTCGGCGCCCGCGAAGACGCCCGTATCGTTGCGCACGATCAGATCGTCCGTGCACTGCTCGGCGGGCGGCTGGTAACGGGTCAGCCGTCCGATCGAGGGCAGAAAGCCGCGTACCGGGTCCTCGGCATAGACGCGGCTTTCGATGGCCCAGCCGTTCAGCGTCACATCGTCCTGCGCAATGCCCAGCTTCTCGCCCGCAGCCACACGGATCATCTGCTCGACCAGATCGAGCCCGGTGATCAGTTCGGTCACCGGATGCTCCACCTGCAGCCGCGTGTTCATCTCGAGGAAGTAGAAATTGCGGTCCTTGTCGACGATGAACTCGACCGTGCCGGCACTCTGATAATCGACGGCCTGCGCCAGCGCGACGGCCTGCGCGCCCATCGCGGCACGCGTTTCCGCATCGAGGAACGGCGACGGCGCCTCCTCGATCACCTTCTGGTTGCGGCGCTGGATCGAGCATTCGCGCTCGCCCAGATGGATGGCGTTGCCATGGCCGTCGGCGAGCACCTGGATCTCGATATGGCGCGGCTCCTCGACGAACTTTTCGATGAAGATGCGGTCGTCGCCAAAGCTGGACGCCGCCTCGGATTTCGACCGTTCGAAACCGTCGCGCGCTTCATCGTCGTTCCAGGCGATTCGCATGCCCTTGCCGCCGCCGCCGGCCGACGCCTTGATCATCACCGGATAGCCGATCTGCGCCGAGATCGCCGCCGCCTCGTCCGCATCGGCGATCAGGTCCATATGACCCGGCACGGTGGAAACGCCCGCCTCGGCGGCAATCTTCTTTGAGGTGATCTTGTCGCCCATCGCGTTGATCGCCTTCGGCTTGGGGCCGATGAAGACGATGCCCTCGGCCTCAAGCGCCTCGCAGAACGAGGCCCGTTCCGACAGAAAGCCGTAGCCCGGGTGCACCGCCTGCGCGCCGGTCGTTTTGGCGGCTTCGATGATCCTGTCGGAGATGAGATAGCTTTCGGTGGCGGGCGGCGGGCCGATATGCACCGCCTCGTCGGCCATTTCGACATGCAGCGCATCGGCGTCCGCATCCGAATAGACCGCGACCGTGGCGATGCCCATGCGCCGCGCGGTCTTGATCACGCGGCAGGCGATTTCGCCGCGATTGGCGATCAATATCTTGTCGAACATGCCCGTCGGAGCCCCCGCCTTGTGCCTTTTTGTCCGGCCTTGTTACCGAAATCCGGCACCCGGACAATGATCTGTTTGTCTTAGGTCACGCACCGTCTTTCTGGTCCACGGTCCGTTCGCGCCAGAAGACGTAGAGCCCCGACGCGACGATAATGCCGATCCCGAGCCATTTGGTCGGCGTCGGAAATTCGCTGAAGAGAAGCAGGCCGAACAGCGCCGCCGATATGATCTCGATGTACTGGAATGGCGCCAGCAGCGAGGCCGGCGCCATCTGGAAGGCGCGCACGAACAGATAGTGCCCGGCGACGCCTATACTGCCCATCAGCGCCACCAGCGCCCAGACGGTCGGGTCCGCCGTTGGCGTGACGGCCAGATCGCCAATGCCCGCCACGGTGCCGAACGCCATCGCCACGGCGACGATCGCCATGCCGCCAAGTCCGGAAACGAACTGCATGACCATCGCGCCATCGTTTCGGCCGGCAATGCGGTTGAGCATCAGATAGGTGGCGAACAGCGTTGCCGCGCCAAGCGGCAGGAGCGAGACCGGCCCGAACACCGCATAGGAAGGCTGGATGACGATCAGCGCGCCGCCAAAGCCGACAATGACGGCGGCGACCCGGCGCCAGCCCACCGGTTCGCGCAGCACCAGAAACGAAAGCAGGGTCAGAATGAGCGGCTCGACGAAGAAGACCGCGATCGCATCGGCCAGCGGCATGTATTTGAGCGCCACGAAGAAGAACAGGCTCGCCGCGCCCAGAACCATGCCGCGCACGAAATTGATGCCAAACCGGTTCGAGCGCAGCGCGGCAGCGCCGCCGAAGGCCATCAGCCAGACAAGGCAGAAAGCCGTCTGGATCGCAAAGCGGAAGAAAGTGACCTGGCCGGGTGACATGGCGCCGCTCTGGCCCAGCAGTTTGGCGACCGCATCCATGGCCGGCAGCAGAAGCGCGCCGACAACGGCCAGTGCCATGCCGCGCACCGGCATGTCGGCTGCAAAGGAGGGTTTTGACGGCAGCGCCTGAACCATCGCTCAGACGTCGCACGGCGCGCACGGTTGGAAAAGCCCTTATCGGCCCCGAACGGTTCTAACCGGACGTATGATCGTCAGGCGACCTGATCGATCAGCGGCGCGAGCGAGGGGTGCACGTCCGGCGATTCGTCCCGGATGAATCGCAGCAGCGCCTTTTCATTTTCGTGCAGCAGCCCGTCGCGGCCCATGCGCCGGGCGATCCAGTCCGCTTCGTCCGTATCGATGGTTTCCGCAGCGGCGGTTGCCTCCGCAAACGCCTGGTTGGTTTCGCGCCAGGCGTTTTCGACGCCGGTCTTGGTCATGACCGCGTCCTTGTAGCCCTTGAGCCCGCCGGCGAAGACGCGCGAGAAGAAGCCGGCCACATCGACGCTGTCGTCGGCCAGCCAGGCCTCGCGCTGGAGCGCCGTTTCGCGGGTCGCCGCCTGGTGGCGGGTGGCGGCCATCAGCGAAAAGCCGATCGCCTTGACGAACAGGTCCGACCAGGCCGGATCGTTGTCGGCCTCGGCCGTCCGGTCGTTGATGTCGAACAGGACCTCGGCCTCGTCGCGGGTGATGCCGGCATTGCCGCCGCCGCCATAGGCGTAGAGGATGCGCTTGAGCATGGCGACATCGTCGGCGGTCACGACGCCCGGACGCGCCGTGCGGCCGCGGGCCAGCGGTCCGTCGCCATCGGTCACGACATGCGCCACCTGACGCAGCGCGAATGCGCTCAGCGATGCGGGCATCGCCGTCGCCCGCTCCATCACGGCGATGAGCAATTGCATCTCGGTGCGTGTGCACACGACGCCGTCGCGCGATATGGCGCTGATCAACCAGTCGGCATTGGCGTCCGACACGTAGCCCTTCGGCGCCTCGCGATTGACCAGATAGTCCGACACCGCATCGATGAAGAATGCGTCCCATTCCGGCACGCGCGACCGGCAGGACGTGTCGATGGCAAACAACGCATCGGCCTCGGGCCGGCACACGACACCGTCACGGAACACCTCGCGGCGCAGCCGCGCAACGTCGTCGGCGGTCACCGCGTTCCTGGCGACGATTTCGGCCACAGGGCCCTGCAAAACCAGTTCACCCATCTCAGTTCCCCGCAATTCGGACGCGACGCGCCCTCAAAAACCCGGGCGAGACTGACACGGATCGCTTGAATTTCGGCTAAGCGGCGTGGTTAAGCCAAGCTTGCAACCCGGAACCGCCCCATGACCGAGACGACCGACGCGCTCGCCGACGCCTATAATGCCGCGCTTGCGCACGAGAAGGCCGGGCAAACCGCAGAAGCGGCCGCACTCTACCGGCGATGCCTTGCGCTCGATCCCGCCGACCGGTGCGGCGCGGCGATGCGGCTCGCCTCGATGGGCATGGGCGATGCGCCCGAAAAGGCGGCCGACGCCTATGTCGCAACATTGTTCGACCAGCACGCCGAGGATTTCGACGACATATTGACCGGCGCGCTCGGCTATGCGGTGCCGATGCAGGCGGCCGAATGGCTCAAAGCCACCCGGCCCGGCCCCTATGGCCGCCTCCTCGATCTTGGCTGCGGCACGGGCCTGTCCGGCATGATGCTGATGGAACTGTGCGCGCATGCGACCGGCGTCGACATCGCCGAACAGATGGTCGAAAAGGCCGACGAGCGGGCAGCTTATGACGCGCTTTACGTCAACGAGGCGGTGCATTTCCTCGACGAGTGGGCGAAAAGCGACGACCCTGACCACCAGCCCTTCGATCTGATCGTGGCGACCGACGTCCTGCCCTATATCGGCGCTTTGGAGCCGCTGTTTGACGGCATTGCGGCCAACGCGACCGCCGACGCGCGGCTCGTCGTCTCCGCCGAGACCCTGCCGGCGCTCGCCGACGGCGACAAGGACTGGACGGTGACGCCGCACCAGCGCTTTGCCCATTCGGCGGACTATCTGCGGACCATGTGTGCTCGGGCGGGCTTTCCTGACATCGAACTGTTCGAGCCGATCACCGTGCGGCTCGAACAGGGTGCGCCCATTCGAGGCTTTCTCGTTGTCGCGACGCGCAGCTAACCGGGCCGCCGGCCGCGCATCATCTCGCGTTTTCCCCCAAATCCCGGCACTTTTTCGACGTCGAAGCCCGCCGCTTGAAGGTTGCGCCGCACCCAGCCCGCCGCCGTGTAGGTGGCGAACGTGCCGCCGGGCTTTGTCCGGTCGAACACGGCCTGCATCAAGGGCTCCGACCACATGTCGGGGTTCCTGGCCGGCGCGAACCCGTCCAGATACCAGGCGTCGGCAAGGCCGTTCCAGCGCGTCACGCCGTCCAGCGCATCGCCGGCCACCATGGTCAGCCGCGTCTGCGGATCGAGGATCCATGTCACCGGTGTCGATGTCAGGTCCGGCCAGCGTTCGACAAGGCGGACGCACAAGGGCGCAAGGTCCGGCCAGCGCCCGATCGCCGTCATGATCTCGTCGGCCGTCATGGGCAGCGCTTCGAAGGAGACAAAATCGAGCCGCGCGCCCGGCAGGCGGTGGAGCCGCCATTGCCGCCAGGTTTCCAGGAAATTGAGGCCGGTGCCGAACCCCAGTTCCGCGATCACCATGTCGGCGCTGTCGCCCCAACGCTCGGCCAGCCGGTTCTGGCCAATGAAGACATGGCCTGTTTCGGCGCGGCCATCCTCGCGGGCGTAAAAATGGTCGCCAAACCGGGTCGAAAACGGCATATCGCCATCCATCCACTCCAGCGCATCGCGTTCCAGATCGTCCGCCAATGATTGTCTCTCCCGCTCCTGCCAAACCCGATATCGCCGTCATCGGCGGCGGCATTGTCGGCCTGTGGTGCGCCCGTGAGGCCGCGCGGCGCGGCGCCCATGTGCTGCTGATCGAAAAGCGCACAATCGCCTCGGGCGCAAGTGGCGGCATGCTCGGCGCGCTGATGCCGCATCAGCCGACCGGCTGGAACGCCAAGAAACGGTTCCAGCTCGACGGGCTCCTGTCGCTGCCCGAGCGCGTGGCATCGCTGGAAGCCGAAACCGGGCTCAGCTGCGGCTATGCGCAAACCGGCCGGCTGATGCCGATCGGCCATCCCGAAAAGCGCCGCCAGAGCGCGCAATGGGTGGAGGGCGCCAAAACCCATTGGCCGGATGGGATCGGCTGGACGATCGAAGATGCCAATCCGGCAACGGGCTGGCTGGCTGGCCACTCGCTGCCCCACGGCGTCAATTGCGACACGCTGTCGGCGCGCATCGATCCGCGCAGGCTGACCGCGGCCTTGCGCGCTGCGCTCGACGCCAGCGACCGCATCACCATTCGCGAGAACACCAGCGTCATGCGGCTTGGCGCCAATGGCACGCTGGTGCTGGACGACGGCACAGAAATCACGCCCGGCGCAACCATCGTTGCCGCCGGAACCGGCGCATTCGCGCTGATCGAGCCGGAAGATCCCAAGCGCATCGGTCGCGGCGTAAAAGGCCAGGGCGCGCTTCTGAAGCCGGCGCGCCCCATCGATCCCATGTCACCCATCCTCTACGACAAGGGTGTCTATGTCATCGCGCATGACAGCGGCCTGATCGCGGTCGGCTCCACCTCGGAGAACGCATTCGACGCGCCGGACACGACCGACGAGAAGCTCGACGGCATCCTCGCGCAGGCCGCCGCGCTGTGCCCGGCGCTTGAAGGCGCCACCGTTGTCGAACGCTGGGCCGGGGTCCGCCCGCGCGCGGAAGGCCGCGAACCGCTGGTCGGACCCCTGCCCGGCGCGACCGACACGATCCTCGCCACCGGCGGGTTCAAGATCTCCTTCGCCATCGCGCACCTGATGGCCGATGCGGCGGTCGGCTTTGCGTCTGGCGACCAGCTGGTGGGCTTGCCGGACGCGTTTGCGCCCGACCGGCGCGGTGTCACGCTTCGTCGATCCCCTTGAAGAACCGCGCCGCATCGTCGCGCACGGCCTCGACCTTGTCGCCGCTCATCCGGTCGAGCGTGCCATACATCATGCCCATGCGCCGGTTGCCGGCCAGCGTCTCACGGTTCTCGATCAGGAAGTTCCAGTAGAGATAGTTGAACGGGCACGCCTTCGGGCCGTTCTTGACCTTCACCCGATAGCGGCACGAGCCGCAATAATCCGACATCTTGTCGATATAGGCGCCCGAGGACGCATAGGGCTTGGAGGCGAACAGGCCATCGTCCGCATAAAGCGCCATGCCGACCACGTTCGGCATCTCCACCCACTCATAGGCGTCGTGATAGACGATCAGAAACCATTCCTGCACCTGTTTGGGATCGAGCCCGGCCAGAAGCGAGAAATTGCCGATGACCATCAAGCGCTGGATATGGTGCGCGTAGGCATTTTCCTTCGTTTCCGTAATGGCTTGGCGCAGGCAGTTCATGTGCGTCTCGCCGCTCCAGAACCAGTCGGGCAGATCGCGCGTCGCTCCCAGCGCATTGCTGTCGCCATAGTCGGGCATGTTCCGCCAATAGACACCCCGGATGAATTCGCGCCAGCCGATGATCTGCCGGATGAAGCCTTCGGCGGCATTGATCGGCACGGCGCCGTCCCGCCACGCCTTTTGGGCCCGCTCGCAGCATTCGCGCGGGTCGAGCAGGCCGACATTGATCAGCGCCGACAGGTGCGAATGGAACATCAGCGCCGCGCCCGTCACCATCGCATCCTGAAACGTGCCGAAATCGGGCAGCGCGTGCTCGACGAACCAGTTCAGATAGTGGAGCGCCTGCCGGCGGGTGACGGGATAGGCAAACGGTTCGAGATCGCCGAAATGGTCGCCGAACCGTTCGCCAACCAGATCGAGCACTTCGCGCGTCGTCTCGTCCACGGTCCAGTCGGGACGTTCCGGAAAGTCGAGCCCGTCCTTGGGCGGCGCGCGGTTATCGGCATCGAAGTTCCACTGCCCGCCGGCCGGCCCGCCATCCTCGATCAGATAGCCCGTGGCCTTGCGCATCTCGCGGTAGAAATACTCCATCCGCAGCGCCTTGCGGCCATCGGCCCAGCGGGCGAAATCGGCGTGGCTGGCAATGAAGCGGTCATCCAACCGGACGTCGACCTGGATTCCGAAAAGGTCCGCCCATCCCTGCTGCATCGCCAGAACCCGCCATTCGGCTGCTTCGGTGACGACGATCCGGTCGGCGCCGTGCCGCTCGACCGCAGCGCGCAACGCGTCGGTGAACGAGGCGATCGCGTCATCGTCCGCGTCGAGCTGCCGGTAGTCGACGGTGAAGCCTTCGGCCTCGAGACCGGCCGCGAAATGACGCATGGCGGCGAAGATGAAGGCCATTTTCTTCTTGTGGTGCTGGACATAGGTCGCTTCGTCCCACACCTCGGCCATCACGATCACATCATGTTCGGGATCGGCGTCGCGCAACGCCGACAGATCGCGCGAGAGCTGGTCGCCCAGAACCATGCGCAGCGTCTTGCCCATCGGCGATGTCAGCCCTTGGTGCGCAGCGAGGATCGCCCGCCATCGACGCCGATCACCTGCCCGGTGATCCAGCCGCCCGCATCTGTGAGCAGCACATGCGCCAGCGCGGCATGGTCCTCTGCACTGCCCAGCCGCGGGATTGCGTGCATCCCGGCGATCGCCTTGGCCATCTGTTCGGATGCGGTCATAGAGGCGGCAAGCGGCGTCGCGGTCAGGCTGGGAGCGATCGCGTTGACGCGCACCTTGGGCGCCAGTTCGGCGGCCAGAGCCCGCGTCAGCCCCTCCACGGCGCCCTTGGCCATCGAAACCGAGGCGTGCGCGGCAAAGCCCTGGCTCACCGCCACCGAAGAGAACAGCAGCACCGAGCCGCCCTCGCCCGCCTTTAGCGCATCGAGCGAGGCTTGCACGGCCAGCGCGGCGCCCGCCGCGTTGACGCGGAAATCGGTCAGGAAGTCGTCGCCGGTCATACGGCCGAGCGGCTTGAGATTGATCGTTCCCACCGCATAGACGAGCCCGGCCAGGTCGTCACCGGCTTCGCCGGCCGCCCTGGCGATCTGGTCCGGATCGGTCACATCGGCGACGCTGTGCCCGGCGCCCAGCTCCGCCGCGACCTCGGAAAGCCGGTCGCCGTCACGCCCGACCAGATGCAGGTCGTGCCCGTCGTCGGCTAGTGTCCGCGCGATCGCCAAGCCGATGCCGCCATTGCCGCCATAAATCAGATAAGTTCCCAACGCCCGTCCTCTCGCGACCTTGCAGGCGGACACGACGCCCGCCGCCTTTAACCTAGGCGCAGCGGTGCGGGGTCAACCGGAAAGCGGGAGGCGGCAAACGCCACACACGAAAAAAGGCCGGCTTGGCAGCCGGCCCATTGTCTTTGTGATCTGTCCCGAACGGTTGCCTATTCGGCGGCGTCGCCGTCCTTGGCCTCGGCGGCCTCGGCCTTCTTCTTGGCAGGCGCCTTTTTCTTGGCCGGCGCCTTCTTCTTCGGCGCAGCCTTTTTCGTCTCTTTCTTCGGCGCGGCTTCCTCATCCTCGTCCTCGGCCATCAGCTCTTCCTTGCTGACGGTCTGGTCGGTGACCGAGACGACGGTCAGGAGGTGATCGACGGTCTTTTCCTCGAAGATCGGGGCGCGCAGATTGGCCACCGCATCAGGGTTCTTCTGGAAGAACTCGTAGACCTGCTTTTCCTGGCCGGGATATTGCTGCACATGGCGCATCACCGCCTGCTGCAGCTCGGTGTCGGTCACCTCGACGCCGGCATCCTCGCCGATCTGCGAAAGCACCAACCCGAGGCGCACGCGGCGCTCGGCCAGCTTCTGGTATTCGGCCCTGGCCTCGTCCTCGGTCGTTTCCTCGTCCTCGAACGTGCGGCCGGCCTGCTCCAGTTCGTTGGTGATCTGGTTCCAGATATTGTTGAACTCGGTCTCGACCAGCTTTTGCGGGCTTTCGATCTGGTACATCTCGTCCAAAGCGTCGAGAAGCTGGCGCTTGACCTTCTGGCGCGTCATGCCGCCATACTGGCCCTCGATCTGCTCGCGCACGACCGCGGGCAGCCGCTCGGCGCTCTCGATGCCGAGCTTTTCGGCCAGTTCGTCATTGATCTCGACCGGTTCGGCCTTTTCGACCAGCGACACGGTGACGTCGAACACCGCTTCCTTGCCGGCCAGATGGGCGGCCTGGTAATCCTCGGGGAAAGCCACCTTCACCTGGGTCTCGTCGCCCGCCTTGGCGCCGACGAGCTGCTCCTCAAAACCGGGAATGAAGGTGCCCGAGCCCAGAACCAGCTTGGTATCGTCATCGGTGCCGCCCTCGAAGGCCTCGCCGTCGATCTTGCCGACATAGTCGATCGTCACCCGGTCGCCATCGGCGGCCTTGCCCTTCTTCTCTGAATATTCGGCGGCCGACTGGGCGATCCTCTTGACCTGCTCCTCGACCTCCTCCTCTGCGATGTCGACCACCGGGCGGGTGATCGCGATCGTCGAGAAATCCTTGGTCTCGATCGGCGGGATGACCTCGTAGCTCACAGAGAACTCGAAATCGCTCTCGCCGGTCAGCACCTTTTCCGCCTCGCCCTCATCCTCGGTCATGTCGACATCGGGCGGCGTTGCGGACTTCTCGCCGCGGTCGGCAAGGATGGAGCGCGGCGTCTCGCTGAGGATCTCGTTGACGATCTCGGCCATGAAGGATTTGCCGTACATCTTGCGCAGATGGCTGACCGGCACCTTGCCCGGCCGGAAGCCGTTCAGGCGCACACGGCCCTTGGCATCGTGCAGCTTGTCGGTGAGCTTGGCCTGGAGATCGGACTTGGGCACCACGATCTTGATCTCGCGCTTGAGCCCTTCATTGACGGTTTCGGTGACCTGCATCTTCTAACCTTCGTTTCTGCCGGCGCGCTGCCCGTCGGCATGCCTGGGTGCGCCTCTTGGATGTTCAAACTGCCCGGTGGCGAATTGGTGGTGCGGATAGAGGGAGTCGAACCCCCACGCCTTGCGGCACTGGAACCTAAATCCAGCGCGTCTACCAGTTCCGCCATATCCGCAGCGCGCCAGGCCGCAGCATGACGCCAGTGGCGGCCCCTATAGCATCATGGCCCGGCGCATCAAATGAAAAACGCCGTTCGTTTCGAGCGACCCGCGCGTCAATAGAGCGGCTCGGTGACGATGGTCTCGCCGGCCTGCCGAAACGCCTTGATCTGGCCGGTGCCGTCGGCGCCGACGGCGATGACGATCTCGGTCAGGCCGCCGGCGCGCATCCGCGCTTCCAGTTCGGGCGCCCGGTGCTCATTGGTGTAAAAGCGCCCTATGCCATAATCGACAAAGAGCGTAACGGTTCTGCCATCCAGATAGGGCGCGGTGCCGCGCAGGAAGATGCCTTCATCGGGCTTGGTGAGCGATGCGGCGACGGGCCTGTGGTGGCCGTCCGGCCCGGCCTCGAAGGTGACATAGACCGGAACGTCACGGCCCGGCTCACGCATGCCGGCTTCCGCCGTCAGGCCGGCCAGCACGTCGCCGGTGATCTGCTGGGCCGGATAGGTCAGCACAACATAGTGGCCGCGCAGCAGGTCGCGCGGGTCGATCGGTTCGCTCTTGAGAACGATCTCGGCACCCTCGCGCAGGATTTGCGCGCGGCTTTCGATCATCCAGGCAAGGATCGCGCACAGAACCGCGGTCGCGGCGACAGCGGCGGGGACGACGAACGGCTTGGCACGCGCCGGCTCAGCCATCGGCCTTCTCCTCAATTGCAGCGCGGCGCTTGAAGCGGCGCTCCGCCCAATAGATCCCGCCCGCAATCAGCGTCAGCGTCACCCCGACGGCAAGGAAGAAACCCGCCGTGCCCAGGAGCGAGGCGACCGTTTCCCCGTAAAGAAACAGGATCTCGCCGACAAAAACCGCATAAGAGACATAACGGATGGTGCGCGAACGCGCGCCGTGGGTAAACAGCGCATAGAGCGCAAAACCCAGCGTCATCGGCCCGACGACGAACAGCGGCAGCAGGTCGCCGCTTTCGACATGCAGCGCAAGAAGGGCGATCAGCCCCGCGCCGAACGCCGTTTCCGGCCGGCGCAAGAAGGCCGGCGCCGGACCGCCGGCGCCCCGCGCAAGCCACAACCCGGCCAGGCTCGCCGCGAGAAGCGCCAGCCATATCGCCAGCCGCGCCCCGTCGGGCAGACCTTCATAGAAGTCGGCGATGGCCTCCAGAACCGAAAACAGGAACGGCACGAGGCCGACGAGGAAGGTCGCTGCCGCCACCCAGCGCAGCCACGGCATGCGGCCGAACCGCGAAAGCGCGTAGCCCGCCGCGCAGAAGGCGGCGAAGATGACGAAATCCGCATCAACCAAGGTCTCCGGTGCCGGTGTTTCCAGATACCACCAGGCGATGGCACCGAGCGCGCCGGCCGCCAGCACGTGGCTGCGCACGGCCAGCCCGGCAATGCCGAGCCCCAGCGCGAAGCCGAACATGGCCTGACCGATATCGCCGGGCAGATGATACATCTGGCCGACCAGCGCCACGCCGCCCACATAGGCGGCGCCCGCCACCAGATAGGCCGCCTCCTCCAGCCAGCGCGCATGCCGGCCGCCACGCGCACCGATGACCGCGCCGCCGATCAGCCCACCGGCGATCAGCACCATGATGCCGGCAACCTTGCCAAGGCGCGGGATCGCCTCCCAGTTGGCCGAAATGAACATCACGATGGCAGCGGCAAACGAGATGGCCGCGAAAATGGCGACGATTCGGAAAAACGAGAACGGTTTTGCGTCCCCATCGCGGGCGGCGGCGCCGCTTCGTCCGATATCGGCCAAGAGCGCGGCGGCGACATCGTCGGCGATGATGCCACGATTGTGCCAATCTTTGATCTGGTTCTCCAGATAGCTCGCCATCGCTCAGTTTTTCTTGTTGAAATTCATATACTTGGAAAACCGACGCCGTTAACGTTCCGGAAAGAATCATGGCATTTTTGTGCAATGCAAAAACGCATATGTGCTATGCACAAAACGGGCTTATCACTCCTGAAAGCGCCGCCTATATGCCGGTCGTAACAGAAATGACAAAACGGATAAAACCGCGAGTCAACTGAAAGGAAAAGTCATGAACTTCGCTCGCTCCTTCTCGCAGTGGCGCAAAGCCCGCCGGACCTACAACGAACTCAGCCGCCTGTCGACGCGCGAACTGGACGATCTGGGTATCGCCCGCGGCGACATCGCAGAGATCGCCCGCAAGTCGGTCCGCGCCTGATCCATCGGTTTCGCCCCGCCGGTCTCTCCTCCTCCCGGACCGGTCGGGCAGTGAAGGCTCACGGCACCTCCTCCCTTGCCGCGCCTTCATGTGAAGAACACCCGCCGGTCCTCCCCCGGCGGGTGTTTTCGTTTGTTCCGCGGCGCATTCCGCAGCCGCGCAGCCTTGCAATAATTCATGGCGGACATGCCGTATCGGCACTACCCAAAGCGTTTCGGAACACCCAGATTGGGATCAATCGAAGCCCGCAACAGAAAGGACAGAACGATGATGAAATTCGCGCACACCCTCAAGACTTGGCGTTCGGTCCGCGACACCGAAAATCAGCTCCGCCGCCTCTCCGAGCGGGAGCTGGAAGACATCGGTTTCGCCCGCGGCGACATTCCCGCCGTCGCACGCGGCGGCCGCCCGGCCTGACGCGGTTCGACCGCATTTATTGACCTCCCGGAAACCCGCCGAGCAGCGCTCGGCGGGTTTTTCGTTGTGGCAGCGATAGCGCCGCGGCGGCCGCCACATTGATGGCGGAGCGCCGATGCGCTAACCCGTCAGCATGACCACCGATCCCGTCCATATTGTCGGCGGCGGCCTTGCCGGCTCGGAAGCGGCCTGGCAGGCGGCCCAAGCCGGCGTGCCGGTCATCCTGCACGAAATGCGCGGCCTGCGCGGCACCGACGCGCACAAGACCGACCATCTGGCCGAACTTGTCTGCTCGAATTCCTTCCGCTCCGACGATGCCGAACTGAACGCCGTCGGCCTTTTGCATGCCGAAATGCGGCTCGCCGGCTCGCTGATCATGGCCTGCGGAGATGCCCATCAGGTGCCGGCCGGCTCGGCATTGGCGGTCGACCGCGACGGTTTTTCGCAGGCGGTCACCGACAAGATCGAAGCCCATCCGCTGATCACCATCGTCCGTGAGGAAATCACCGGCCTGCCGCCGGGCGATTGGGATCAGGCGATCATCGCCACCGGGCCGCTGACCGCGCCGTCGCTCGCCGAAGCGATCGCCGCCGAGACCGGCCAGGATGCGCTGGCCTTCTTCGACGCCATCGCGCCCATCGTCCACACCGACACGATCGACATGGACGTCGCCTGGTTCCAGTCGCGTTACGACAAGGTCGGACCCGGCGGAACGGGCAAGGACTATATCAACTGCCCGATGGACGAGGCGCAGTACAATGCGTTCATCGACGCGCTGCTCGCCGGTGACAAGACCGAATTCAAGCAGTGGGAAGGCACGCCCTATTTCGACGGCTGCCTGCCGATCGAGGTGATGGCCGAACGCGGCCGCGAGACGCTGCGGCACGGCCCGATGAAGCCGATGGGGCTCACCAACGCGCACAGGCCGGACGAAAAGCCCTATGCGGTCGTCCAGCTGCGCCAAGACAATGCGCTGGGCACGCTCTACAACATGGTGGGTTTCCAGACCAAGCTGCGCTATGGCGCCCAGGCCGACATCTTCCGCACGATCCCGGGCCTTGAGAAGGCCGAGTTCGCGCGGCTGGGCGGCATTCACCGCAACACATACCTCAATTCGCCGACCCTGCTCGGACCGGATCTGGCGCTGAAATCGCGGCCCGGCCTGCGCTTTGCCGGCCAGATCACCGGCTGCGAAGGCTATGTCGAATCGGCGGCCATCGGCCTTCTCGCGGGCCGCTTCGCCGCCGCCGAACGGCTGGGCGGACAGCCGGACCTGCCGCCGCCAACGACCGCGTTCGGGTCGCTGCTCGGCCACATCACGGGCGGCCATCTGGTTGCCGACGACGAGCCGGGCAAGCGCTCCTTCCAGCCGATGAACATCAATTTCGGCCTTTTCCCGCCGCTCGAGCCGGGCGCAATCCGCAAGCCGGACGGCCATCAGGGCCGGTTCCGCGGCAAGGACAAGGCGATGGCCAAGAAGCGCGCCATGACCGGCCGCGCGATCACCGATGCAAAAGCCTGGCTCTGTACGGACAACATGCATGTGGAGGCCGCCGAATGACACGAACCGCCCTGCCCGCTGCCGCGGCGACCCTCCTGTTGTCCTCTCAGGCCGCGCTCGCCGACTGCGAAGCCGACGCGCGCGCCGCCATGCTCGACGTCGCCCATCCGGTGCCGATGCGCCAGAATGTGACCACCGAGATGGCCGGCAACACGATCGAGAGCTTCGCCCTGTCGATGCCGGACGGGCGCGGCATGGCGCTCGATGCCAATGAGACGCCGGTCAGCCTGTGGATCGGCGGACGCTTCTATTCGAGCGCCGATGGCGGCGAGAGCTGGTCCCTCGTGTCGGAGCAGACCCGGGAACAGCTCGACGCGCAGGCCGCCGGCCGCCAGACGCAGGCCGACGAGGCCACCAACATCGTTTGCGACTACGACATCGATCTCGACGGCAAGGCCGTGCACCGCTTTGCGCTGGACTATGCGCTTGCCGGCTCGGGCATACCGGTCAAGAGCCAGTACTGGATCGATGCGAAGACCCGCTTCCCCTGGCGGGTGGTCCACGAGTTTGGCGGCGCGGCGCCATCCGTGATCACCCAGAACAACGAGCCGGTCGACGAACTGACCATCCCCGATCCGGACGGCTGAACACCTTTCACCCATCCGTGACTTGCGCGTGGTGACATCGCCATGCTTGCTGCGCGCGACCGACTTTCAGACAAGGGGACATCCATGCTCATTCCACGCCAGAAGGTGCCCGATCTGACGGTGCCGACGCTCGATCACGGCTCGTTCGACCTTGCCGCCGAACCAAGCGAACGCGGCACGGTGATCTGCTTTTATCGGGGCCTGCACTGCCCGATCTGCGCCACCTACCTCAAGGAATTCGACAGGCAGGCCCCCGAGTTTGCCGAGCGCGGCGTTGGCGTTCTGGCGCTGAGCAGCGATGGCGAGGAGCGCACGCGCGCCATGGCCGACAAGATCGAAAATCAGAACCTACGGTTCGGCCACGACCTGCCGCTGTCCAAGGCGCGCGAATGGGGCCTCTACATCTCCACCTCGCGCGGCAAGACCTCGATCGGCATCGAGGAGCCGGCGCTGTTCGCCGAGCCCGGCCTGTTCATGGTTACGCCCGAGCAGACGCTCTATTACGGCTCGGTGCAGACCATGCCGTTCGTGCGTCCGCATTTCCGCGAACTGGTCGCCGCTCTCGATTTCGCGATCGAGAAAAACTATCCGGCGCGCGGCGAATATACGGGCGAACTGCCGAACTGAGCCAGCCTGTTCGCGCCGTTGGACGATAGTCCGGCATGTGGTAGGATATGATCCTACTTTGTCGGGAGCCGTTCGATGACCAAGCCTGCCGAGAAACTCTCCATCACCATCACCGCGCCCATGGCCCAGCGTATCCGCGCCGAAGTGGAGGCCGGCCATTACGGTTCGACCAGCGAGGTGATCCGCGAGGCGCTGCGCCTGTGGGAGAAACAGCAGCAGGAACTCGACCTGCTGCGCGCCCGCGTGAAGGCCTCCATCGAGGACCCGAGACCGAGGGTGCCGTTCAAGGATGTGCGCCGCCGTATCAAGGAGCGCCATGAGGCTGCGTTGAACGAAGCGCATGATGACGCCGCTTGAGGTTATCTTTTCCGAGCAGGCCGACGACGACGTTGCCACGATCTAGCAATGGATCGCCCGTGAAACGGCGTCTTTGGAGACCGCGCTCGGCTTCGTTTCGCGGATCGTCGATCGGTGCGAGGCGATTGGCAACGCTCCCCATAGCGGCACGGCACGCGACGATCTGGCGCCGGGCCTGCGAACCGTGCCTTTCGAGCGCTCCGCCCTGATCGCCTATCGCGTCGAGGACGACCGCTTTGCCATCACCAATGTGTTCTACCGCGGTCGCGACGTCGACGCCGCCTTCTCTGACGAAGACTGAACGATCCGGTCAGTTTCGCACCAGCCGCCTGGCAGCCGCGCCCTCGGTGCGGTCGTAAGCCAGAAGCGCGCGGAACGCGCTCAGCGACCTGTCCGGCTGCTTGCCGTCGGCAAGCGCATAGATGTGCTCATAGTACCAGCCGAGCGCGGCCCAGGCATTGAGGTCGCGCAGGAAGCTGATCGGCGAGCGCGGCCCCAGGAGCCCGCCGCCGATCACAAGGTCGTCGTCGCGGCTCTCCAGCCGCTCGGCCATCCCTTCGAGAAGATGGGCGGCGCCGTCCGGGTCGAGCACCAGCGGACGGCCGAGACCGATCATGTCGACGCCATCGTCGCCGATCGCCGCCTCCATGGCGTCCCTTGACCGGAAACCGCCCGTCACCATCACCGGGATCGACACGGCGGCGCGCAGCTTGGGCACGAATTCGAGAAAATATGCCTCGCGCCGGCGCGTGCTTTCCCGCTTCTGGGCGGCGAGCGGATCCTTGCGGTTGAAGTCGATCATGCGCGGCTGTTCGTAATTGCCGCCCGACACCTCGATCATGTCGACGCCCGCATCGGCCAGCCAGCCGGCAACGGTCACGCTGTCGTCCTCGGAGAAGCCGCCGCGCTGAAAATCGGCGGAGTTGAGCTTGACCGCAACGGCAAAATCCGGAGCGACCGTCTCGCGGATGCGTTCAACGATCGTCAGAAGGATGCGCGCGCGGTTTTCCAGGCTGCCGCCCCACTCATCGTCGCGCCGGTTCGACAGGGGCGACAGGAACTGGCTCATCAGATAGCCGTGTGCCGCATGGACCTGAACGCCATCGAAGCCGCATTGCTCGGCCGTTTTCGCCGCATGCGCAAAGCCGGCAATGATCGTCTCGATCTGCACGGCGGACAGCGGCGTCGGCGTGCCGAAACGGCCATTGCCCATTTTCAGGCCGACATCGGACGGCGCGTTCGGCCTGGGATTGATCATCTTCTGGGTCTGGCGGCCCGCATGGTTGAGCTGCATCCAGATGTGCGCGCCGTGCGCCTTGGCCGCCGAGGCCATGTCGGCCAGTGCCGCCAGCGCCTCATTGCCCTGTTCGCCGTCGATGGCCAGATTACCGCCGCGCTCCAGATGCCAGCGGTCGATCAGAACATTGCCGGTGATCAGAAGCGCCGCGCCGCCCTCGCCCCAGCGGCTGTACAGGGTGGTGAAGCGTTCGTTGGCGCGGTTCGTCCCATCGGCCAGCCCCTCCGTCATGGCCGCCTTGGCGATGCGGTTTTTCAGCACCACGCCACATGGCAGCATCAGCGGTTGAGCAAGAACAGTCGATTGCGCCATCAGGTTTACCCGTACCGGAAACAGGCCGCAATCTACATGAACAGGCAAAGTAACGAAAGATTAACCACAAACCTATGGTGCAACACGGTTAACGTGACGAAGTCATTTGCATGTCCGCAATCGGACTTGTCCGCAATTCAACCCGCCACCGCGACCACCGTGCCCTGCGCCAGCGCGCACAGGCGCTCGCCCCTGTCGTCGATGGAGAAGATTTCGCAACTGCACACGGCTTGGCGCCGGCCGACCCCGCGCGCGGTGGCGCGGGCGATCAGGCGCGTGCCCCTGGCGGGCCGCACATAGTTGATCTTGAATTCCGACGTCAGCGCGTCGGTCCCGAGCCCCAGCCCGCCGGCAAAGGTGATCGCATTGTCGGCCAGATATGAGATCAGCCCGCCATGGGCAAAACCGTGCTGCTGGCGCAACGCGTCGCGCATTTCGACGGCGATCTCCGCACGGCCCTTGCCGGCGGCGACCAGTTCGGCGCCGATCAACTGCGTGAACGGTTGGGCCGCGAAGATATCGGCGGCAAAGGCATGCGTCTCGTCCATCGGATCGGCCTTACTCGGCCGGGCTGCGCAAGCCGGACGCGGTGTCGGCCGGCGCGTCGCCCGGAGCCGGCGGCAGGCCCGGCATGCCTGCCTGATCGGGATGGCGGCGCACATAGTCCGCCTTGATCTTGGTCGTGTCGTCGCGGCTTCCGTCATGGCTCCAGCCGGGCGGCATGACCAGATAGAAGAACCGCTCCTTCAAGGTCAGGCCGGGCCGCGCCGCATCGGCGAACATCGCCCACCATTCGTGAAACGCCACCTTGATCGGGTTGAACGTGCCGATGTTCCGCACAAGCCCATAGCGCGGCATGTCCTCGTCCAGTTCGGGCACGAAGGTGCCGAACATGCGGTCCCAGATGATCAGCGTGCCGGCATAGTTCGCGTCGAGATAGCGCGGGTTCGTCGCATGGTGCACGCGATGGTGCGAGGGCGTGTTGAACACCGCCTCGATCGGCTTCCACATCTTGCCGATCGCCTCTGTGTGGATCCAGAACTGGTAGACGAGGTTCAGTCCGCCCACAAAGGCGATCATCACCGGATGAAAGCCGATCAGCACCAGCGGAATGCGCAGGATGAACATGCCGGTGAAGGTGCCGGTCCAGCTTTGGCGCAGCGCGGTGGTCAGGTTGTAGTGCTGCGAGGAATGATGGTTGACGTGCTCGGCCCAGACCCAGCGCGAGCGGTGCGCGATGCGGTGATACCAGTAGTAGCGCAGATCATCGAGGATGAAACACAGAAGCACCGCCCACCAGGAAAAGCCGAAATCGTAGACCGCGAACTGCCAGGCCCACATCAAAACGCCAAACGCGATGAAGCCGAGCAGCAGCCCGGCGACGACATTGCCGGTGCCCATCAGAAGCGAAGTCAGCGTGTCGCGCGTTTCGAACCCGGCCTTGCGCTCGTCGCGGAAGCGCTTGATCAGGTAGAGTTCGACGATGATGGCGATGATGAAAAACGGGATCGCCACCTGCGTGACATCGGGATAGTTGGGGATCAGCGCATCGAGATCCATCACGCGGCCTCCGACAGGGAAATCGCATCAAGGCCGAGCGCCGCAACGGCCGTGTCGCGTTCTTCGCGCGAGGCGAACGCGATGACGATGCGCGGCAGCGTCATCTCATGGGCGTCGAACGCCAGCGATGCCTCGTCCTTCATGCTGATCATGGTGCCGAATTCTTCCCTTTTGTAGTGCCGCGTCAGCGATTTGGAGCCGACCGTGTGCACCAGCCCCAGACTGCCGTCGGCCAACAGCAGCAGCGCCTCATAGCCGTCCGCCGATTCAAAACAGCGCGCGACGTCCGCATCGGGAAAGTCGATCCGGAACCGTTCGGCCACCCGGCCGGCGCTGCCCAGCGGCACCCGCTGCGACCCGCCGCTCAGATGCACGAGCAGCACGATCAGACCGATGCCGAAGCCGACGATGGCGACCAGAAGCGGCAGGCTCATGGCGCTCCTCCCCAAGAACCGGGTCAGACTAGCGGTTTTGACGTAAACGTCAAAGGGAGTTTGGCGCTCAGAAGCCGAGCGCCTGCCGCGTCATCCGCCATTGCACGGTGACGGGCGAAAGGCGCACGGGCTCGGCGCGGGCCGATCCACCCGCCTTTGCCGCCTTGGCGAACACCGCATCGGCAACGCCCAGCACGGCGAACGGCGCGCGCAGGCCCTTGGGCACGTCCGCAAGCGCTTCGCGCGCCTTGGCCAGATGCTCGCGCCCGAGCGCGACAAAGGCGGTGATCGCGGTGGCAAAGGCCGCATCGTCGTCCTCGGCCAGCCAGTGGCCGGCATCGGTGCCCGCCGCGGCCAGCAGATCGGCGGGCAGGAACACCTGTCCGCGCGCCCGGTGCTGCGGCATCTGCCGGATCAGCGTGGCGATCCCGTAGGCAACGCCCGCATGGCCGGCCGCGTCCGCCGTCGGCGGGGTCTTCCCGCCATTGACGATCTGACAGGCCATCTGGATCAGCATGGAGGCCGTCTCACCCAGATAGCCCTCAAGGTCGGTGCGCGTCGGCATGGGATCGTCATAAAGATCGAAAATCCGCGCTTCGAGCAGATTGTCGAACGCGGACGCCGGCAGATCGTGGGCGACGATCGCATCGAGCAGCGCTGCGGCCAGCGGGTTCTGCCGCGCTTCCTCGGCGCGCTCGCCGCCGATCACCTCGCGCCACCATTGCAGCCGGATTTCGCCCGGCATCGGTTCGGAGACCAGATCGCGCAACCGCGCCGTCTCCGCATTGAACAGGAACAAAGTCGCCAGCGCCGCGCGCCTGTCCTCGGGCGCGAACAGCACCGACAGGTACCGCTCGCGATCCGCCTCGCGCAACTGGTTCAGACGGTCGTCGGATGGCTCGCTCATGGGAGCGGATATGGCACTGGCTGGGTTCGTTGGCCAGTGGAGTTGGCGAGGCAGCGTGCGCACGCGATGATTTGTGCTCACCGGCTGCCGCCCTTAGAGTGCTCTGGTCGTGGCGCCGTAGACGGGATGAGACAGATGAAGCGGCTTCTCCCTCACCAGACAGATCAGCGCTTTCTCGTCTTCGCGGCGACCGGAACGGATTTGATCTTCAACAGGGGTGTCGAACTGCCCGGGTTCGCGTCATTCCCGCTGATTGAAGACGCAACGGCGCAGCCGATCATCGTCGACCAGATGCGCGATCTGACGAAGGTGGCGGCCGATTTCGAACTGGGATGCATCATCGACACGCCGACCTGGATGGCGAACCGCGACCGCGCGGCACCGCTGGGCTACGATTCCGACCGCTTGACGGCATTGAACCGGAAGGCCGTGGAATTGATGTGCGACCTGCGGACGGAAGCGGCGCGCGATGACGTATTGGTGGCGCTGTGTATCGGGCCCGCCCGCGATGCCTATGCCAAAACCAAGCCCATGACCGTGGCGGACGCGCGCGCCTATCATGCCGTTCAAGTCGGCTCGGTCGCCGATGCGGGTGTCGATCTGGTCAACGCCTACACGTTCAATCACGTCGAGGAGGCGGCTGGCGCCGTGCTGGCGGCCAAGGATTGCGGGGTGCCAATCGCCGTCTCGTTCGTTGTGGAGACCGATGGGTGCCTCGACAATGGCACTGGCCTGGAAGACGCAATTGACCAGGTCGACGCGCTCACCGATCAGGCCGCAGAGTATTTCATGGTGAACTGCGCGCATCCCGATCATTTCAGCCATGTGCTGACGGGTCATGCTCGGTTGAGGGGCATTGTCGTCAACGCCTCGCGGTGCAGCCATGCTGAACTGGATGAAGCAACCGAACTGGATGACGGCGATCCGGTGGAATTGGGCGCCGAGGTCGCACGGCTCTTACACGCACACCCAGCGCTCTCGATAGCTGGTGGCTGCTGCGGGTCCGACTTCCGGCACATGCGGGAGATCGCGTCGCGCATAAGAGCCTGACGTCAATGACCTTCAGTTACCCCGGCTCATCGTCCATCATCTCGAAGCTCAAGCCCGCATGCTTGGTGATGCGGTCGCGCAGAAGCGGGCCCATTGCCGCGGCCGGTGTCCAGAAGCCGCCGCCGACCGGAATCCTCTCGGCATCCTGGGCCAGGCACAGGGCAGCCTCGGTGAGCATCAGCGTGGTTGACCGCACGCCCGGATCGCCCTGCGCCGTGATGCGCGCCTTCAGCACGGTGCCATCGGGCATCTCGCCCACCATGACCATTTCATAGGAGCCGGTTTCACGGACTTCCCTGCTGGGCCCCTCGCCGGATTTCGGCAGTACGCGGCGTTGCAGCAGGCGGCGCGTCGCCGGGATCGCCATGGCGATCAGGAGCGCCCGGCCGAACAGCGTATAGCTCATCGCCGCCCACCAGCCGCCGATCCCGCCGCGGGTCAGGGCCGTCTCCTGATAGGTGAAGTCGCGGCCATAGGGATAATCCATGATCGCATTGGTGCGCCGCACGACCTTGGAATTCATCGGGCCCATGAAGAACGGCTTGGTCCAGGCCTGAAGGTCGGCATCCCAGGTCACCTCGAGTGGCATCATGCGGTCGGGGCCGTCGGGACCGTCGCGTTCGCCTTCCGGGCAGAGCGCATAGGGGTCCTGCGACAGCCGGTCGAAGTCCGGGTCGGTCTCGCGCACCTTCATCGCATTGACGAAGCTGGCCGCCGTGCCGCCGCTGAACCCGCCCTTCATCCGCGTGATGCGGTTGGCGATGCGTCTGCACGGCTTGCCATGGCGGGCCACCGCCGCCTCCTGCAGGAACTGCACGCCAAGATCGGACGGGATCGAATCGTGCCCGCAGGCATGGACGATCCGGGCGCCGGTCCGGCGCGCCGTGTCCTGATGCGCGTCGATCATGGCGCGCATCCACTGCGGCTCCCCGGTCAGGTCGCAATAATGGGTGCCGTTCGCCGCGCAGGCCGCGACAAGTTCGCTGCCGTAAAGCGCAAACGGACCGACCGTCGACACGACGACCCGTGTCCGGGCGGTCATGTCATGCATGAACGCCGCATCCAAGCTGTCGCCCACCAGGATCGCGATCGTATCCGCTCCGGCCAGGCCATCGCGCACCGTTTCCAGCTTGGCCCGGTTGCGGCCGCCAATGGCGAGCGACACGCCGCCTTCGGCACCGCGTCTGGCCAGATGGTGCGCGGCACGACGCCCGGTGGCGCCGGTCGCGCCCCACAGGACGATGTCGAATTCGCGTTCCGCCGTTGGCGAGGTTTCGCCCATCGGAAATCTCCGCCCCTGCTGCCGATCCTCTCGCGAAGCAGCACCGGCGCGATTGTGACGCCCCATTGGCGATCGCGAGCAGGACCGCCATTATGGCGACGAGAAAAGTGCGCGCCTTAACGCCGATCAATCATCGTGGGCGGCCGCCCCGGCGCGATTGATTTCCGTCAAGATGGAATTTGCGCCGTCTGATAAGCTCTCATGCATCGGTTGTTCTCAGCGTCGGGAGTGTGATCCATGACCCAAACGGAAGAATACCAACAAGCAAGGCGGCGTGCCGAAGCCAAATACGGCTTCTTCAAGCACGCCGGTGTCTATGCGGCCGTCATGGCGCTTCTGGTCGTCATCAACATGGTGACATCGCCACAGGCGTTCTGGTTCATCTGGCCGCTGATTGGCTGGGGGTTGGCGGTGGCGCTGCACGGCGTCCGCGTCTATCTGCTGTCGGACAAGAACACCGTTCTCGACGCACTGACAGAGCAGGAGCTCCGCCAGTCCGGGGCCGGCAGGACCAGCAAGGATTGGGGCCGCGACGCCGCGGGCTGAGTGTTGCCGCCCCGCTCTACCGCGCCTCATCCACCGCGATCAGCGCCGCGGCGACGGCCCGTTCCTCGGCGAGCAGCACGTTGAACGTGCGCACGGCGGCACCGGTCGCCATCGCTTCGGTGACGATGCCATGCTCTTCGCGCAGCGTGTCGCGCAGGCGCTTGGGCAGAACGCGCAGGTCCGGCCCGCAGCCGACCAGCAGCACTTCGATGTCGGCGGCGTCGGCGATGACTTTCTCAAGGCTCGTCAGGTCGATCTCCTCGAAGCGCTTGGCGTCCCAGCCATGGATGCCCGACGGCAGGGCGAGAATCGAGCCGCGATGGCTCATCTCGGCAAAGCGGAAGCCGCCGCTGCCATAGGCGTCGATCGGCGCACGACCGGGAAAATGCGCATCGCGGATCTCGATGCCGGCGCGGATGGTCTTTGCCACCGCCCCGCCCTCAGCTTTCGATATCGACCGGCGCGGTGTTGGCGGTGGCCGCCTTTTCCTTCTGCGCGTCGTCGCTCTCCTGCGACAGCGCGCCCGGCCGCAGGCGGAACATGATCAGGATGGGCGCTGCGATGAAGATCGACGAATAGGTGCCGATCACCACGCCGAAGATCATCGCGGCGACAAACGATTGCAGCACCTCGCCGCCGAAGAAGAACAGCGCAAGCAGCGCAAGAAGCGTCGTCACCGACGTGAGGATGGTGCGCGGCAGCGTCTGGTTCATCGACATGTCGAGCAACTCGGGCACCGGCATCTTCTTGTAGCGCCGCAAATTCTCGCGCACGCGGTCGTAGACGACGACGGTGTCGTTCAGCGAATAGCCGACGATGGTCAGGATCGCAGCGATACTCGACAGGTTGAATTCGAGCCCGGTCACAACGAACATGCCGATGGTGAGCAGCACATCGTGCGTCGTCGCGATGATCGCGCCGAGCGCGAACTGCCACTCGAACCTGAGCCAGATGTAGATCAGGATCGCGCCAAGCGCCGCAAGCACCGCGATGGTGCCGGCGGTCGCCAGTTCGCCCGAAACGGTCGGTCCGACCACTTCCACGCGGCGGATATTGTAGTCTTCCTCAAGCACGGCGCGCACCTTGGTGATGGCGCTCTGTTCGGCATTGTCGCCGCCGCCCTGGCTCTCGATGCGGATCAGCGCATCGGTCGGCGCGCCAAAACCCTGCACCTGCACATCGCCAAGATTGAGATCCGAAAGCCCGTTGCGGATGCCGCCAATGTCGGCCTCGCCCTCGATCGCCTGCACCTCGATCAGCGAGCCGCCCTTGAAGTCGATGCCCAAATTCATGTTCACCGTGGCAAACAGCGCCATCGAGGCGACGACGATCAGCGAGGAGACCGTGAACGAATAGCGCCGCAGCCACATGAACTTTATCTTGGTGTCGGGGCGCAGATGCTTGCCAAGGCCGAGCGGCAGTTCCTTGGGTTTGCGGCGCTTCAGCCAGAACGCCATCATCCAGCGCGTCAGGACGAAGGCGGTGAAGACCGTGGTGATGATGCCGATGGCGAGCGTGACGGCAAAGCCGCGGATCGGGCCGGAGCCGAGATAGAAAAGGATGATCGCAGCGATCAGCGTCGTCACGTTGGCATCGACGATGGTGGTGAAGGCGCGCTGGAAGCCGGCGTCGATCGCCTGGATGAGGCTTCGCCCGCCAAGCCGCTCCTCGCGGATGCGCTCGAAGATCAGAACGTTGGAGTCGACCGCCATGCCGACCGTCAGCACGATGCCGGCAATGCCCGGCAGCGTCAGCGTCGCGCCGAGCGCCGAGAGCGCGGCGATCACCAAAGTGATGTTGATGATCAGCGCCAGATTGGCGATGACGCCCAGAAAGCCGTAGGCGACGAACATGAAGCCGACGACGAGGAACGCGCCGATGATGCCCGCGATCTCGCCGGCTGCAATGGAATCGGCGCCGAGCGACGGGCCGACCGTGCGTTCCTCGACGAAGGTCGGTTTCAGCGGCAGCGCGCCGGCGCGCAGGAGAATCGCCAGATCGTTGGCGCCATCGACGGTGAAATTGCCGGAAATTTGGCCCGTGCCGCCCAGGATCGGCTCGCGTATCACCGGCGCGGAAATCACCTGATCGTCGAGCACGATGGCGAACGGGCGGCCGACATTTTCCTGCGTCGCCCGGCCGAAGCGCTGCGCGCCCGTGCCGTCGAAACGGAAAGTGACGATCGGTTCGTTGGTGCGCTGGTCAAAGCCCGCCTGCGCATCCTCAAGGTTCTCGCCGGTGACGATCTCGCGCGTCTCGATCACGTACGGGATCGGCGGGTCGTCGGTCGAATAGAGGATCTCCGTGCCGACCGGCGGCCGGCTGCCGAGCGCGTCCTCGACCGGCGTCGTCACATCGACCATGCGGAAGGCCAGCCGCGCCGTGGTGCCGATCAGCTCTTTCAGGCGCTCGGGATCGTCAAGGCCCGGCACCTGCACGATGATGCGGTCGGCGCCCTGGCGCTGGATCACCGGTTCGGTCGTGCCCAGCTCGTCGATGCGGCCGCGAATGACCTCCACGGTCTGGGTCAGCGCCCCGGCCATCCGGTAGTCGAGCCCCTGGTCGGTGATCTCCAGTTCGTACCTTCCGTTGGCATCGGGCCCGGAAAGGACGATCTCGCGCACCGTGCCGCCGGTCAGAAGTCCGGTGGTGACCGGTGTCGTCAGATCGGCAAGCGCCTCGCGCATTGCATCGGCATCGCTGGGGTCGCGCAGCGTGAAGCCGACCGTCTGGCCCTGGCCCGAAAGGCCGGTATAGCCGATGCCCTCGGCACGCAGCAGGCGCCGCACCTCGTCGCGCGTCGCTTCGAGCCTTTGTTCGACCAGATCGTCGCGGTCGAGCCTGAGTTGCAGGTGCACGCCGCCCTGAAGGTCGAGCCCGAGCGCCAGCGAGTCGCTGGGCACGACGTCCGGCAGGCTGTCGCGCACCGATTGCGGATAAAGGTTGGGCAGCGCGAACGCGACGCCGACCGCCACGGTCAGCCAGATCAGAACCGTCTTCCAGGGCGCGAAGTAGAGCATGTCAGATCATGTCCCGAAACAGAGCGTCAGCCAAGCACGGCCTGCCGGGCCGGCCTGGCGAAAATGGGGCGCCATCCCCGATGGCGGCGCGAAAGCCGTCAGGCTTTCTTGGCGTCGTTGGCGGCCACCGGCTCGCCCTTCACCCGCACATCGGCCACCATCGAACGCATCACGCGAACCTTGGTGCCCTGGGCGATCTCGACTTCCAGTTCGCCCTCGTCCTCATGCACCTTGGTCACCTTGCCGACGACGCCGCCGCCGGTGACGATCGTGTCGTTGCGGCGGATGGCCCCGAGCATTTCCTCGCGCTTTTTGACCTGCTGGCGCTGCGGCCGGATGATCAGGAAGTACATGATCACGAAAATCAGGATGAACGGCAAAAGGCTCATGATCAGGCTCGGGCCGGCGGCCGCGCCGCCCGCCTGGGCGAAAGCCGGTGTGACAAACATGCAAGAAACTCCCCAGAACGGATGGCCCCGTTTGGGACCTTGAAATTTGCGGCGAATATAGTCAGGCAAAGCCCCGATGCAACCGAAACCGGGGACAATCGGCACCAGCCCGCCCGATTGCCTTTTTGGTGAGAGGGACCGCGATGACGCAATCGGCTGAAGACCGGCTGTTGGCGCTGGAAGGCAAGCTCGACCGGCTGGCCGAGGCGCTCGAACGGCTCGCCCCGCCCCCGCCCCCGGCGCCGGGCTTCGAAACATCGGACTGTTTCGTCTGGGAGCGCGGGGCGCTCGCGCCGGTCGCCCGTGTCAACCGGATCGAGATCGGCCTCATAAAGGGCGTCGACCGGGTGCGCGACATTCTGATCGACAACACCGAACGGTTCGCCAGGGGCCTTCCCGCCAACAACGTGCTTTTGTGGGGCGCGCGCGGCATGGGCAAGTCCTCGCTCGTCAAGGCGTCCCACGCCGCGATCAATGCGAGCGGCGCCACGACGCCGCTCAAGCTGATCGAGATCCACCGCGAGGACATCGACACCCTGCCCCGCCTGCTCGCCACACTGAAGGATGCGCCTTTCGCCTTCATCGTCTTTTGCGACGACCTGTCGTTCGACCAGGACGACACGTCCTACAAGTCGCTGAAGGCGGCGCTCGACGGTGGCGTCGAAGGCAGGCCGGACAATGTGATCTTTTATGCGACCTCCAACCGGCGCCACCTCCTGCCGCGCGACATGATCGAGAACGAGCGCTCGACGGCGATCAATCCGTCCGAGGCGGTCGAGGAGAAGGTTTCGCTGTCGGACCGGTTCGGCCTGTGGCTCGGCTTTCACAAATGTTCGCAGGACGAATATCTTGAGATGATCGAGGGCTATGCCGCCCATTACGGGCTCAAGGCGGAACCGGACGAACTGCGCCGCGATGCGCTGGAATGGGCGACGACGCGCGGCGCGCGCTCGGGCCGCGTCGCCTGGCAGTTCATCACCGATCTGGCGGGGCGGCTCGGGCAGAGGCTGGAGGGGTGACCGTCAGCGCATCGCCTCCCCCTTGAGGGGAGAGGCACGCAAGACCGAGCCTGCGATGGTCGAGCGTGTGGGGGTAACGAAGAGGCGCATCGGCCACTCCATTACCCCCCACCGGGCTCTGTCTCGTTTGCACTCGCCAGTCGCGGTTCGCAGGCTCACCCCCTCAAGGGGGAGGTGAGCCGAGGTGCAGTTCACTCCGCCGGCATGGCGAACTGGTTCATCGTATTGTCTTCGCCGGCGGCCTTCAGGGCCGCGTCGCCGGAGAAATACTCCTTGTGGTCGTCGCCCATGTCCGAGCCGGCCATGTTCTGGTGCTTGACGCAGGCGATGCCCTGGCGGATTTCCTCGCGCTGGACGTTCTTGACGTAGCCCAGCATGCCCTGCTCGCCGAAATATTCGCGGGCGAGATTGTCCGTCGACAAGGCCGCCGTGTGGTAGGTCGGCAGCGTGATCAGATGGTGGAAGATACCCGCCTCGCGCGCCGCGTCCGCCTGGAAGGTGCGGATGCGCTCGTCGGCCTCGGCCGCCAGGTCCGAACCGTCATACTCGACGCTCATCAGCCGGTCGCGGTCATAGCTGGAAACGTCCTTGCCGGCCTCGACCCAGCCATCATAGACCTGCTGGCGGAAGTTCAGCGTCCAGTTGAAGGACGGCGAATTGTTGTAGACCAGCTTGGCGTTCGGGATGGTCTCGCGGATCGCCGAGACCATGCCGCCGATCTGGCCGATATGCGGCTTTTCGGTCTCGATCCACAAAAGGTCGGCGCCGTTCTGCAGCGAGGTGACCGAGTCGAGCACACAGCGCGCCTCGCCCGTGCCTTCGCGGAACTGGAACAGCCCGCTCGGCAGGCGCTTGGGGCGGACCAGCTTGCCGTTCTGGCGGATCAGCACGTCGCCATTGCCGATCTCGTCTTCCGACACCTCTTCGCAATCCAGGAACGAATTGTACTGGTCGCCAATGTCGCCCGGCTCGTTGGAAACCGCGATCTGCTTGGTCAGGCCCGCGCCCAGCGAATCCGTGCGGGTGACGATGATGCCGTCATCGACGCCCAGCTCCAGGAAGGCGTAGCGGCAGGCGCGCACCTTGGCGAGGAAATCGGCATGCGGCACCGTGACCTTGCCGTCCTGGTGGCCGCACTGCTTTTCGTCCGACACCTGGTTTTCGATCTGCAGCGCGCAGGCGCCCGCCTCGATCATCTTCTTGGCCAGAAGATACGTCGCCTCCTCATTGCCGAAGCCGGCATCGATGTCGGCGATGATCGGCACGATGTGGGTCTCGTACCCGTCGATCTTCTTCTGGATGGCGGCGGCGGTGACCTCGTCGCCGGCATCGCGCGCCTTGTCCAGTTCGCGGAAGAGGCCCCCCAGTTCGCGCGCATCGGCCTGGCGCAGGAAGGTGTAGAGCTCTTCGATCAGCGCCGGCACGGAGGTCTTTTCGTGCATGGACTGGTCGGGCAGCGGGCCGAAATCGGAGCGCAGCGCGGCGACCATCCAGCCCGAAAGATAGAGATAGCGGCGCTTGGTCGAGCCGAAATGCTTCTTGATGGATATCATCTTCTGCTGGCCGATAAAGCCGTGCCAGCAGCCCAGCGACTGCGTGTAGTTGGCCGGGTCCGCATCATAGGCGGCCATGTCCTCGCGCATGATCTTCGCCGTGTACTTGGCGATGTCGAGGCCGGTCTTGAACCGGTTCTGCAGCCGCATGCGCGCCACATATTCGGCATTGATGCCGTCCCACGGCGCCCCTTGCGCGGAGATCAGGTCGGACGCGGTCTGGATTTCACTCTGGTAGCTCATGGTCGGCTCCTTGGCTCGCCGCCCCGCACCGGCGGGGCATATGACAATCTTGTCAAACCGTGTCACAGACTGTGGCCATCCGGCCCTTGTCGGCAGTGCAGCAAGGCCGTGACGCGGCTTTCGCGCACAGAATTAGCGAAACCGGCGCACCAACGCACGCAAATGCTGCATCTGCGTTGTCAAAATCGTGTAAATCTGGCGGGGGATTGGGCGGGGATGTGTGGAGTTGTCAAGATTGTGACAGCGCGCCGGGAATGACACAAATCAGTCGCTTATTGTACTCAACACAACTTGAGCTTTGGTTCAGCTCGCTTCAAAATGCCACGCAACCCGGCGTTCGCCCCAACCCAGACATCTACGGACGTATGGGCCGCACTAGGCTACTCCACAAGCGTCCATTGAGATGGATCACAGCCACACAGGAACACAACACTGATACCATGTGCCTCAATCAAGGTTCGGTTCGTAACCCAGTCGGAGTCCACCGCATTGTAAATCTGAGAACCGGATCTCACAGCGACCGCGACGAACTTCCGATCACTCGGATCAAATCCCGCATCAATGAGGGGCTGGGGGACATCGTGGTACTCACCGTCCTCTCTTCTTGTTACTTCAACCCTAGTTACTTTCTTGGGGTCGCTGTTTATTACTTCAAGATAGAAACGATCCCCGACGCCAGGTTGCCCTTTCGGGTTCAGGTGTCGTTGATACTCCTTCTGGATCTCGCCGGCAGTATCGAGGAATATCATGCCTTTTCTTGTCGCTTTCAGCAGCAGTTCGACTGCAGCAGTTCGACACTCCAACCGAATTGAACCATTGTCACCGTTGGCGACGATCGGTACGTTTGTGTCGATAACAAAACCAGCCACTTAGCGCTCTTGAATTCGCTTCAGGCGTGCTAGCTCCGCACGAGCTGTCTCTTCGAACGCATCACCCATGAATTTGTCCGGCCAGTTCAGAATTTTCCCAAACAGATCGACTTCGAGCTTCGTAAGCTTGCTTTCGCCTTTGGGTGCATCACAAAAATACAGAACCACATCATCACTGGATATTGACTCTTCAGCAATACGCCTTTGCAAGCGTAGAAGTAGGTGTTCGGAGTGACTTTCCAAGAGAACCTGAACTTTTCGATGCAATGCTGCTTGGATAATGACGTCCGCCAGTGCTGCCTGTGCAAGCGGGTGCAGGTGGATTTCTGGCTGCTCCAGAACGACCGTTGACCCTTCAGGTACATACTGAAGGAGCGTTATCACTGGCAACACTTGTGAGATGCCGAAACCAACGTCAGTCAAAAGGACTTCGGTTGCCTGCTTCCTCGTTCTGACTCGCGCCTGCCAGCGATTTGAGTTGGGTGCGATCTCTTCGACCTTGAAGCTTTCGATCAGACCCATCTCCTTAAGCCAGTAAGCGACCATCTCCTGAAAACTTTTGTAGAATGCCTTGTATTTCAGATTACGCTTCTCGCCGGCAGCAGCTGCAGAAAGTATTGCGTCAATCGCCTTCTCGCCTCGCTCACCAACGTCTGTGGGCCGTGAACGCGTCCACAGGTAGTCACGCTGGGGGTATTGCCTTAGCGGGCCCAAATAGAAGACCCTGTCCAACTGGTTTTCGTATGCCGCCTCCAAATCAGCGAGAAACGCAGCATTCTGATAGTAGGTTCGGGCTTGATCTGGGAACGCGTAAGACTTGATTGGGCCCGGCAACTGCCATGCGCGACCTTGAGTGCGAACAAACTGAAAATCGCCGGCAGTTCCATCGAGTCTTGTGCAAGTAAGATCAAACTTGGAAGTCTGCTCGGCTCTGGGGGCTAGTGAAAACTCCAATCCTCCCACACGATAGGCTAGCCTGCTGGCTTTGGGAGCGCCGTTCTGGACAACATTAGAGGCGCTGATCTGCAACGTATCGCTGTCAGCAATACTAACGGGTGTATCTTTGCTTACATCAGTGATTGCAAGCTCGGATCCAAGTTGGAACTCCAAATCCCATTGAAGCGCTAAACTCTCTTCATGCTCGAACAGCACGTCAGAAATAGTACCGAGCGCAACCAAATCGCCATTGAGGTCAAGAGATATTGCTCGATCGGTCCCGTCTTTTGTCTGCTTGAGCATAAGTAAGAATTGAATAAGGCTCGTCTTTCCTGACGAGTTCGTCCCGAAAAAACCTGTGATGGGTGCGCACTCAACACGCGCTTCCTTCCAAGATTTGAAGTTCTGGAAGTGCATGGACTTGAGCATCGATGAGTCTCGCGGGCTATCCAGCCGAACATTCGGTGATGAGCCTAGTGGTAGGTGGAGGGCGCCCCACTGTAAACACCAAAGTCCTTTGGTTCATGGTGTAGGGCGAATCGTCGTAACCATTCCCTAGTTGAAGGTCCCTTTCGTATCGTCGAGCGACCGTTGAACATCAGCGACCAAAAAACTTATCCAACCACCCTTCCCCCTCCCCCATACTCTTCCCACCGCGCCCATCGGAACGTCGGATGGCCACCACCTTCGGCGGGCGCGGCGGTGGACCGGCGGGCCGTGCGAGCGGTCGCATGGCTGGATGATGAATCCCCACGTCGCGTTTGGCCCCGCAGCATCTGTGATGCTGCGGAAAGGTTCCAAACGCCACTTTTGAATCGCCTGCAAGCTTTCCGGATTGGCCAAAGCCAATCCGGGCGCAGGCGTGCGGAACGAAGATGTGCGGTGTCCGTCCGCGCCTGTCCTCGGCCAGACCCGGCCGGCGGTCAGGATCGGACGGGGCCAGAGGATGGTTTCGCAACGTCGCGGGTCTGTGGCGCACGGGACCAATCCAAAAGTCACGGCAGGGCGCGAGCCTCGCGCCGGCGCTCCACATGACGATCACCGCAAGCCCGCCGGACGGGCGGTTTGGCGACCGCACTATACAAACTACGGATCGCGGCTCACCAAACCGCCCGTTGTTCCCGTTCTTTGACAGACGCCGGCTTTGAAGTTGAAGCGCGGTGACAATCACACACGCCCGCCTCCCCCTTGAGGGGAGGCAGCAGAGGCAAGCGGAGCGCAGCCGATGCGGTGGGGGTAACAATCAGGAGTGTCTGGCGAACCGATACCCCCACCCGGCTCTGTCTCGCTACGCTCGCCAGTCGCCGACCTCCCCTCAAGTGGGAGGTGGGGCTTCGGCCACGTCCTTGCCCAAGAACAGCGAAGCGAGACGCCCCCTACCCCTCGGCGTCCCTCACATGGCCTTTCACGTCGAGGAACGAATCCGGCGTCACCGAGATCGTGTCGATGCCCGCTTCGACCAGCAGCTTCGCGTAAGACGGCGAGTTGGACGGCGCCTGGCCGCAAAAGCCGACCTTGGCGCCCACCTTGTGCGCCCGCTCGACGATCGACCGGATCATCCAGAGCACCGCCGGATCGCGCTCGTCGAAGACGTCCGCCAGATCGCCCGAATCGCGATCGACGCCGAGCGTCAGCTGCGTCAGATCGTTCGAGCCGATCGAAAACCCGTCGAACCGTTCGGCGAACTGTTCGGCGAGGATCACATTGGCCGGGATCTCGCACATCACATAGATTTCGAGCCCGTTCTCGCCGCGCTTGAGCCCGCAGCCCGCCATCACCTCGAGCACACGGTCGGCCTCGGTCAGCGTCCGGCAGAAGGGGATCATGACGATCACATTGTCGAACCCCATTTCCTCGCGCAGCTTCTTGATCGCCTTGCACTCCAGCTCGAAACCCGGCCGGTAACCGTCGGCATAATAGCGCGAGGCGCCGCGCCAGCCGATCATCGGGTTTTCCTCCTTGGGCTCGAAATCGTGCCCGCCCAGAAGCTCGGCATATTCGTTGGTCTTGAAATCGCTCATGCGCACGATGACGCGGTTCGGATAGGCGACCGCGGCGATGCGCGACAGGCCGCGCGCCAGCTCTTCGACGAAGAAGTCGGCCTTGTTCTCATAGCCGCGCGTGATCTCGGCGATCTCGGCCCTGGCCGCCTCGTCCTTCAGCGTGTCGAAGTGGATCAGCGCCATCGGGTGGACCTTGATGACATTGTTGATCACGAACTCCATGCGCGCCAGGCCCACGCCCTCGGACGGCAGCCGCCACCAGCGGAACGCCGCCGACGGGCTCGCCATGTTGAGCATGATTTTCGTTTTCGTCTCGGGCACGTCGGTCAGCGAAATATCCTCGGACGAATAGTCGGCAAAGCCCTCATAGACATAGCCATGGTCGCCCTCGGCGCAGGAGACCGTGACTTCCTGATGGTCGTGCAGGACGTGGGTGGCATTGCCCGTGCCGACGATGGCCGGCAGGCCCAGTTCGCGGCTGACGATGGCCGCGTGCGAGGTGCGCCCGCCATGGTCGGTGACGATGGCCGCGGCCCGCTTCATGATCGGCACCCAGTCCGGATCGGTGATCGAGGTGACGAGGATCGCACCGTCGATGAACTTGTCGATGTCTTTTGCGTGCTCGATCAGGCAGACGGGCGCGGCGACGACGGCGGCACCGACCGACAGGCCGGTGAGCAGCGTCTTGCCCTTGTTGTCGATCGTGTAGCTCTTGATCGTGCCCTGGTTGGCGCGCGACTGCACGGTCTCGGGCCGCGCCTGGACGATATAGAGCTTGCCGGTCTCGCCGTCTTTCGCCCACTCCATGTCCATGGGCTGGCCGTAATGCTCCTCGATGGTGCAGGCCATGCGGGCCAGATCGAGGATCTCCTCGTCATTGAGCACGAAGGCAGCGCGCTCGGCCTTCGATGTTGGCACATTGCGCGTCATCGCGCCGTCCTCGCGCGCATAGATCATCTTGATGTCCTTGGAGCCGCGCGCCTTTTCGATGATCGGCTTGAGGTCGGGATTGGAAAGGAACGGCTTGTAGACCTCATATTCGTCGGGGTTCACGGCGCCCTGGACGACGTTTTCGCCAAGACCCCAGGCGGCGTTGATCAGCACCGCCTTGTCGAAACCCGATTCGGTATCGATCGAGAACATCACGCCCGAGCCGGAAATGTCCGAGCGCACCATCTGCTGGACGCCCACC